TATATATATATGAGTAGATATATTTTTGATAAATTGTTGTATAGGGCATGCAATCCTGAAAGGAAAAAGAAGGAAAAAAAATAAAACTGATATGCATCATGTATTAAAGTTTGAACTTCTTTTAAAAAAAGAAAAATTCAAACTAAGATTATTCATAATATTTTTCCATTTAATTTTCATTAAAAGAAAACGTTATCCAAGTTTTCAAATCCATCTCCAAATTCGTCATCAAAACCATTACTAAATGGTTCATTTTCGTTGGCATTATATTCAGTAAACATATCCTCCAGCAAGTTATCTTGTGGTGGCTGTGTTGGCTGTTGTTGTTGCTGCTGTTGTTGTTGCTGTTGAGATTGCTGTTGGGCTCCCGTAGTCTGTGCCATTTCATTAGAGGGACCGTTTGCGCCATTCTGTTGTACTCCGACAGAAAGTTCATTAGTTTCATTAATTGTACCTGCTACATGTGGGATACTACTTGGAACAACCCCTGCTTCTATAGTTGCTGAAGTTACAGGGGCCGTTGCTGCCATTGTTACCGATGATGATGGTAATTGAATATCTGTAGGTAATCCATTATTATCATTTCTACCATCGGTTGATTGCCGTATTGTTACCGGATTGGTTAATGTATTATTTGCCATCGCTACTCCAACAGGTGCTGCAGTGCCAGTAATTGAGGAATCTACACCTGGAACCATTTTCGTATCTATCATCCCAGTTGGGAATTGTAATGAATTTCTTTGCTGCGTTTCTTCTATCCGTTGTAATTCCAAATCACGTAACCTCTGTTCTTCAATACGCTTCTGTTCTTCTGCACGTTTTTGTTCTTCTTCTCTTTTCTTTAGTAATTCTTTTTCTTTTCTCTCTTCTTCTTCTCTCTGTTTTTGTTCTTTAATTTTTATCTCTCTCTCTTTAACTAATTCTTTATATGTAGTCTTCCAATAATCCTTTGGTGCTTCAGTCGGATTTATTTTTAGCGATGGAAATTTCTCAACATGCATAATAATACGTCTATCCTGAGAACGTAACCCATTGGTATCACAATACTGTCGTAAAGTATCTTCTGTTTGTTCTAATGTTGCATACACTGTAGTATCGCTATCTAATTCTTTTGCTAAATCTAATTTTACTTCTTGAGCTTCTAATTCTGCTGATGTTTTTTTCAATTCATCTAATAAGGTTTGTTCTTGTTTCACTTTTGCCTTAAAAGTAGTAATAATATTTCTCAATGTATTAGGATTTCCTGATTGAAATACTCTTGGAGGTTTAATCTTTGATAATGGTACTGGTTGATTTGTCAAAGAATTCATAAAATCAGCAGATAATATGAAATTTTTCAATAAATTAGCTCTAAATGATATAGTATCACTTTCATCATGAACTATTGAATTTACTTGTTCAGGCTTCAATCTATTTGCTTCACTATCTTTCATCTGTTGTTGCATCTGTTGTTGCAGTTGTTGCAAATGGGCTTGCTTATTCCCTTTAGCATGATGACTTCTTTTCTTTTTAACTACAGCCATCTTAAAATAATTATTAAATATGAAGACTGTTTTTGTTCTTGCGTTAATTACGTGTATCAAATTTTGATACTTCACCTATTTAGTTTGCTTAGATACGAAATGAATTACTTTAATTAAAATCAAATATATCTTCATTTAAAGACTATTAGTCTCTATTTTCTATTTATCAAATCTGACAGGCTTAGCTTAAAGGTCTGTAAACAAATCCTGTCTGTCTCAATTGAAATTTCAAATTGTCAACAAGAAAATTGAAAGTACGGAATGAATTTAAGTAACTTTGTACGACAATATTAACCCAATATCACCGCACACGACAGAACAAATATATAAATTATACTAATTATTAAAATTTGTGCGCAATGTTTTACCTGATTCGGTAATTTCGGGGAAACTATTTTATTGTTTTTTTGTCTTTAAAAAAGCGCAAAAATAAAAACAGAAATTGCGACACTTTCAGGGTTTTCTTAGTATTTCTTCTGCCTCATCTCATTACCGGAACAATTACTCAATTTTGGCGCTAATTAGTATGTGTATATATATAAGGAAACAGTGAAAGGTTAGCCGTATTTCGATGTCAAAGAAAGGAGAGGAACATACTACAACCACAAGAGGATACAAGTACTACATCCTTTTGGGATCAAATGATCTAAAAGATTAATTGATTTCGTTATTTATTAAGTTTTCTTTATTTAGGAAAAGAAACAGAGAGAGAAACAATTGATTCATCCGTATAGTTTGTTATTGGCTATGATTACACTGTTTCGAAGATATCCATTAATATTCTCGATAGTATACCTATTTTTATATCAGGGATTAGGCTCAGCTATTATTGGTGGAGGTTCAGAATTCGGCATAGCTTACGGTATGTATCATAATTCGCCTCATATCGTCACCTTATGGGCATTCCCTAATACTTTATCTGGTGATTGTGCATTAACATTATTTATCCAAGTAGGCATTACATGGATAATTGAAGAATTTATGGTAGGTTATGATGATTATCTTGATAACACTTTTGAATTTCCAATTTGGTTTGTTGAATTTTGGTATAATTTAATAATAATTCAAAGAGGTCAATTTAGTAGATTTTTACAATGGTATTTTGAAATTAATACAGGTTTAATGCCTTATAAAGATAATAATAAATTTAGTAATAATAAGGATGTTGATATAAAGAAAATGTCTTTATTAAAATTCTTAAGAAGACATATTATCAAATATCCAAATGAAAAACTATATTTTAATATAATCGAATGGTTATTACGTAAAATTTTAAGAGCAATGATATTTGCTGTAACTTTATTCATATTTGTTTGGCCTATTTGTATGGGCATATTTGCTTCAATTGGTACAAAAATATATGGACATGATAGGTACTTTAATAATTATCCAGAACCTCAATTGATGAAACTTTCGTATGGTGCCGTCATTGGAATGGTTACTACTCCATGCGTTGTAGCTGTTATTATTTTGCGTAATCGAATCTATGAACGTGTCATTAGAGATCGTAGTTTTATCTTTAAAGTTAATACAACAGATTCAACACATATTTTAAATTTCTCAATGCCTAATAACGTAGAAGAACTTCCATCACAATTTTATACACTGTCGCATGAATCTGACCATGATTCAATAGCGAGCGAATCAGGCATAGAACAACTTCAACTGCAAGCAGAAACGAATGAACATATAACAGATGAAAAATTACAAAGATCTACAACCTCTCGATCGAGTTCTGGTTCTATGAGACTGTCATTACCAAAAAGTTTAATGGATAACTCATTGGACGAATGATTCTGTTCTAGTCCACAACATTTGTCGCTGTTCATTTATTTTTGTCTGGTTTTGAATTATCTGCATTCTATTAGAATCTCCATAGTACAGAAAAGTACTAACTTATTACATTATTTATTACTCACAGAACCTTTTTCTTTTTATTTTTTTGGTTTTTTCTATCTCTTGTAAAATAGAACATATTCCTGGGCAATCATTTTTGAAATGATTGATACCCCAACCTCCCCTTATACATATATACATAGTATAATATTATTAAATGTAAATAGATTAGTACCAAAAATACTTCAAAAAAGATTCCTTTTTATATATATTTATTTATTAATTTATTTACCATTTTTATACGGCAACTGTTGGGTATTTTGATATTAAATCATTGTTGCTATTATTCCAGAATTTATTATTAATAACCTCCTCAATTGAATCATCAATGTCATCAGTCTCCTCATCATATTCATCTTCTAACAGTGTACACATTAAGTAATCTCTAATGATGTTAACAAATTCCAACTTTTCTTCAAAAGTTTCCTCATCATGTTCCTCATCGTCATCAAGTTCATCGTCATGACCAGTACTTCTTTGAATTGAGCTGTATCTATTTTCAACCATGTTTAAGGTACTGCCATTCATTGGGATAGCATTTACAACCAAACCATTTGGTAAAGCATATGGTAATGAAGTTGCAGCGGCACCAGTCGAAGTGGTAGTGTTTGAAGCAGCAATGGAAGGAGAGCCGATATTCATTGATGGCTGAGTTGGTTGATGATGAACCATACCCGGTATTAATGGATAAGATGATATAACGTTAGTGTTACTGCCGGCAGCAGCACGTCCCCAACTATCAGTGGCAATTTGTTGATATCTTGGTTGTAACCCTTGAACGTCTGACATAGAAGGTAAAATTGTCATCTTATTATTGGTATTTCCAGCAGTTAGAGGTACTTCCAAGACAGTTGCTTGTGGATAACTTGTTCCATTTAAAGGTGGTAATTGAGCATATCCATTAAGTATTGGAGTAGGTTGTGATTGTAAAGGTATACTACGATGTTGATACATAGTTGCATTAGAGACCATGCTATTAGACAGGTCAGAGAAGAATCCGGCTGCATTCGTTGCAACTTGAGGAGGTAAAGAGTCCATAACGGCAGATGGAGATACTCTTTCTTGTGGGAAAGTTGAAGCGTTGTTGCTGTTTTTAATCTCTACTGTACGATATAAACGAGGATCTTGAATTGTAGTAGGAATACCATTCATGGTTTGACCCATTACCATTTGCAATTGATTATCAAGTCTATTGGTTAATACAGGTTGATATGATTGAATATCATTAGTAATAAATTTCCTGAAACCATTATTTAAATGAGGTAAACTTGTCATTGCAGTAGAAGGTAAGCTTCTTGATCTTTGTTCAATTGTTGATGTTACAGATGAAGATGATACATTTGTTGAAGGTGACTGTTTATTAACTCTCTTAGAACCAACTTTTGGTCCTCTTTTCCTTTTTGTAATAGTACCAGATTCTAAATGAATCTTTAAATGTTTCTTTAAATCTTGAGGTCTTTTAAATTTTTTGGAACAAGAAGAACAGCTAAATGGTTTTAATGGAATATGTACTCTAATATGAGAAGTAATATGATCTCTCTTTTCAGTCTTTGTCTGACAGTTATCCCAATGGCAATCTAATTGTAAATTTCTTTGGGATTTTCTACCAACATGATCTTGACATAAATGATGATATAATAATTCAGGTTGAGAAAATTGCTTATTACAATGATCCCATTTACAGACTAGAATTAATGGTTCAATATCATTATTATTAATACCACTACTACTAGTCGGAGTAGATGAACCACTATCACTTATATGATCATTTTTATTACTGCCAGTTTGTGAACATGTGGGACTAGGTAAATTATGATGATTATTTGTTTGATTATATTTAGAAACTGAAATTGTAGACGAAGTAATTGTACTAGTAGTGGCGGTATCTTCAATAGAGGAACTAGTAGATGCAATAGCAGTTGGGATAGTAGTAGTTTTTGGGGTGACTACATTAGTAGCAGCTGCTGTCATAGGGTGATCCTCAGTAACTTTAACCAAATTATTTTGAGTAATATAAGACGCCGGAGAAATTACATTTAAATTATTCAATTTTGTAGTATTAGAAGTAGGACTATTATCTTCAGATATTGGACTAATTGCAGAATGAGTTAATTCATCATTCCCGTTAGTATTTGGTGGTGTAGTAACTTCCATTTCTGATTTATAACTGAATCTGTTTGGTGATGATGCATCATCATTAGGTGTTGAAGACGATAATGACACCAAATTATGAGGTTCTTGTTTAAAAAATGTTGCAGATTTATTAGTGGCAGCAGTATTACTTACTGCATTATTTAACAAGTCATGTAATGGTACCAAATTTGATTTCGCATGATTATCTAATTTCGTCATTATAATTCTATCTTGTTATATGATACTCAATCGATCAAATATATATATATGTTTTTTTTTTGTTTTGTTACTATCAATAGAAGTCAGTATAGTCAGAACAAAAAAAAAAGGTTATATTCTTCTTTATTTGTTTTACTTTCTCTTCAGTTAAATATATATATAGTTATTGATGTGAATGCAAGGGCAGCAAGTATGAAGTAGTAAATGTCTGACAATTTACATGCAATTATTTATTTATATATCTCTGTCGCTCCTTGTTTACTTGCGTGTTTCTCATCGCCATTGCACTCAACCTTTCTCACGTTTCCAAAGCCACGATTCGCTCTGTAATTTTTTCTTTTCCAGACCTCAAAGCCTCTGTCACTTTACTATAATTACACACACCTCTCTCTATCTCAAAACGAGAAAGCAAAGAAACAGAAAAATTAAAGAGATTATCTTGTGATTTTCGCTGTATCTTATAGAAACCGCGCAGCACTTTCTATAAAATTTTCGCAATCTTTTCTTGTTGTTTCTGCATTTTGGTGGTTGCTAAATAAAGAAGGCTCCAGAGTACGTAAACAATTTATATAAAAAAGGCAATAGCACAGAAGGCCACGGAGAACGGATATCCCAAAAAAAAGAATAGAGCGAGAAAACTTAATTGCTTTTTTTCTGGGACATTGGAAGAACGGAGTGCAACTCGTGCAGAGTGACAGTGGGGGTAACGCCGGGAAATGTTTTTTCGTGAGATTTGAGATTAGGGTTCGGGGTGCGACCCTAGGGTTGCCGCGTTGATGATTGTAGGGCTTTGTTTCTGAGGAAAGCGAAAAAAAAAATTGAGAATTGAAACTTCTTTTCTTCTTCGTTCGGATTCGTGCAGTGGGCTTCCCTTTCAATAATGCAACAAAAATTGAAATATGTCAGAGTAGGAGGAAGAGTAATAGTATCGATAGTTTTATGGAAATTAATAGATGGATTAATACCTGTTTATTGGGAAACTGAGTTATAAAGAATGTGTAGTGGTTGTCAATTTCAAGTGTTTTGCCACTAGTAAACTTTCGAATCAAATAAAAAGAACAGATAGAACAAGACTTTATATTTCACGTAGATTGATTCTGGAGATATAAGTGACTATTATTCAGAGTAATAGTAATAATAATAACGACAATTCGAGGATTCACGCTCTCACATGGAGGGATAGAGAAACAGACGAAGAAGAAGAAAATGCATGAAAGGAAACATACATTGTCCTCAAGTCATCATGTTAAGACTTTAAAACAACAACAATATGATAGAAATTTAATAGATTTTGTTATTGAATTAGTAAGAATAAATGATCATGATACCTTAGCTTATATTGCTAGAACCTCAGGGATACCGCCACAATTAAGACATGTTGTATGGCCAATACTTTTAAAATATCATCCAATGTGTATTGCTCCAAATATTTTATCAAATATTGTTTCTTGGGATCCAACGATGAATAGTTATCATATGATTATTGATCCTTCAACAAATAGATCAAAGAGAGAAAATAATGATAAACGTCCAATAAATAATAATAATAATAATAATAATAATAAAGAATCGCAAGATGTTAACAGTAATAACAATCAATTAAAAAATGATAAGAAAAGGAAAGATGATATTAGTGACACTAACGATAATGAAATTGATGACAATAATAATGATGACGATAATAATAATGATAATGATGATGAAAATGATGATATTGCATTGGAGAAATCAATTCTTCATGATTTACAAAAATATTTTAAAATACGAACAAAAACCAAAAATTCGACTGCAAATAATAATAATAATAATAATAATACCAATAGTAATACCAATAATATTAATGATATCAACACAGCCACAGATATATCATCATTTAATTCGAGAACATGTTCTCATAATGAATCGGATTTTTTAAGTACAACAAACGAATTACAAATTATTGATTCCTTAAAGGATGCAATTTTAAAATTTACAAAAAAATGGTCAAAAGTTTATAAATATGAGAGTGGGTTATCATGGATAGCTTTGGGTCTTGCAGAATGGTTCCCAGTTATTCCAATATCTAATTCAAATGATGGATATGGTCATGATAAATACAATGGTCCCGTAATACTTTCAGGTAAAAAACATGTCCATGGATCTTCACAACCTTCGGTGTCAAAGACAGCAACCAATGAAACAAATACACCTAGTTTAGATCGTCCGGATGGTGATATTGCTGCACCTTCATCTGTATCATCAAACTCAAAATTAACACTTACGCCAACACCTTGTCATAAACAATCCAGTTCATTAGCATTTTTATACTCTGAATATCCTTTACCAGAAGCTTTACAAGATCAATTACCAACAGAATACGTTTTTGATTTTGCAGATATGTATGAAAGGTTATTATTAGTAATATTACATTGTCCAGATAGTGAAATTGCCACAGAAAATATCAATAAAGATTTTCCTTCGAAATCATCTTACTTATCTAATTATTTTCCTATTCTCTCTGGTGGAGACCTTCCATTTCAATTTCAATTATTTTTTAAAGTCTTTTCGTCAATATTACCTGAACTTTTCCAACCTCTTAATGAGGAATCATCACTTCAACCAAATTCAGTAAGATCATCGTGGTTATATTGGTGGATTAAATGCTCAGGCGCAAGATCGTTACAAAGACAAGATCGTGGTCGTATTTGGGATTTGTTATTAGGTTGGAGACCTAAACCAAATATGGATGCAATGAATTTTTTCTTAAATTATAATAATCACAAAGTGTTCAGTCAATTATATCATTGTCCACCACCGGGATTGAATGAAAATTTCTTAAGATCAAAATCTATTGATATCACATTTGTTAAAAAATTATTAAAAAATGATACATTTTGGTTTCCTGATCTTGATAATATTCCATTAGGTTCAGAAGAATTTCCATATGATTTTAACGTCTTTAAAGAATTATTAACCCGTAACAAGTATGAAGAAATTACAAAAGAACCTGTGGAAGAAGATATAACAACTCCGACTAGTGCAACAGTTGATTCAACTGAATCACAACAAGACCTTTTGAAATCTGTGGCATCATCTCTTTCTAATTATTCTTTGAAAGACCAAAATGATGGTTCAGTTAATAGTGCAAATAGTAATGGATATGATAATTTGGCAATATTTGAATATTCTCAAGTACACCCACATATTCAAGTCATATTCATATATATTGCTGTGTTACAGTACAATGAGTTTAAATTATTAGAGTTCGAAGAGACTGAAATTTTAGAATTTTTAAATAATTTACCAATGTTTTCTAAATCTGAAGATTCAAATTTTAGAAACTTATATTTAGGTACAGAGTGTACTACTAGTGATGCCAGTCATCATCATGTAATAAATTCTGGGAGAAAAAGTACAATGATATCAAGAGCAGATGATGGAAGCAAAAAACACACAAGTGGAGAATTATCTACTGGATTAACAACGAGATCATCTTCATCAAGTTTATCAAGTGTCTCGAACGCATCTACTACAAACCCAATAGCTGGTATTGTTTACAATCAAACTGTAAACCAAAACTCTCATATGATGATTGAAGTAGGTAATGACGCCAAAGCTTCGAATTCATTTAATGATTTGTTGACTATCGCAGGTGATATTTGGAGGAAATGGTTATGGAAAGAATTAGAAGAAAGCGTGATCAATGACATAGAGTAGAACTAGCGATAATTAGAAATTATATACATATAATATGTATGTAGGTAGATAGAGGAAAAGATTGTTATATTTTAAATACAAAAACTGGGATGTTATCATCTCATCTACCTATCTATTTGTTTTCGTAGTGACCGACGTAGTAAACTTCGTAGAGTAGTAATTATAATATGAGAGCTGAGCGAGAAAATTTAGATAGAAAAAAAAGTTGAAGGATGTAAATAGTAAATAAATTTCTTATATGTAATTGTTCCTGTATGCATTAACAATGACGTTAGTAGATAAAGAAAATATTTAAATTATTGATGTGTTCTGGAAATATTTAATATCATAAATTGGCCGATATTCGAGAATAAAGAAAATTTCCGCTATTAAATAACGAACAATCTAAAGGTTATTAACAAAAAAGATAAACTATTTCCATTATTACCACATCATCACACATATATTATTACGGAATCCTATAATTCGAATAATTAGAAACACAAATATCAATTTTTAAATATTGTGGAATTCGATATAAAATTATAAGAAAGGAAAGAAGATAACTGTCGGTCAAATATATATATCGACATATATATGTATAAATCATTGAAAAATGTCTATGTTTTTATCGAGTGTAAAAAATTTTGTTCAATCCCCCACTGAATTGAAAGTTAAACAAGCTACAGATGAAGATGAAAATATCGGAGCAACCGCTACCCTTATGAATGAAATATCTGTATTGACATATAGTCCTAAGACACTAAAGGAGATAATTCCAATCATTAAAAAAAAATTATTATTAGGTTATAATAAGAGAAATATTAATCATAAGAATTGTATAATGTTATTGAAGACATTAACATTAGTTTCTTATTTAATGAATAATGGTTCTAATGACTTTGTTAGTTGGGTTAAATCAAATATTGATGTTTTTTCTCATTTAAATAAACTATCTCAAAATGTTGCCGATAAAAAAAATGATATTGGATTAATGACCCAAATTATCGCAACATCTAAGGATATTACTCTTTTAATCAATGATGATGATTTATTAGAAAAACGTAGACGTGATGTTGTTCAATTTCGTTCAAGTATATCCTCACCAGGTAGAAAATCGACAGATAATAGTCATTTAAGAAGTATAGAATTAACAAGAATCGGATCAGATAAATATAGTAATAATGGTCAAAATAAAGTTAACAATCTCTCATCATCAAATAATAATAATAATAATAGTAGTAGTAGTAATGGTTCACCACTAATATTACAAAGCGGTCCATTACAAAGAACTTCACATAGTTTAGATTTAAGGATAAATAATAACCCTATTAGAAATACAGGAGAATATTCAAGAACATCGTTAAGACCTGTACGAGAAGAAGATACCGGTGATTCTTCAGCATTACGTGATTTACGTGGGTTAACATTTTCAAATGATCATGATGGCGGAGTAGATATTGATGAATTGAATCGAACGAGACAAGAAGCGGTTACAAGTAGTGGAACTAGTTTCCGTTCACGGTTTAAAAATAATATACCATTTGTGTAATTAAACATAGGATTTTTTTGGAAAAACACTATCCACGTTACAATTATAAGAGAGAACAGCTATTCTGAGCAATGTCATTTTTCTTCTTCTCTTACTCAGCATATACATAAAACATGAAGATATATATATATAGGTACTAAAAAGGGTTCAACGTTAAAATTAATAAGATCAATTCCAAACTTTCTGGTTTACATCAAATATTTCATTTGCTAATATCATTAGAGAATACGACTTAGGGTAAATTTAGTTACTCCGAGCCCAATTCATTTCATGTAAGAATTTAGGCGGACTTCCTAGGCGGACAAACAAAATATGTAATGAGATTGGAGACTCTGTCTAAAAAAAAGTACGAGCATTCACAGTGCGAACGATCAGATAGAGGAAAAAGGACTCCAAACAATTATTTTTTTAATTTTTTGTTTAGTCCGACTGAAAAATTTCGTCGTCCATTCACATTTATAACTGTTCATATTTCATTAAAGAGAAAAGTTATCATCATTATATGCATGCTAACATAGTTATCAAATCAATTAGACACTATCATATATCAAGAATCAACAAATAGATATAAGGGTTATAATATACCCTGATTAAAATATGATTAATTTCGTCCATTGAGTAAAAATCTATATCTAGGTGCAATACTCAATCAGTATAGGGAAATTTAGCTGCAGCTAAGAAATTGATCAAACGTATACCAACAGCATTTCTAGTTATTCGAATAAATAGTAAGGACTTTTAAATAATTTTTGTCTTTTCGTTGAAATGAATTCATTAACTTCAATTAGTTGATCTATTTATTTAGTATTCATCTAATGGGTTTATGCCTAATAGTTGAACTTATAAACTTTCAGTCACGTGAATGCCGTAGCAAGTGATGATATTCCCGGGTAAATTATTAAAAACAGAAAAAATCAATAAAATTGCGCCATTCGAACATTCCAGCAAAAAAAAAAGGGAGGCAGCAATTGCTTTTACAAAGATTTTTTTGACACAGAACGGACGTAGAACGGGCGTTCATTAATCTTATCAATCAAATGGATTTATTAACTGAAAACCGCGGAGTTTTTCTTTGTTATGTTTAGTTGAGCCATTACATTATTACTATTACACTGTGTGCGTGTGGCGAAGAGAGGAGAGCAGGAAGAAGAAGAAAAATTGATAGAGACACACACGCATTATATTATTGTTATACTATGTTAAGTTTTGCACACACATATTTTCTCATATATGGAATTCTGTTTACATTGGACAGCGGGTGGGGGAGAGAGATAGAGAATGACGAGCACTGACTAACTACCAACAGGTGGCAAAAAATTAATAAATAATGATAGATAGAATTGCTTTGTTCTTTTTTTTGACCTTTTTGCTGGTAGTATAAAAAGGGAGATTTAATTCAATAGCATGTGTTTTTTTTAGTTTTTTTTTTCCTTTTTGTAGTTTGGATAGGTTCGTTACTAATATTTTTTTCTTTTGCCCTGGTTTTAATAAATAAAGTAAACTTTTATTAACAGATAGAATAGACTATTAAGGATAAAACCGTGTTTAAGAATTTTTTGCGTTATTAATACAATATATATTCACGAACACCCAAGTTACTTTTTATTTTATTTTTTGATATTATCTGCTGATTAATATTTTATTTTATTTTATTGGAAACTACTATAAACAATGCAAATTTTTGTTAAAACTTTAACTGGTAAAACGATTACCCTGGAAGTCGAATCTTCAGACACTATTGATAACGTCAAGTCTAAGATTCAAGATAAGGAAGGTATTCCACCTGATCAACAAAGACTAATCTTTGCAGGGAAGCAACTTGAGGATGGTAGAACACTGTCCGATTACAATATTCAAAAGGAATCTACTTTACATTTGGTTCTAAGATTAAGAGGTGGTATGTGTAAAAAAACAGTTTAAACATATATACCCTTCTAGTATGAATGTGTAATGATAAATATTTTTTTTTTTACAATAAATACAAAAAGTGTCTTTCTTTTGTAACTGTTATTAGTATTTTATCTTATTATTTACATTGTGTATAGGTAGTTTTATTATTTGGTATAAACGATATTATGTTATATCCCCGTACTCTGAAAATATTTTTAATTTTCATAATTAGCAAAATATTAAAAAAATTGGATTGTGGTAGTCAACCAACCAGTACAAGCTTGAATAGTTATAATAAACAAAAACAAAAGGATAGCATGATTATAATATGTATATATATAGGGAATTATTTAAAATCCATTATTCTTTATTTCTAATACTAACCTTGGATTTGGATCACTATCCGTCATACGTCTCATTGATTCTTCAATAATTGATTTCAAATTTGGAACTTTTTGAGATAATAATGAACCAAAGTTAATCATTTGTAATTTAACATTTTCAATAGTTTCCTTTGTAATATTATTTTGGAAGACTACTTCCCAATAGCTGCTTAAGATTTTATCAATTTCATCAGAATTTGAATCATAGTCACTAATTAATTTTTTACCAATCTCACACGAAGATAATTGAGTTCTCCATGTATAAATATAAAGGTTATTATCAAAGCATTTTGCAATTAAGTGCAATAAAGCTTGTAAATATTCCACTTTAAAATTCATATTAGTCATACTGATCTTAGCAAATGGAACAAGTGCATCAATTAATTTCAAAATATATTCCTCTGCCCCTATATTTTTCTTAGATGCTTTCTTCGTAATCTCATTTTCATTCTGAGATGAAACTGTTTCCTTTCTTGTAGCATCGACTGATCCATCGTTAGAAGAACCCACTTCCTGTATTGTGTCATTAATAACTGTCAGAAGTTGGTCAATGTTACCTTCTTTGTCCTCAAATGCACCCAAATATTCAGCATAAAACAAGATAATTTTTTTCACATACATCTTATTTGTACGAGCCACTTCAACCTTTAATGATTTATTTATTTTTTCTTTCAATTCAATATCTTGACTTACATCATCCTTAAAGGTAATAGCTAAGGAGCACAAAGCTTCAACCATCATCTCTTTACCATCCCAAGTTCTCCCTTCTAAAGAGGCTATCGATAAATCGAACAAATGCTTTCTTTGTTTAGAATTAATATTTGTATCCACCTTCTCCGAAACAATTTGGATTGATTTGGCACAGGTCTTTCTCACATCAAAATTATTACTTTTTATATTCTTTGATAAAATTGATAGTATTTCATCCAAATATAATTTAATTGTACCCGATCCAGTTGATGATGCATCTGTCCATATTTTATTGAACAGTTCTGCATTTTCTTTAACAACATCGTTACAAGCAACAAAAATTAGTGGCATAAAAATATTCGCAACATTTCCAAACTGTGATGATGCATGATCAAGAATAGACTCAATGGCTATACCAACTGTTCTTTTAGATGTTGAAAAATCATTGCTTCCATCAATATCAAAGTATTTTTCGACTAACTTATTACCATACTTGGCAGCCTTTTCAACAGAAGAAATCTTATACATATAACCAAAAGTAGTTGCAAATGAATGTGAAACAGATTCATTTCTGTCATCCAACATCACCAAGCATAGTTTCAACAACTTACCAGAATATGGTGCCAATTCAATTACAAACCTTTTTGCTAATAATACCAATACTTGAGCAGATGCAACCTTGGATGGTAGTCCAATCGATTTCTTGACCGCTTTCATACTGTAATCCACAAAATCAATGAGATTCTTTTTGTCACTATGTGATATTAATTTGTCAATAGTTTCAAATAATGGTGAACTAGTAATACCATTCTTTCTATGCACATCAATAATTTTGGAGTCCACGTTATAATTAGTAGCATTCAACGATAAATAGTTGATCACTTGAGGCTCAATAGATGAAAATAATAGAGTGAATTCATATACCAGCTTTGGCGCAAATGGTTTAATTGAATCACCAGTATTCTTTACCAACTCAATCAAAGTTGTTAATGCAAACTTCCTTACATCATCGGCATCACTATTTATACCCTTCGTACCCAAGAAAAATGGCAAAATAGAATCCAAGATCTTCTTTGACCTTTCAGAACTCACCCCTTTACTAATATCAATCGATCTCGCAAGTATCTTACCCAATACGGTTGTGAACTTTACGCCTGCTTCACGAACACTTTCTTTAATATCATCCATTGTACGGAAACCCATCGTCCAGATGTCTAGGATTCTATCTGCAAACTTTTCATTTGGTTGAGATTGAACGAGATTTAATAAACCATTAGTACTGGCTTCTCTAACACGCCATTCCTTATCTGACATCCCATCTAATAATTCTTCTAAAATAACATCAAAGTATTTACTAATCACATTGGAAGAATCAGATATTAAAGAATTCCAAATATCAGTCATAGATCTTGCAACTGCAGAATAAGGATCAAATCTGTATCTGTATAATTTTGGAATCAATTTGGTAGCTGTAGCTGTGTCCTCTAGGAGCATATTTTCTAGAGATGATTTAGACATAATAGCCCCCAATCCAAAAGCAATACCCTTCCTCGATGACCAAAGAGACGAACTCTTCGCTAATGACATAAATTTATAAACTAACGAGGGATCCCCTACTTCAGACGCAAGATTCAGGATATCCTTATAGGTACTGATAGAGCCATCTCCTGTATTCATAGTACCAGGTTCAAATAATTTGGTTTCTTGGTCAAGTGTCCCGGATTGCATTGACATAGCGTTGGTTGAGTTTGTAAAGGATTTCAATAATCCCTTTACCATATCTTCTCTAAGGTCACCAGTTCCGATTTCGTAAATTAAACTTAAACCTCTAGATGATGTATCTTGAATCAACTCATCATTATCACCTAAAAATTTCATAAATTTGTTATGGATTTCTTTTGCATTCTGTATAATTATTGGATTCTGCTTCAGAAATTGAACTAAGGAAAGTAACCAAACACATGAAGCCTTACGTAATGAAGGTTTAGATGAGTCACAGGAATGGAGAATTTTATCAAGGACATATGATACGTTGGCTTCATTATAGAAATGTGCACCTAGTTTATCGATAACTTGCTTGGAATGTTCGCCGACATCAACTTGGTCAGTAAGAACAGTACTTGTCCAACCGCCCGCAATAATGGACAGAGTCTCCCCAGATGCGAAGAGATATTCAATCTGCTTTGAAACATGAGTTTCATAGAGTGTACCATAAAATTCGTCCATTAGGTTAAATTCATTGGCATATATGGCAATACATCCCCATAGTTCAACAGTAAATTCATCATTAAGAAGTCTTGTTTTCAATAGGTCTATTGTTGTTCTAACAATTATTTCTCTTTTCTGCTTTGGTAAGTGACAAAATAATCCAAACTTGCCAATTTGCCCCATTAAACGGTATAGTATTTTTTTGGATTTGTGTTCCATGATATTATTAGAAATTGTCTTAATTAGAGCCAGAACACGGGCTTCTGTTACATTTTCCAATTGATTTGTAATATATAATCTTGGTAAAATATTAGCATTTGCAAACATATCCCTCAATGAAATTTCTGTTGTCTCGATATGATCTAGGCTTGATATTATGTTAGTCACATTACTGGAATTCGGACAAGATACTGATATAATAGCTAATATATTAGCACACATTTCTAGTTCTTCATCGTTTAGTATAGCAGTTCCATCCAAATACTTATAAAGGTCAGTTATTAATGGCTCCAAAGAATAAAGTACTGTTAACTTAGTGAATTTAATGAACAACAATAATGTTTTCCCAAATACCACGTCATGATATTTTGAAAATGCAATAATATTACCGTTACTGCTCTTTACAACAAATTCTGAACAAATAATTTTTAGAAGTTTACTATACCATGCGTCTGTTATACTACTGATGAAAGAAGAAATATAACTGATGACGATTGGGTCCATTTCAACTGCCTTTTCAGTTCTAACACTCCAATCTTCATCTTGAACTATAACAGTTTGTTTTCCAGATATAGCTTCCATTATAATACACTGTTTAATGAATCTCACCGCACAATTGAGCGTACTTCTTAATACAGACGTTTCATTTTCTTTATTAAGTTCTAACTCATTGATAATAAACATACTCATTTCTTTAGAATCAGGAAATTTGGTATCTGTAACCTTTGTACCCAATATTTCTTCTGTTTTTAAGAATTGTTTATTGACTGCTGCTTTATTTATTCTAAACCAATGAGGGTGGAGACCTTTAATGGACTCTTCGATAATATCGAATCTGTTGGTTCTTGATGTACCTAATATGTTAAAAAACCTGGCTTCAGTATCATTAAACTCGAATGTAACATTTGCGAACTTTATAGCAATGAATCTTAGTGCCATAATTCTCTCTTTAGTTTCGGGTTCATTTTCAAGTTGATAATCATCTGCCAAATATTTTCTCAAAATTGTTTTCAACTTAGCTTTTGATGCTTCTGGTAGTAAAGGTAAATGGCAAGTAGCTGCTACTAAACTCTCTTGAATACTGGATGAGAATTCTATTAAGTCCCCATTTAATGAATCTAATAAAAATTCAATATATGACAGATCCTTAACCATATCAAAATCCTTTCTTATTATATCACCCAATGTCTCATACTGCAATCTTCTTTGTAATATCACATTATTAAACTGAGGGGTTGAAGATCCTAATTGTAGTTTAGGCCAACCTTCAGAGTGAAGATTATTCCTAATCAACGATGCAATATTTGTATGATAGTCTAATGGTTCAGAAGTTTCAGGTTTGTGTACTAATTGATCACCATTGTTTCTGGAGACATGACGAATGAATAAGAGACAGAATGATTTCAACTTATAGAATTCCGAATTTAAACCAATCGAACATATTAACAATACTTTATCTGGATCCTGTGTTGCCACTATACTATTGTTCAATATCGTAAGAATTCTTTCTTGTAACTCATGCTTCACTGGAGGAACACCCCTCGTCTTATCACCCGTGAACAAATTAATTAAGAAATTAATAAAATCACTATCCTCGTAAGGCGTCTGTAATCTCTTTAAGAATTGAATAGCAGAATCTGAAATAGAACTTTCATCAGTACATACTACTGATAAAAATTTGATTAATTTATTATCATCTTCAACTAAACCATTGCAAGAAAATTTAAAAATGGCCCTTTTAAATTCAAACATTTGCTCACTAGTGAAAGAAATACCAGCCTCATAGGTAAAGAAAGAAACATCATCACTTGAGAGCCCTGGGGATGTATACCCTCTAGGTATTACACCTGCTTGTGGATTGGGTTTAGCTGGTTTTAATAAGAAAAACTTTGTGAAATAATTTAGGATAAATTCTAAATCTTCATTGCTATCTAATTTTAACAATTCTTTAGTTTCATTTTCTTCTGTAGACCCTTTAAGAGGAGGGACCCATGATAATAGTAATTTACAAAGTATATGAAATAGTCTTGCTGCTGTATCTCTTGACATTCGTGATATATCCTTCATTACTTCTGGAATCAATGCTTTTTGTTCTGAGGTTGTTAAACGTTCAACACCTTTAGATGCTAACAATAGACTGTATAATCGGACATTCTTTGGATCAGCACCTTCTGGAATAGAAGGTGATTTAGCTTGTATAATCAATGCTGCTACAGGTAACCTAAGAGTCTTAAGACTTGATAACCGTGAAAGAACATGCTTTAAAGTGTTAAAAACAGCTTGTCTGACAGATGCATATGGGGATGCAAGTTTTAACAATAAAGGAGCTAAAAATGTATTCAAACTTTTCTCGAATTTCTCAGTGGTATCGCTTAAAGCTAAACGAAGCTCCACTTTTTCGATTAGATCAAGCTCTTTCTTTTCTGAAGCCGTTATAGTATCCATTTTAATTTTTGTGTATGTATTATTCTTTATTGTGAAGATATTCGGTCAGTAATATTACTGCTAAATATTTAATTCTAGACTCTATCTGGCTGACAATATGCTAATGAACTGTAAATATTTACAATGAATAATAAATATAAATTAGATTAAAACTCTAAAGGAAAAACAAACAATATAACTTTACGAAATTCTATTTAATTTTTCATAAATTATTTAATTATGTTAGTTGATATCTAAATGTATAAATAGTAATTGGGCAATGCTGACAATGTTCAAATAATCTTCAAGCATCGCCAATATGTTCCCAGTGGCAATTGTACTTACTCTTAAATATTACATAAGTCAGCAACAATCGTCATTTCCTGAACTTCCGCGGGAGGACGGGTTTTAAAAAAATTATTATTATAACGGCGACAGGACATACAAACCTAAGAAAAGAGGTGAATGCATTTTTAGGCAAATATGAAACCTTTGGAATTGTGACAGCGTTATTCTTGGTGTCCTATAACAAGGAGAGACCGTGTCATTTATAACATTTTGGGTTGATAAATCTTGCTAATATATGGTGAGCACAAATAGTGATCAATGATACAGATTATTTATCTGTTTGCCTTCAATTAATTGACAAAAACAGCTTGATATTTTACACACACACATATATATATATATGTAATAGCTATTTATATATTATCAGTCAACAAAACAAAATTTATTCGCATCTGAAATAATGTGTTTCTTATTCTGACTAAGAGAATATTGACTAGATAGATAGATATACCTCCTCGATGGTTATGAAAATTTTTTAACTGATACAATTATATACAATTGTATTTATCTTTAAAATATATATATAAAACTTATATACAGTTAATCAATATTGCATATTGCCTGCATATTGCCCCCATTAACTAACTGTCTTAATCTTTCTACGAAAGAATGCACTGTCATTTTTCTTCTACGCGACATCAAAAATTCATCAAAACATCTCTAAATTCACCTCAACACGGAATACATTATAAGTCAAATAAAAAGACAACAGCAAAAATATACAAAAAACAATACCAAATAAAAGTTCAAAAACACACAGTAAGGGAGATTGAATTTAGTTAATACATAAAAAAGGGAACTGACGAAAAGCACACACAAATAAAACTATTGTAATATATAACAATATTAGTAAATCAACTACGTATTTGAATCCAAACACAGTGTTAAAAATGTCAAAAACAATTTCATCATCATTCGTAACCGTTAGAGGTCAAGCTATCTCATTAGAAACACAAACTGATTCATTACTATCTCGTTATTCTACATTTGCACAAACGACAAGCTCCGAACAAACGGGTAAAGAAAAGAAGCTCGATACTCAAATTGAAAACACTTTGAAGAAGAGACAAGATATAATTGATTCTCTTAATGATATATGTAATGAAAATCCATCCATTTCTGCATCTAAACTTTCCCAATTGCAACGTCACAAGGAAATTTTACAAGAACATTGGAAAAATTTCCAAAATATTAGATCATCAATACAACAGGAACGCAACAGACTAAATTTATTGTTCAGTGTCAAAAACGACATTGCTCAACATAATTCAAACACAAACATTAACGATGAAGAAGAATACATCCAGGATGAATCTAGAAGAATAGATCAATCTCATAATGTTGTTGACCGATTAATTTCACAAGCATGGGAGACAAGAGATCATTTTACAGCTCAAAACAACGTACTAAACAATGTTAATAATAAAACTTTACAAGTCTTACAAAGGATTCCAGGGTTAAATCATTTACTTGGTAAAATCAATACTAGAAGGAAGAAGAACGCTGTTATATTAGCCTCTGTCATGACCATTTGCATATTGTTACTATTTTTCACTTGGTAATTCAATTATGCTATATTCTTAAATTGGATTTATATAGATATATAAATACAATTATACACAAACAAAAATAATTTTCAATAAAGGAACTTTATCAATAAAAAAAAAGAAATGAACTTTAAATAGCTATCTCTTCTATAATGCTAATGGTGAAATTAATGCTCTCTCTTCTCGTCAGTAGATGTGAAGTTAGGTAATGAGGATGATGCATCAGATGAAAATAATATGGAATCCGACCCAGAATCACCAACGATTGATGTTGTTTCAATAGAGTTTTCTTCCTCAAGGATGGTTGGAATACCGTTAATACCTCTTCTACCTCTTTGCATTGGTTTAAAGGATACTGATCTTTGTACATCCGTATCATCTTCATCGTTTGAACCGTAAGCACCCTTAATATTTGTCTTACCTCTAGACTTTGTTGGTTTCAAAATACCGCCGTCGACACCATCTTCAGAGCTTAATGCTTTATCGATCATGTTACCATCCATATCTTCATCATTATCGAAGGAGAAATCACTCAAATCAGATGTTGCTCTGCCTCTATTTCTTCTCTTCCAACCAGGTCTTCTGAACCAAGCTTTCATTAACATATCTTTGTAAACAGCTAGTGGCCAATTAACTGGAGATTCATGACCTTGATAAATACAAACATCATATATCAGAGCACCACATAAAGAACCAATGAATGGTGCAACTAATGGAACCCAGAAATAATGAGCATATTTATCCCATAACAAACCTCTATTAAATCCAACTGCGTATAAAGCTAATCTTGGACCTAAATCACGAGCTGCATTAATAGCACAAGCTGTTTGATATGACATTGCTGTATTTAAAATGTAAATTAAAATGAATAACATTAGTGGATAAACTTCAGATGAAAGACATGTATATGGATCTGTTAATGCGAAGACACATGCTTGGAATACAGCAGTGGTAATAAATTCGGATGTAAATTGACGAGAACTTGACAAATAAGGTTTTGGATTTGTATAAAACATTGCACCCATAGCTTCAGCATGCCACCATTCATCAAATGCCTCTATAATAACTTTTTTATAAAGAATGAAACAGATTAAAGCTCCGCAAAAGGCACCAATAAATTGACCTGCTAAATAAAGTGGAACTTTTTTGGCAGGAAATCCTCTAAATACAAAATTAGCAACTGTAATTGCTGGATTCAAATGTGCACCTGAAATGGCAGAACCACCAGCAACGAAATAACCCATGACAACCGCAGAAGCCCAACCTAATGGGAGTTGATCAAATGTACCAGATGCAGTATTGGTAATAATATCTTGTAATGCTAGAACCATTTTTTTAACGGATTCATCTTGATCTGAAAGATTGTTAATATCATCCATTGCCGCAGTAAATGCATTTTCTTGTATCTTTGCACCAAGATTAACTTGACAACATGTGGCACAACCTAATAAAATCAAAACTAAAGTACCAATAAATTCAGCTAAAAATTCTTTCAAGAAAGAATGTTTAACCGAAGACCATCTATTGATAGGATGATATGTTGAAGGTAAAACAGTTGGAGTTTGTGGATTTTGATATAATGTCTTTGGTTTAACCATCATAGGTACATTCATTGGTTCATCATCTTCGTCATTAATATCTCCTTGTATTTCATCACCCGATGTGTAATTATTGTTAGTATTGTTATTCATATGAGAACCATTATTATAATTACTATTATTATTATTACTAAAATTTGTATTACTTCTACCTTGCTGTGGACTACTTGGTCCATTATCAAAATTACTTTTATTAGAATTTATTCCTGCATGAAATGAGTTAACATCACCAAGATGTAAAATATTTGCTGATACTGTTGTAGCTCCTCTAGGTCTAAGACTTGTACCACCAGATAATTTAGGATCAGACCCAGTAGCTATAGCCATTTGTGTATTTGGTACAACTTCTTGAATTGGGAAAGATCCATCTAAAGCGTATTGAGGGATATATGATGTTGTAGGACGAATATTATTATTATTATTATTATAAATATTATTGTTATTGTTATTGTTATTACCTCTATATTCTTGAGTTTCATAATCAAATCCATCATCATTATGATGGGTTGTATGTTTTGATTTATGTGAAGATTTTCTACTCAATACATCATGATGAGATTTAACTTCATCATGATTAATTGGATCCGTGCTTGTTAAAAACTCGTTAATTTTATCAGGACTAGACATATTATTTATATTTGGAAGTGATTTTAATATTAAATATTCTTATAAGCGGGACTTTTTGTAATATATATTGTTATTGGGAATGATTTTATATGTATAATCACGAATGGAACAATATAATTTCTGTAATGTTTTTTTTTTGTTAAAATGCTAGATGGTTCCTTTATTTATATCAATATCGTTAATGCAAAAGGGGTGGGGAGTACAAAGTGTAAAAATGCTGTATGAAAGAAGATACTAATATAGGTAAAATCTATTATATGATTAATGGAAGGTAATCAAACTAATATCAAAGATATGTATAATAGAACAATATTGAAGAGGAGGAGGAGGAGGAAGAACTACTATTCTTCCTTTTGTAATGAGTTACTAATGTTTTTATTTTCACCTTTCAATAAAACACTTGATATAATTTCAAAATTTTATTCTTTAATTAATTTGTGTATTAACTATTCTTATTTTTCTTGAGATAATATTACTATGAGTAGAATAACAGTTAACACCTTTTTGTATAATATTTTCACACTATATAATATTGAAAAAATTCAAAAGTCAATTAGGTTGAATCAAACAAATCCTTCGGGTAAACAAATTCTCACCTCTGTACGTTGTTTGTTTTGTCTGTTGTGATTTTTCTTTCTTTTTTTGCTTTTTTTTACTTTTTTCCTTCGTCTTCTTCTTTTTCCGAAGGGCTTAGGTAAAAATTTATTTAAGAAATCCATCATTTCGTTTGTTAAGCGAAATGTTTGTATTGCGCGGTATTAATATCGTTAATGAGAGAGAGAGAGAGAGAGAGAGAAGATAATGCGGAAAAAAAAACGTAAACATTTCATTTGTGTTAATATGTGAATCAATGAAAATATATTTACAGAGACGCTTACAATCTTACGACTGAATAAAATGTTACAAAGTTATAAATGAATTGACCTTGTTCTCAAACAATATATGGTACACAACTAACTACCCTTTTGATTTTCTTGTCAAAAATACTAAAAGGCAACTTTGCAAGTTTCTCCAATTACAATGCAACAATCTAACCAGTTCAAATATATATGGAAAATAATATTATATCCAAGGAAATGTATTATCATTCCTAAAGAAATTGAAATTGTTTCCTTGTAAATTGTGTATGATAAAACATTTTTAACAGATCCACCACAGTGTAAATGATTTACTATATACTCTTTAAAGAGATATTATAACCCTTAAACAACAAAAATATGTGTCTTAATTATATATATTTTATGACATACCCACACATACCCACACACAAATTTTTGTAAAAGTAAACAAATTCTATAAACAAATGCTCTCTTGCACAGCCATTCACTGTAACTGTATATTTACCTTCCATTGAAAAGAAAAAGTAAACAAAATTAAGAGAGAGAGAGAGACACCGCACACATCGCGCGCGGAGTAACGGCTGAATCTCTTTCTTTAAAAATCTGTTTGTTTTCCCATTGGTCCATTGATCCCTGTGAAAGAAACGGAGAGAGGCAAGTAAATAAAGCATTACTCCCTCCCCCCTAAGTATTAAAATAAATAAATTAATTAATAAATAGATGAAATTATAGCCGATATTACTACGTATATTACTCATATTAAAACTGAATATTAATTAGTATTAACTTCTATTAAAAAATAAATGGTAAAAGGGTTATATACTCCAACAACTACAGATCACAATTTAAATCTATAACAAAGTGACATCTTTCCCGTAATTGCACTATAAGTTTCTTTCTTTAATTTGTCTGATTTCAGCGAGAAGAAAGGTTTCAAATATTAATACAATCTACCCATTATTTATATTGAACTTGATTTTACTTATTGTCTTTTATCTTTTAATAAAATAAATTGAATTAATAATACACGTGTCATAAGGGTATATTCAAACTTTCAAATAGCTTCCATTAGATTTATACCTGCTTCAACTTCCCTTCTTTGTTTTTTTACTATCACATCATTCTAATAATTATACCTGCATATATTTTCGATTTTTTTGCTTTTTTCTGTTTAGTGCTATGGTATTTTTGTTGTTGTTGTGACTTAAATAGTATATAGATTATGTTACCTTTGTTACAAAGATCTACCTTAATTAAAAATACTAAAAAAATTAATTCCTCATTTAATATATATAGGACACAATTATTTTCAAAAAAATTTCAAATTATTAAATTTTGTTCTTTAAATTTAAATCATTACAGATATATGAGTTTATCAATAAATAAACGTCAACATATATCAAATAATAATATTCACACTCGTAATAATACTAACTTAACACAATCAAATATTAAAATGCCTATCGTTGCCGAAGAAGAAAGTATTCCATTAATTGTATCTATTGATGTTGGAACAACATCTTCAAGAGTAATACTTTTTAATAAACTTGGTCAAGAAGTTTCAAAACATCAAATTGAATATTCAACATCTGCTTCTGAACAAAATTATACTCCAGCTGGTCGAAGAAGACATTCAGAAGAATTAAAGGCTAATACTTTAGACGAAGTTAAACTGACAACTAATAATAATATTAATATTAAAGAAGAGGAAGAGGAAATTGAAAAAAATGAAAAACATAGCCCAATTTTTTCTTCTGTTGGTTTTAAAATTGAAGAATCACCTTATCTGACTATTGAAGATTTAGTAAAAAATCATACAGTTGGTCCAACTTTAAGATTTCCAAAGCCTGGTTGGGTTGAATGTAATCCAACTTCAATTTTAATTAATGTTTTAGAATGTCTTGGTGCTGTTTTACAATCATTACACAATACTAATGAATCAAGAATAAGACATGATTTAAAACCATATAGAATTCATTGTATTGGTATTGCTAATATGAGAGAAACTACAATTGTTTGGTCAAAGAAAACAGGTTTACCAATTGTTGATTATGGTATTGTATGGAATGATACTAGAAATGCGTCAATTGTTAATCGTAAAAAAGAAACTACTGATCCAACTTTGCAAAATAAATTAACTGAAAAGACGGGGCTTCCTTTATATTCAACATATTTTTCTTGTTCAAAATTACGTTGGTTTTTAGATAATGTTCCTGAAGTTAAACACTCTTATTTAAATAGTGATCTAATGTTTGGTACAGTTGATACTTGGTTAATATATCATTTAACAAGTACAAATAATTTTGTATCGGATGTTACAAATGCATCAAGAACAGGATTTATGAATTTAGATACTTTAAATTATGACCCTGAATTATTAAAATATTGGGACATTGATCCAACAAAAGTTTCATTACCAAAAATCGTATCATCAGCAGAATATTATGGTGATTTTAATGTTCCAAAATTTTGTGAAGCAATATTACCTCCAACTATTAAACAATTACTATCAAATTTCGCATCATTGAAAGTACCAATCAATGGTTGTTTAGGCGATCAAAGTGCATCACTTGTTGGTCAGATGGCTTACAAAAGAGGTGCAGCGAAATGTACTTATGGAACAGGTTGTTTCTTATTATATAATACAGGTACTGAAAAATTAATTTCTAGACATGGAACTTTAACTACATTGGGATTTTGGTTCCCATATTTAGAAAATGAATTTAATATCAATAAGCCGCATTTTGCATTAGAAGGTTCAGTTGCCGTGGCAGGTTCGGTAGTTCAATGGTTAAGAGATAATTTACGTCTTGTAGCTAGAGCTGAGGATGTTGGACCCTTGGCTAGTTTAGTACCAGATTCTGGTGGTGTTGTATTTGTTCCTGCGTTTAGTGGGTTATTTGCACCTTATTGGGATCCTGATTGTAGAGCTACAATAATGGGGATATCACAATTTACTACAGCTTCACATATTGCCAGAGCTGCAGTTGAAGGTGTTTGTTTCCAAGCTCGTGCGATTTTAAAAGCAATGAGTTCAGATGCTTATTCAGAATCAAGACCTAATACACATGATGGTAAAATCCCAAAGGATATCGATTTATTGGAAGATGTAGATACTTGTACATATGAGAAATCAGTATTTTCTACACTTTCTGTAGATGGTGGAATGTCACGTTCAGATGAGGTTATGCAAATACAAGCAGATATCCTTGGTCCTTGCATTAAAGTAAGAAGATCTCCAATTGCTGAATCCACTGCACTTGGGGCAGCCATTGCAGCTAATATGGGATTTAAAGAAGAAAATGAACGTCCAATGTGGAAAAATTTACATGATTGTAAAAAATGGGTATTTTTCAATGGAGTTGATAAGAGTGAAACTATCCCAAGAGAACAACATCCAAATTTGAAAGTGTTTACTAGTCGTTCAAAGGATACAATCAGAAGAAAACATTGGAAATTATGGGAGACTGCCGTTGCTAGATCAACAGGTTGGTTAAAAGCTGTAGAAGATGCTTGATACTGATATTGCAAAACTAACTCAAACACAGAACTACTGAGTTTGGAAAGAAAACAAACTTTAATGCATTTAATAATGATATATATATATATTCCCTTTTCACTATATAAACTTTTGTAATAATATTAATTCTTTTTTTTTTTGTTTACCAAATATGTTTACAAGACTCCTCTGAATATTTTGTGACTGTCGCTTCATATAACATCCGTACATTTTAATATAATACTTTTCTAACTGCAAAACAAATTTGAAAAAAATTGAAAGAAAATAAAAATATAAATTTGGGAGTTTCACGCTTTATGGAAAAAAAAAACATATTGGAAGTTAACTAGAACCGAGATACAAACTCAATATAGTGGACATCATTGATTCAAAATTTTTCATATAAAATAAGTTATTTCAATTTTTAAATTTGTTAATTTGTTTAAAGTATTGGATTTATCTATCGTTTCCATACTAAATAAATTAGACAATTCCCAATAGAACATTACATATATTAAAATGGCTCCAGGTAAGAAAGTTGCTCCAGCTCCATTCGGTGCTAAGTCTAACAAGGCTTCTAAGGCTAAGAACCCACTAACCAACTCTACTCCAAAGAACTTTGGTATTGGTCAAGCTGTTCAACCAAAGAGAAACTTGTCCAGATACGTCAAATGGCCAGAATATGTCAGATTACAAAGACAAAAGAAGATTCTATCTATGAGATTAAAGGTTCCTCCAACCATTGCTCAATTCCAACACACTCTGGACAGAAACACTGCTTCTGAAACTTTCAAGCTATTCAACAAGTACAGACCAGAAACCTCTGCTGAAAAGAAGGAAAGATTAACCAAGGAAGCTGCTGCTATTGCTGAAGGTAAGACCAGACAAGAAGCTTCTCCAAAGCCATTTGTCGTCAAGTACGGTCTAAACCACGTTGTCTCCTTGATTGAAAACAAGAAGACTCAACTAGTTTTGATTGCCAACGATGTTGACCCAATTGAATTAGTCATTTTCCTACCAGCTCTATGTAAGAAGATGGGTGTTCCATACGCTATTGTCAAGGGAAAGGCCAGACTAGGTACTCTAGTTAACCAAAAGACCTCTGCTGTCGCTGCTTTGACTGAAGTCAAGCCAGAAGATGAAGCTGCTCTAGCTAAGCTTGTCTCTACCATCAACGCTAACTTCGCCGACAAGTACGACGAAAACAAGAAGCACTGGGGTGGTGGTATCATGGGTGCTAAGGCTCAAGATAAGACTGCCAAGAAGGCTAAGGCTGCTGCCTCTGCTTAAGTTAATTGAAAGATTACTTTTTTAGTTTTTTTCCAGTTATTTTTATGCATATTGTACAATAAAGAAAGTTTGTTGAATATTTTATTCTTTAAGCTTTTCCTTTTGCCTACATTTTGAGATCTAAGATTTCTTAATAGGTTATAATTTTCTCCTTTTTAAAAAAAGAAATTATTATTTAAACTTCATCTAGATGTGAAATGTTTAGATGGTATTGTTTGTTGAAGCATTTTCAGCAATATTTGACGTCATGATTCCATTATAGGATTACAGGCAGATTTACGCAAGAGTAGTTCGATGATTCCACGTTGATTTTTTGATCGCTATCAAATTTTGACATGTTAATTATCTAGGTGCATTACTATGGTGAGAGCGTGTCTGTATTTGTTTTCTTTTGAATTGGTCTGATTTCAAGTATTTGTTGAAAGATGTTACAGAACTTACTGATCTACATTTTCAATTTTCTTTATATAATGCACCTTTTATTCAATATTAATGTACACAGTCAGAGGTATACTGTGATTGAATGTTCATTCATATTGGCCGACTATTCGAGACAGAGTAAAGGTTGATATGGATGTTCAACAATTATATTTTGTAGTTTCCTTTGACTGTATTTATTTTTCAAATTTTAAATTTAAACTATTTTTGTCCGGGTAACATAATTTAAGTCTTCAAATTTTTTCCAGTAATGAAATACGCGTTAAATGGTATGTAATAAAATTGAAAGGGGCGGGTGGGCGAAATTATAAAATAAAATTGACGGTGGCAAGTTGCAAATAAAACTTTTTTTTTGCTCTCTCTCTCTTTTCTTCAGAGGTTCCCTCGGGTGAGGAAGGGGGGAGAGACGAGGGGTCAAAGAGTTGGCGTTTCTTGGTATAAAACAAGCCGACTTTTATTGTAATCTTTAAAACAGTTTTAGTTTTCTGCAATTTAATCATCATATCTTGGTATTCATTTCTTAACCCTTAGTAAATTGTAATAATTATAACTTTTATATTAACAACATTAAAATTTATTATATCAATTATCCTCATTATTAATAATTAACCCCTAGTTTGTAAGAAAACCCAGAAAAAAGGAATCGTTCAACGACAGGTTAAAGATAAGTGAATAAGAAGTAGATCAAAGTATATATACATAACAAGCAAACAAGAAACCCAAGAAAGAAAAATGTCCGGTGAAACTGAAACTATTGAAATTGTCGCTCAAGAGACTCCAATTGTAGAAAAACCTGCCCTTGACCCAGAAACTACTGTTTTCATTGGTAACGTTGCTTTAGATGCAACTGTCGAAGATTTAGAAAAATTGTTCAAGGACGATTACGAATCTGTTGAAGTCGACATTCCAGAAAAAGAACATAAGGGTGCCCACGTTCCTCTAAGTAAGCATGCTTTCGTTAAATTCCCTGTAACTATTGATTTTGATGATATTAAGACTAAGTTCGATTTAGCTGTCATCAACGACAGAGCTATTCATATTAAGAGAGTGAGGTCCCCAGATGAACTTCGCGGTGCTAACAGAGGTAGATTTGGTAGAGGTTCCTTCCGTGGTAGAGGCAGAGGTAGAGGTTCCTTCCGTGGTAGAGGTAGAGGTGGTTTCAGTAGAGGTCCAAAGATTCCATTATCTGAAATGGAAAGATCTACTGATACTATCTATATTAACAATGTTCCATTTGAAACCACTAAGACCGAATTGGCTGAATTCTTTGGTACTAATGAAGATTCTGTTGTCTTGCCAATGAGAAGACTAAGAGATGAAGTTACTAGAAGATCTGTTCCATCTGATAAATATAACAGAGGTATGGCTTTCATTAAGTTTGATAACTTAAGTGGTAGTATTGCTGACAAAGCCGGAGAATTCGATGGTAAGTCTCTAGGTGACAGAACTTTAGTTGTTGATGTCGCTGTTGTAAAGCCAGCTCTACCAGAACAAGCTGAAGATGAAGAAACAGCCGTTGATTCTGAAAACAAAGAATCTGCCTAAATAACTGAGCAAAACAGTAAAAAGAAATGAATTCATAATCTAATTAATTTCACGTAGTATATTTAGTTGTAAAATTAGTATATGTGTATAAGCTAAAATTTATTAACTTTCATGTCATTTTTTTTTGATAATACCTGATAGTATTGATTAGTTAAAATTGAGTCGTCCTATGTAGCTATAAATTTAATCTAAATGTTATCGTAGATGTAGTATGATTTCATTAAAAAGAATATTATTAAAGTAACTCTTAAGTTATTTATAAATTGTATATCACATGCAGTGTTTATAGTTTCCTACACTATTCATTCCGACAGCAAAAAAATAAATGATATAATGCTAGACGTATCTCTTAACCCATTTTGTCATGATCAAACCATCATTCAATACAATAAACTTTGCCTTTAATTTGTACCCACCTAATTTAGGAAACAAATAAAACATCTTAAACCAGTATAGGAAGCAAACGCCAATCGTTATTAATGTTGTGACTTGATAGGGTGGTAGTTTTGCTACTCTCACGGCTTGATCTTTAGAATCGATAAAAGGCGCAGCTAACAGATAGAGACTTAACAAGCCTAATGCAACAATGCCCGTGGATGATGCTTTTATGCCAGGTTGTGATGATTGATCAATAGACTTATGAGTATGTCTGTATATGAATAATCCCACAACTACTAGAAATAAGAAAAATTGGTTCCCATACCCTTCCATATTGATTAAATAATCAAACGATGTAGAATCTCCAGGTAATAAAACAATCCATACAATGGTCAATATACCACACAATGCAATAGAAGGTAAAGGAGCATCTCTCGGATAATTACTAGCCATGAATTTACTAAATGGCAAATAACCTTCTCTAAATATTTCTTGATTCATTCTGGAAATACCATAAGTAACGACCAAGATATTCGATAAGGCAGATAATGCTACTGTAATAGATAGAATTTTACCCCCAATGAACACACCAAATAATTTGGTGAATAAGACGGAACCAATTAAAGGGCCGGCTTCTTTAATCTCTTGAAATGTTAATACTTTCAAGTATGCCAAATTCACTAGTATATAACAAATAAAACACACAAGAAGAGACACTGGTCCTGAAATTCTTAAAGTCCTTGAAGGGTTCTTGATTTCAGATACCACGGAATGGACTGAATCCCAACCTGCAAAACAGAAAAAAGAACTTGTAATAGCTGCAGCAATAGATGATATCGAAACCATTGAACCTTCTTCCAGAGACATATAATGGAAATTATTTGGTAACATTGAAACTTCAATCTCTGCTGGTTTATAAATAAATAAAGAGTACAATCCGGTACCACACATCAATAAAATCATTATCAATTTCAATCCACCAAACAAATTTTGGATAAATATACCATGACGAACTGAGATACCATGTATTAATACTGCAAGTAAAATAACTCCAACACTTATCAATTTAGACAGGGTTTGTTCCTTAGACTCTGATATGTCGTTGTAACCCATAGTATATAGGATGTACTTCCCAAATACAATTGAGTTAGAAAGCGTTAATCCTGATAAAAGACTATAACATGCAAAAGTGACACTCATCATTAAATTAGGTTTTGTATAAGTTTGTTCTAAGAAATTTTTTCGACCACCAGATTTCGGTATCCATGATCCAAATTCTAAAAACAAATAAAGTCCGGCAAAGGCCAAGATTGCAGTTAAAATCCATATTCCAAAGAAAATTGTCACGTTACCACCACAGTTCACATACATACTACTTGGAATCGTAAAAATACCGGACCCTAGGATACGTGAAACAAATAAAATGGTGGTAGAGTATATGCCTAAATGTCTTCCTTGTGGCACCTCTATTATTTGTTGTGTAGCCTTATGATGTTCTTCAGTATCCAAAGAACAGAATGATCCGTAACCTGTAGCCTTAGACCCTAATTTATTCCGGAGCGCTAACTCCTCATTAACCACACCGGTCAATCCTTCTGTATCATTATCATTATAGCCGTATTCTTCGACGTGTACTGCGCTTGATTTACTATCCAGCAACATCGATTTAACTTTGTATTTGATTTGATTTTTTTAAATTAATACTTCAAAAACAAAAAAGTTGATTTTTTTAAAAGGTAATCAATATTTTTGGAACTGTGTTTTCGAGTCAATCCAAATGTATGTGTACGTGTAAACAAAATGATCCCTTTCTTAATAAAGAAGTGTGATTATTCATTAAAACACTATTTGTTGAAAATTTTAATTTACCTTCTGCATATAAATTATTTCTATAAATCAGCAAGAAACTATAAAGGTGAAGTAATTATTAATTTATTAAATATACGTTTCTATATATATTCTATTGCCTTCGAGTTCCCATTATCCATTTTCTTATGTAATCAATGCAATCTATTTGTTTTTATCAGCGCTATGTAATACGGCGCTATCCGCGCCTTTTGACTCACAGTTTTTTCCGCATATACATATTTTTAACAGAGTCAAAAGGACTAATAATAACTACCTTGCCAATGTAAAAGACTAATTGTAGACACGCAATTTGGAAATTTCATTGTATTTCTGGTGATAGAGTTAACTGTTATTCTTGTTATGAATAGAAAGGTGTTCTTTTTAGGTTTTGTTTTGCAATAGATGGAGTTTGGATATTTAGTAAAGCCACAGTTTGGAGTCTAAATATCACGTGATTTGTAATTTGATGATATCACTAAGCACGATTTAAAACAAATACATTCTCTATAGTTACTGAACTAATTCATTTCTAAAGTAGTCGCGATATATGCGATAGAAGGTTATCATTAGTTTGTGTATTCTATCCTGAGAAGAAGTTACGCATTGAAAGTCTACATTTACATGTAACTAGTTTCAGCTAACTATATGAGTATATATGACAACTTATTTACATAATTATGCTTTTAAATAGTGTTTTGGCTTAGGAACACCATTTAGATTTGTTATACTCCAATGAAACATGATGCTTATAAGAAAACATACATGTCGATCTCTATTTGTAGTATATCTGTCTGTAAGCTCTTCGAAGAATCAATTTTCTTGAAGTATTTAAAAAAGTAGAATTATTGCGTACGGATTGAATTACCGAAGACACTGAAAATATATATATATTTTCAGGTAGATAACTTAGACGGTATTGTATAAGTTGAAAATTAATCGAAATGATTCCTTTAATATGTCAAAATAAATAAGAAACAATTTGGAAAAGTTGAAGCATATCTACACATCACTCGATCAATTACAATAAAATAATCATAAAATTGTATTTTTAATCCATCCTTTCTTTCGTTTTTGTTATCGTTGCTATTTTAAAGATTATTTTACTTTAACTGGATGAGTTCGACAGGGAACTTTGGGCCATGGCTCTCATATTTTTATGCCTCTCTTAGAAGGGAAGCTAGAGCAAGAAAATTCCAATATGTTTTTAATATACCACATATGAGAGCTTTGAAGATTCAAGATTCTAACTTAAAATTGAAACTGACAGAGAAAAATTTGCCAATTCCTGTTCGTTTAGAAACAAATATATTCGATACCGATTTATCACATGTACAAAACCTTATACTTGCAGATGTTAGAAATCAAAATGAAGTAACATTTGGATTCCATATAAAAGATATGCAAGGTACTGTGCCGGATAGAGGCATACTCACTACACTCCTTACGAATCCTGTTCTACCTACTTATTTAGGTTCTGGATATGCAAAAGAAAAATTAGAAAGAACTCCCTTTGAATATAAATATACAATTAAATTAGAGACAGATATAGAAGATAGAACGTTACAACCATTCAATAGAATTTTATGGCCAGATCCAATTTTTTCAAATTTTTGTAGAGGGATTGGTGTCTCGCCTAAACTATATAAAGAATTATTAGCGAAGGACATTCATTTCAAAAGTCCGTGTAATAATAACTTACTTCCAATATACAAAGTTAGTTCTATTCCTGAAGGCTATAATAGCATAGGACTATTCCCTAAATTTAATAAAGATCAATTGGAAGTTTTTAACGATATAGACGGGTTGTCAGCTTTAGTTACAGCAAAACCTTGTGTTGATTATCAATATGCCAAAGTTAGAGATATTATTACATCTACTCTATCTAAGGATAGTCTTGAAACGAATAACGTTGATGATAAGGCAGTTCAATTAATCCCTATGTTATCGAAGACACATCCTTCAAGAGATACACTTTCTAAATTGCTTAAAATTGCAAAATATGATACTAAGTTATGGTCTACTAGTGGTATGACAAATAAAACATGCCCTGGTGATATTCTTCGTTCAGCTTTAGTTGCAAGGAATTGTAATAGAGGCGCATTACGGAGAGAGTTTATGAAACATTATGTTTCTTTTAATATAGTATCATTGATCAAGAGATTAAATGATCATGAAGTAAGTAAAGATTTTATTTCTCCTGAATCAAAAATTAATTGGAAATCTAGTGATTATTATATATGGCATCAATATGATAAATTACAGAAAGGATTTAAAATTCCAAATAATTTTCAAGATCTCCAACTCATACGCCATGACTTTAGTGATTTCCTCCGGAGATTATTTGAATATCATTGTTTAATTACTGCTGAAATGAAGGTTCAAGGTTCTGCGTTTTTCGAAAATATTGATGAGGTTCCAGGTACATCTAGATGTTACGCTGTTTCAACATTAATGAATTCAATTTTATGCAATAACAAAACTCTTCGAACTTTATACCCCAGTTTAGCTCTATACATCGATTCTACACTTACAATCCAAGATCAATCCAAGAGACTGTTATTGCCCAAATTGGCGGAGACTTCGTCTTCCGAACTTGGAGAACGTATTAGTAACATTATCAGAGAAATGATATCGTTTGAAAATAATGTTTTCCATGACAAATTTACCTCCCATTCAAGAATGCGTTCAGAAATCAATTCTCCAATGAAGGATTGGAAAATTATTATATTACATAAGAAACCGTTTAGTGTAGAACAGATCCAAACAATGAGATATCAATCGAGGATATTCACGCAATTTACTAATACTCTTGAAAGCATTGAAAAGATAAGTTACTCAATTTGTGTGGAGAAAAAAATGATTGATGAAGATACCATTATTTATTTATACAAAATGAATAGGGAAAAGAAATCTTCCTTGTATAATATGATGGCTGAAATCATGCAAAACCCTGACGCCAAAAATGTACAAGAAATGTAAATAGTAGGTTATATCATATATAATGAAAATCATGTAACTAATATATATGCCTGTATGTATCTTATAAGTGTTATCATCCCTTTAGGCGAACGTTTCCGTCTATTTTTGAAATTGAGCCTTTTCTAAGAAGAAAGGTTCCTGGTTAGTCTTCTTTATCCAAACTATTCTATCGATTACAGAATCGGCAATAATAAATTGCTTAATGCCCCAGTCCCCTTTTCCGAACACATCAGGTAATTTTTGAGCTAAGTGTGGGAATAATTCCTTATAAAAACTCATGTACTCCATAACGTCATCTTTTTCTACCACAATATTTGATGCAACTTCTCTGAATGTTGGAATTATAAAATCAGGTATTTGATATTCTAATTTTTTATCAAGTGTATCTTTATTAGCGATTCTGACTATCCATAGCATTAATGCTTTATTTAATACTCCTTTGGAGATTAAATCTTCAAACTTAATTACACCAAATCTTAATAACATAGCATTAGCAAAGACTTTATCACTTTTGAATATCGTTTTAAATGAGATTATATCTTTCTGTGAGATCTCCTTAATAGTAATTTTTTGTTTCTTAGCAAGCGCCTCCATTGTAGTGTTCAGTATTCTTCTTTGAGAGTTCAGATATGATTTTAAAGTTTGAATTGCTCCGTCACTACCTTTTATACTCTTAATCAATTGTTTAACAGAACTTAATTTAGATGAGATAACATTATTTAATTCATCAGATCCTTCCAGTACACTCCTATATGTGAGGTTATCTTCTGATCTTAGTTTACAAAGGAATCCAAAAAGTTGGAACAATGGTAATGGCAGAGAGTTCTCATAAGATAACTTGAACTGAACACAACCAGGAGCAATCAAATTATCAGATGTTAGTTTAATTCCTTGTTTCTGAGTTGCGTCTTTCAGTAAAGAATCATCAAGCCTTAAAGTTAATCTACAGTAATCGTACTTGTTTGCCTCTTCAACAAAACCATAGCCTAATAATAATTCCTCATTCGATTTATCACCATAATTGTTATATAATTGATCATTTGGAGTTCCTTTTGTATTTTTAAAATTCAGCTCATTTGAAATAAAATTTACTTTATTTTCTGAGAAGGTCCATCTAGTCTTAGTATCATTTTTATGATTCAATAAATCTATGATAGGCATTAAGAATGCTTGGTTAATATTTTTACAGTCAGGATTGATTACAATCTCAGGGAATGCTCTAGAACTGAATATACAGAATGCCCATAAATAAGCAAAAAAACTATTCCAGTGAATCAATTTCATATTTTCATCAAAAATTTTCAGGGACTGCTGAATATATTCAAATACAGAATTTAGTGTATCCTCATCGTTAAAATCGCAGTCATCCTTATATAACAATTCTTCGATATCATTCTTAAATGGTTTTGATCCAGTTAAATTCAGTATGGCTTTCCATTCATTTTTTAAACTGGTTAGATTTTGTTTTAATAGAACGTAAATATCAGTCTTTTTCAATAGTTCTAAATTTTCCTCCGTCCAAAAATATGGATGAGTAAGATGTTTTGGAAGAGTATCTAAATAAAATTTAAAAAAATTCTGTTTAGATAACAAGATTTCGGGTTGAGATTCATTTTGAAATTTTAATTGACAAAGATATAACTGAGTCAAAGCATTTAAGTTAGAGTTCTGATCTTCATCAGTTTCAATACAGAACGACTCCAATGCAAGTTTCTTTGTGATGAGTAAACTAGATGGAATTGAGATCAATTTTCTATCATTCAATGAGTCTATTTTGTTTGGATTGGTTATGCATGCATATGCTCCGTTACCGGCACTTATATTAAATTTAATAGCATCATCAATAATTGAGCCATTCTCTTTGGACCATTTGATTAGGTTATCTAATTTTCCAGTATTTATCATTATCGGCAGTTGTCCAGAATGAAAGAAAAGTACAGAAAACAATAGATTTGGTGAATCTGTTGGGGAATTTTAAGGTATCAACTAATTATTACTAGCAATAATTCTCTTTTTTGTTTTCTTGCTTATAACAAAATTTCAACAATTTCAAAAGGTTTGTATTATGTTTGTTAAGAGGTGCATTTGCTTGGTAAAAAAAAAGATCGATGAATTTTAAGAGTTGCGTACTTTACCGATGCTAGATGACGCGATGAAGTTTTCTTAAGGCTAAATGAATCATTTTGAATAAAAGAGGAGCATCGAAGAAAAAAATTTCCGCATTTTGTTACGTAATATAAGATCTATATAGCTCATCGGTACCAGGGAGGGAAACCATTAAAAGTAAAAAGAACAAGGATATTACTAATTTAATCGATAAATTACACGTTAATTGCGCCCGTAGCATTTCAATAAACGAAAAACCAAGAAATTCCATTGTCCCTAAAATATACTCGTTTTAGAAAACATTTGGGGGTAGAACAAAGAAAGTTTTGTCGTTAGTATATATATTTTAAATCATACCCATTATAATATGAGCTACAGATGAGACTAAGGTTAAGGGAGTGTGTCTCATTGGGACGCAAAATATATGGTTAAAGTAGTATCATACATCAATGTTACTGTCCATACCTTGACATTGAACGGATTAAAATGGTACTCTTAAACGAGAGGGGTCGTTATATTTCGTATCAATTGTCCTTGTAGTAATTATATCTTTTAAACGATGCATAAACGTATATATATATATATATATATGTATTCTCTTCTTCTTTGTTAGTGAGCTCAAATGTAAATTAAATATAGTGGAGAAGGGACGCATAAAAATATTCTCCCTTTCTTTCTTTTTTGCCAAGCGTAATTCAAGACAAGACAGTAATATTCTAACAAACTATACCATCGAGAATGGTTCAATCTAAAAGTGTTTACCAGTGAATCGCTTTTTGTAACCGTTGAAACACGCAAATTAAGTTACAATTATTCTTCATCAATTAAATATAAAGAAAATTGCACCTTTTTTATTAATATAACTGATTCCTTCAATCTCTTGTGAACGGTATAATTAATTGAAAGATAGTCAGCTAAAAACAGCCAAGACAGCTATCATTTTGACAATATTATGAAAGAAAGCACGCACACAACCCATTCTACGCCGTCCCTGTAAGTTTCTTTCTTTCATACGCAGGAGCAATGAACGTTTGCAAGGCCGATAATACACAGTCTGTGCACTTCTCTCGTTGTTTGTACGGCTCTTTCTCCCCCTGTATCTTCCCTTTCTTTTTTCCCCGGAAATTATGCAACCTAACAGCTACCCAGTAGGGAAATTATATAATTTTTTTACTGCAAAAGTGCACCTGGTTAAGTTGAATTGAGTTTAAATCCAAATAATTTAAATTGAGAGTTGAATGCTACGACAGATCCTTCATCAATTGCTGGGTTTGTTTGTTTTAAGAAAGTGTAACTTATTAGGTGATAATTACAAATTGAAAAAAAAATTTATTAGTACCGTTTGCTAGTTATCCATAAGGGACTTAATGAGATATTGTGCAGGACAAACGTAGAACTAAAGGATTTTTTTTAGTAAAATCTTAAAGTTTTGGGAGAAGGGTGCACTTTGATGAAAAAGATGCAGCATATTCAGCGATGAGCGACAGGCATTGTTAGAATTAAAAATGAAATATTAGAAAATTGAGTAGGTTTTTTTGGTAGTAGCAATTACGATGACTACCGCACACATGCGATATAGTAGCTAGCTTAACAACTCCTTTCCTTTCTTTTGTATCTAGGAGAATTAGTTTATTCATATCTATTAATTTATATATAAACTGTAAGTATAGTAGTGTATCCATTTGAGATGAGGTGAAAATTTATAATGCTGTCGCATTTCTTTTCAAAAATTTAAATTTTGTTCGTTATTTCCAGAGAATAAAGTTCATCAACTTCTGTACATTAGATTAAGATTCATTATGAGTGCTAGGTCTAGTATGGAAAATATTGAGAAGCATGTCTTCCAACATGATGTCACTGATAAAGTTGACACCAATCAAACTGCTTCGGTTGTAGAGGTTGATGACGGTGAAACCAATGAACCACCAATTAATAATGTTATGGAAACTAAAAGTAAGAATCTTATGATTAAAAAAACAGAAATTATGTCTGCTGTTTGTGATAAATGGTATCAACATGTACTATTAATCTTTTGCGCTTTCATTTGTGGTTATGGTTATGGTTTAGATGGTAATATTCGTTATATATATACCGGTTATGCTACTTCATCATATGCAGAACATTCATTGTTATCTACCATTAACGTTATTAATGCCGTCATAAGTGCAGTCTCGCAGATTATGTATGCAAGATTATCCGATGTCTTTGGTAGATTATCTTTATTCATTGCTGCAGTAATATTATACGTTGTTGGTACTATTATTCAATGCCAAGCTTATGATGTTCAAAGATATGCCGCTGGTTCAATTTTCTATAATGCAGGTTATGTTGGTGTTCTTTTGGTATTATTACTAATTTTATCAGATTTTTCTTCTTTAAAATGGAGATTATTCTATCAATTTGCACCAACTTGGCCATTTATTATTAATACATGGATTTCTGGTAATATTACATCTGCAGCCAATCCAATCAAGAATTGGTCTTGGGATATAGGTATGTGGGCTTTCATCTTCCCATTATCATGTGTTCCAATCATCTGCTGTATGTTATACTTCAGATGGAAAGCCTCAAAGACTCCAGAATGGCAAGCTATAAGTCATGAAAAGACTATGTATCAAGAATATGGGTTGACTTCAACTATTTGCCAATTGTTCTGGCAATTAGATATTATTGGTGTAATTTTGATGGGTTGTATATTAGGCTGTATCCTTGTTCCTCTAACATTAGCAGGTGGTACTCAATCTAAATGGAATGATGGTCGTATCTTAGGTCCATTTGTCTTAGGTTTTGTTTTAATTCCATTCTTTTCATACTGGGAAATTAAATTTGCTAAATATCCTTTAGTTCCAGGTAAATTAATTAAAGATCGTGGTGTTTGGGCTGCTCTAGGTATCTCTTTCTTGATTGATTTCATTTATTATATGGCTGCTGATTATTTGTATACTGTTCTGATTGTTTCAGTTAATGAATCGGTTAAATCTGCCACAAGAATTTCATCCTTATCTTCTTTCGTCTCAACTGTCGCATCACCATTCTTTTCATTGTTTTTAACAAGATTCACAAGATTAAAGCCATTCATCATTTGTGGTTGTTCCCTTTGGTTCTTAAGTATGGGTCTACTATACCATTTCAGAGGTGGTTCAGAATCTCATTCAGGTATCATCGGTGCTCTTTGTGTATGGGGTTTAGGTACTGTGTTATTCACATATCCAGTCAATGTCTCTTGTCAAGCTGCCACTAGTCATGAAAATATGGCTACTGTTACAGCATTAAATTATACCCTTTACAGAATCGGTTCAGCTGTTGGTGCTGCTGTGTCTGGTGCCATTTGGACACAAAAACTATATGGACAAATCTTAAAGAAGATGGGAGATGAGACATTAGCTCAAGCTGCTTATTCTTCACCGTATACATTTATTGTCACTTATACATGGGGTACACCTGAGAGAGAGGCATTGGTCCAGGCATATCGATACATTCAAAGGTTGGAAACAGTAGTGGCTTTGGTCTTCTGTGTTCCATTGGTCGGGTTATCTCTATGTTTAAGAGATGCTAAATTGACTGATAGTGTTGCCCATAATGATATTGCTGAAGGTGAATACATTGATAAGAAATCCGATGATCCAATTGGCGAGTTCTTTGTTCGTATGTTCGGTAGAGGTAAGGATTCTCAACATTCTCACAATAACGTCACTGATTCATCAACTACAACAGATAGTCATAAGACTGAATCTTTTACAGAAAAGGACTCTCAGCACAAAGCATAAATTACAGATATTTACATACAACAGACGTTATTTTTCATTTCCTTTGTATATATAGCATCTCATTACTATCTAAATATTTTCGGCCTTTGGTATATATTGTAAATAAGTAATAATAATAATGAAAAAATAAAATAATAAAGATAGTATACATTAATAGTTACGACATAGAAAAAAACATACTAGAATCATATAGGGAATAGTTGTTTTAAATCGTAGTGTTCATTTTTTTTTTTTGTCTAGCTAATCATGTAATATTTTGTCTCTGAGATGAATGAAAAAAAGTTCAACTTCTTTCGTCTAAGTTGTTGATCGCGTAGTCATTGGTGGTTTTGTACGACGGGTTCTGGGGTATTGGTAGTTGCACCCCATTTTGCTACTGGCACGTCTATATTCCTGCCAGGCCTAAAGAGAGGATTTAATAAATATATAAAAACATTGTATTTGAATGGTTTAGTTTACTCTATTTCTTTAACGACCTTTTACTCGAGATTACAGATCATCAGGAGTAGAATGTTGTTTTTCATGATTAGAAAATGTCCAAATTATTTAGACATTTGATATATTTTATTATAAATGCATCGCTGATCTTTGCAAAATTTGTTAGAAGAGACACCTGGGAAAGAAATTCGGTACTAGGATGTGCTTTCCAGTTGTCCAAGGTACAAAATTGGGATCATAAAGATTCTTCGACGGGACAATTTTATTACTCTGTTTGTAATTATATGCCGGCCTTACAATCATGGGTATTTTGCATAAATGATGCTGTCAATAGGTTTAGCCAAAACAAAGATAATACAGTGTTTAATAATAGTATGGTGGACTTGAAAAAGACATGTTCTTCAATTAATGCGTTGATTAATAGTATTACGATAGCAGACTACTATGAAATACTAAATAATGCATCACATGATATACGGCGAGATTATCCGTTAAATGAGAAGGAAGGTCTTATTAACTATCCAATATATATCAACAGAACAACGATCGATCCGATTATCAACGCTTATCATAATTATTTTAGCAACACCGATCGTAGTAATTTTTCGGTTTACTATTATTATGTTTTCTTCTTCGTGATATTCCTTGTTGCAACAATGGTTAATTATCTGAATCATAGCAACAATCTGCGATATTTTTCGAAGTGGAAGTCATGGTGTAAGATTAAGGGATTACTTGTGAGGTGTCTCTATAACGGACATCATACTGAATATGTTAAATTTTTAGGGGATGGTTTTATAGGTTTACTACCAACAAGGTTGGAAACCACCATAATAACGAACTATATCACCTTAAATGGAATTATGCTAGCGATTGGTTATAAGATTGATCCAACAAACTCATTGTTCAAATCATCTTCCCTGCAAATTTTACGACTTGTGGCTGATAGATCTGGTATCTTAGCCTTTGGGAACCTGCCAATTATATTTCTATTCGGTACGCGGAATAATTTATTGATGACGCTAACTGATTTTAATTTTACTACATTCATTTCTTTGCATAAATGGGTAGGTCGTATAATGATAATTGACTCTTTGATTCATTCTTGCTGTTATTTATGCTATTCGATAGTTTCCGGATCATTTGTATTCAGCGAACTTGAATTGTATTACAAATGTGGTATAGTAGCTATGGTTTTATTACTCTTATTATTTTTCCTCTCTCTGGGTTACATTCGAAAATATTACTATGAAGTATTTTTGTACACACATATACTTTTGGCCATTGGATTTATGGCGGCATGTTGGAAACATGTTGAAAACCTTGGTTGGAAAAATTGGTTGATAATTTCAATTGTATTATGGATAGTTGAAAGGTTGGCAAGAATATTTAATGTTATATTTAATGGTGGACTTTTGAATTCAAAGCTTTCCTTGATTGGAACTAATGATAACACGGAAGATAATTTGATCAGAGTGGCGATACAGAAGAAGAATATGAGACCTCTTAAACCTGGCCAATATTTTTTCATTTATTTCATGCATCCATTAATATTCTGGCAATCTCACCCATTCACAGTTATTGATGTAGTACAAGATGAGAAGATTATTATAGTTTTGAAACCTAAAAGTGGCGCCTCAAAAGTTCTTTATGATTCTTTAAGAAAGAATTACAATGCGTTAGACATAAAGGTCGCCTTAGAAGGACCTTATGGACATAGTGCCCCGATACATCATGCAGATAATATTTTATTGATTGCAGCAGGAACGGGTATACCTGGTCCATTGTTTCATGCAATGGATTTAACGAGTAGGTTTCAAGAACATACTGGTAAGAAGATCCAACTAGTTATTATTATAAGAGATAAAAGTATATTGAATGCATTTAAAGATGAGATTTTAACCTTGCGCAATAAAGATGTTGCTATAGATGTTTTCTTAACAAGAGAGGGTTCATCAAAGTCTGTTTCTCATCATCACACGGAGTACACCTCACTTTTACCAAGAACACTTGACATCGAAGATATAAAGACGTTTTCAAAAGTTTCCTTCGGTAGACCTAATATTGAAAATATTATTGTATCATGCATCGAACCAAACAAAAGACTGGCGATTCTCTCTTGTGGAGCCCCTCAGTTCGAGGATTCTTTGCGTAATATTACTTCAACGGTCATTATGAACCACCCAGAATCAAATATTGACTATTATGAAGAATTTCAGCGTTGGTAATAAAAAAAATGTACCGTCAAAGAATCTACCATAATTTTAGCTTCATAAGAGGTTTTCAATTAGATTACCTTTAGTATAAAATTTTATATTGCATATATTCCACTAAATAACCTTAAAATAATCACTGTATATTCTTGAAAATAAATTTCCACCCCAAGGCTGGATCTTGTTTGATGTCATAGTTCGTTTATTAGCATTTAAAAAGTAAAACAATCTACCAGTTTATGTTTTCCTTATCACATTATCAAGAATACATCTTATACTAACGTGGATCGATGGACTAAAAATTTTCCATTTATTGTCATGGCATAAAAAAAATTTACTGTAAGCGTTACCATTAGTATGGGAAGTTCATTACTTTTTTCTCTCAACAGTGTTCACTAAAGCTCCTATGGGATACGCCCAAAAAAGCCCCCAAACCGTAGCATCGACCCATATTTTAAGTTTTAAGCTTATTATCGTTTATAACATGTTCTACTTCTAAAGCTCTCGCTAATAGAATATATTAAATGTTTACAACCACGGTTTTTTTATTTTATTCATCTGTGTTCTTTTTTTAAAAAAAAGGAAAGAGAGCCAAATATATTAAACGGAATTTAAGCGTAAAATATAAATACAAAAACATAGTTTCTGTTGCTGGAAGTCTTAAACGAGATAATTTTTGATGTTCTCTCTTTCTATTATATCTAAAAAATTGGAAATTAGGAAATAAGCAAAAAGAGTAATATATTGAGAAAACACTTCCTACAACAGATGAGTTATTTTTTTCCTGAATGTGATTCGAAGGAAAAAACAAAAAAGCACAGATCTTCGTTAAGCATCAAAGATCTCCTTTTTTGTATACAATCAGCGTACAAATGCCGTCGTTTGAGAGGTCAATCTATTTTGATCTCAGATGGTTCCTAATGATTGTCGCCCGCTGCTATTATATCGTTGCGTACTGAAAATATTTCCTGAATAGGGAAAAATCAGAAGGCGGTGACACGGGGACGCGCTTTCCATTTCTTTTAGTGGGAAATGTCACTAATTTTCCTGTAGGAGTGACGCATTGGGGAGTGTTAACTATGGCAGCTTCCGTTAAGGAAGCTACAATTGCGGATCTGTAAACGAGATTTAGAATTGAAAAAACAAAGTTGGTACCTCATCGAATATGAATTAGGAGCACAAACGATGAGAAGGAGATATATGGGCATATGTTGTGCAGATGTCTCCAAAGTTGCTGTGTTACTGATGATTCCATGATTGAAACCTCTTTTAATCTCGCTTAGAATTCTTATTCGTTTTCGACAGATTTTTTCAGTGGGAGGCTTTGAGTGGTCCCTGATTATGTACTGGTTTTATGTAGCATCTTCATAATATCTGTCAATAATCGTCGCTACATTTTACAATGTTTATTTTTTTTCCTTTTTTGAAGTATAGCAAGTTCCCTATCACATTTAATGTAAGGTAGATATTATAGTACAAAACAATTGCATCCCAATCAGCACGTTACTTATATTATTATGGAGGAGTAAATATTCCTCAAACCTAGAAATCAGAAGAGAAGTACATAGAGAGTGAATGATTGCCAAGAATTAGTACACGCTGTTTTACCAAAGCAACTAATACATACAAAGTACGAACAAAAAAAACTTGTATTTGTTCATGTGTCCAGTTAATTTTTTGCATATGGGCTACTTTTAATGTAGTTTCGATTTCTTATGTAAGTCTTCCAGGTAAATAGAAAGTTTGCAAAGTATTTTGGGAACTGTTTCTCCTCCTTCCAACTTATTTCTGAATTGTATAAAAGATGAGTGGGTAGGCATCATACAAGAAGAAGAAAATATTTGGTACTTTATCTTGAATCTTTTACTTCTCCTTCTTCATTTCCTTCCTTTCTTTGTATGTATATATTACCTCAATTCAGATAACATAATACTATATCAATACAACTAAATAAATAGTTATGGGTACCACAACTTCGAAGACAACGGTCACCACAACCTCTACTACGTCAACCACTTCGACCACCCCGATTGTGGTTCCTACAACCTCATCTACTAGTACCACGCCTATAACTTCTTCTACTACTAGCTCTGTTGAATCTGTTGTACCAACATCATCTTCCGTTACTTACACCACTCTGTCATCAGATATTTTATCGTCAGCACTATTATCCTATCTGAGTTCTTCCTCTATATCTGAGACAGTAACTTCATCTGGTTCCCTTCTTGTTCAATCATCTAGTATCATTTCTTCAACTTCTGAAGAACCAGAGAGTTCTATAATCAGTTCGAGTTTTGTTCCATCTTCCAGTATTCCTTCCAGTCTGACTACCTCAGAATATGTATCCTCACTAAACACCGCATCCAGCTCTGAATTATCTGAGGTGTATAGCAGTTCCGTTCAGTCCTCATCTGCATACGTTGTATCATCTTCTACGGTTGAGTCATCTTCCGTCGTATCATCAAGTACAGTTCAAACATCTAGTTCTGTATCATCCAGCATGGAGGTATCATTTACCGAACTATCGTCTTCTACTGTTGAACCTTCTTCAAGTTTTGTATCTTCTTCTAGTGTCATTCCATCATCTAGTGCCATTTCATCATCTAGTGCCATTCCATCATCTAGTGTCATTCTATCTTCTAGTGTTATACCATCTTCGAGTATCGTGCCATCTTCAAGTATTGTGCCATCTTCAAGTATTGTACCATCTTCAAGTATTGAAACATCTTCAAGTATTGAAACATCTTCAAGTATTGTGCCATTTTCAAGTATTGTACCATCTTCGAGTATTGAAACATCTTCGAGTATTGTACCATCTTCAAGTATTGTACCATCTTCAAGTATTGAAACATCTTCGAGTATTGTACCATCTTCGAGTATTAAAACATCTTCGAGTATTGTACCATCTTCAACTACTGTACCATCTTCGAGTATTGAAACATCTTCAAGTAGTATTTTTATTTCAAGTTCTTCTATATCATCTGTTGGTTCCTCATCCGAAAAAGTTGCAACGTCGTCCAATTCGATAATAAGTTCAACAACTCCTGTATCTTCTATTGCTGTTAGAATGACAACTGAAACTGATATCAGTACTTTATTGTCTACTATCACAGAAAGTGCTACTACAACCGAAAGAACTACCATCACTGATTTCTCTACTATCACCGATACTGCAACAGTCACTGATACAGCAACAATTACAGCCGTCTCCACCGTTACCAGTACCGACACTATTACAGACGTGTCCACAGTAGTTGATACAGAATATATCACAGATACTACAACTGATTTTGTGACTTTGACTAATACAGCTACGGTTACTGCTTTGTCTACAATTACTGATATTACTACTGCTACCGTCACGAACACAGCTACTTTAACCAATACTGAGACTGTGACAGATTCTACTACTGAATATGAAGTAACTACCGAAACTGAATTATCTACCGCTACTGCTACTCTTACAAATGTTGAACTATCAACTGTTACTGAAACTGCAACTGCAACTGCAACTGCAACTGTTACAAATGAAGAAACATCGACTGTAATTCAAACAGACACTCAAATCGTTACTGAAACAGACACTGTCACTAATACCGTTTCTGAGGTTTCAACTCAAGTAGTTACTGAAACTGAGACTGAAACTAAAACGGATGTTATTACAAGTGTCGTATCTGACATTTCCATCCAGACTGTTACTGAGGTTGACACCATTACTGAGACTGTTACAAACGTTGCTGCTGTCGACGCTGAGTCGAAATCTCATGCGACCTCTTCGCTTAGCAATCCTTCACTCATGAGTTCATCACTTAGCAGTTCATCAATGATCACTTCTTCTCTTAGCAATTCTGAATTGAAACCACAACTTCCAAATGGTACATCTATAAGCTCGGTTTACAGCAGCGCTTCAAGTTCCAGTAATTCAGCTACTTCTGTAGCCGTTTCCTCAATAGATTTACATCCGGTGAGTGCTATGATTTCATCATCTTCAGATTCCGATAATTCAAGTGAATTAATTTCTTCAGGTATCCTTTCAACACTTTCTTCTGCCCCGATCACTGTTACGTCCAGTACTTCTAGATACAATGCATCCTCTGCTTCTGGATTGGATACTGTTAGCACAAATACAAAGGCCTCTTCAGTTACAACAATCATTGCTTCTATAACTGACTACAGTAACATCACAACTAGTATAGATAGTAGTAGCACCCAATCGACTACTTCATCTGATGGCATTCAGTCTACTACCGGTTCAACCTCCAAGGTGACAGTTGAATCCCTTTCTGGTAACGGATATAATTCAACACTATCCAGTCAAGCTACAACTATGGCACCAGCTCAAAGCACCACCACTACCACATTGAAAGAAATTGATTCTGAGTACACAACAACCTGTCCAGAATCCGAAACAAGCACGGTAACTAAAAATACAGCACAAGCATCCCAAACTGATGTTTTAGTTAAAACCGTAACTGTTGATTCGTTAACAACCGTGATAACAACGACATGTAATGGAGGCTGCGATGTTGAAGATAATCATACATCTGAAACAACGACTTCAAACTCATCGACTATGACATTTGACGAACAGGTCGTGTCAAATGTAAACATTGTTAGCCCTTCGCTAATTGTAACATCTAATATTGTGAAGAACACATCTTCTATTAATGCTATAACCTCGACCGATAAGAAAGAAAACATAAGTGCAGTATCAACTGCCAATATTGTTGAGACCTCTCAAAATACCCTTGCTGCTAGCGCAGATACCACTGTGAAGTCTACGATTGTTCAATCAGAAACTCTTGCTTGGAGTGGAGTTTCAGCATCTAGTACAGTTACATATTACTCAGATAACGCAGCTGTTAAGAGAGATGGCTTTGGGGTCAACTATTATGGCTCAAGTTTGTTCGTCCTTGTATTACTATCATTATTATAGGTGAGTTAAATAATTATAAATATATAGAATACATTACCTAATTCAATAAAAGTCTTATAAATGGGCTAAAAGAAATATATAAATAATTTCCTAATTTTACAATATAATTAGTTTTACCAATTGGTGTGTGAAGTATCTCAGTTTTTGAAAACGAGATAGGCGAAATTACATTTATGTAAATTGGCTCTTACAACGACAAAAATTTCATGAGGGGTCTATCGCGCCGCGAACTGTATTTATTTACTAAGATGATAGAAATAGTTAATAAGATCTTGAACTTGGATAGCTTACAGCAATAGTATACTCCATCGGTTTGAATATCGATTAATTGTATAGAAAAATTAATAATATTGTTGGTTGTAAAATTGATTTTCCTCAATTTTAATGTTTCCTTTTAAAAAATCTTATTTTTTAATGTTTTCTGTGTTTTTGCTAACTTTTTGTTTACATGACATAGAGGTTAATCTTAATTTCGGTGAATTGCAAAACAAAAAAAAAAATATTAATCGAATTTTTTTTGGAAATATGTTTTGTCTTATTTAATATCGTTGTTAGTTTTGTTTGCGGTAAAAATTATGTGTGCCTTTTCATAGGCCTTTACATTATGTTCCAGCTCTACTTCCGCTCGCCTATCCTTCTCCCGCTCCACCAACTGGACCTAGACTCAGGCAGAAGACACTTAGACGCACTCATATGGAATCCCTCTTAGACCCTCTCTATATTCATTTCTTTCTACAAAACTCCTGCATTGATGTGATCATAATGATATGTATTATGTATTAGACACTGACGGTTTAGTCCGTGATCGTTTGTTTATAAACTATAATTATAATATATATATATATATATATATATATGATATTGTTAGTAAAATGTAATGATGAGTAGTAAATGTATACAAGTAACAACATACCCATATTCTGACTTGTAATGGTGTGATACCACACTCCATTGCCACAATCTGTCTTTCTTCCCTGGTGATCCACTGTTTCTTTTCAAATACTTTTTCCAAAAATTCTTTAGTACTCTTACTAATAGTGGTTCTCTTACGTTTCTTTGGTACAACCAGAAGGTTGTAGTTATCGTACAACCTTTTTAAAAGTTCCTTCTTTTCATGCAAACTAAGTCCCGAATCGAGAAATACGCCGAAACCTAAAAGTTTTTAATTGGAGTCTTTAAAAACGATGTAATTTGATATGATTGTCAGATTAATTAATCCAAAAAGAGACACAAGCAGATTTGTTTACGAAATTTGTTTACATTTCAAATGCGGAAAAGTGGAAAAATGTCAATTTTTCCCTTAAATATTTTTTGATGTAATTCCGTATTTCCCAATGTGGAAATATCTCTTCGAAAAATTCCAAAAGAGAATATTACCAAAGACCACTAAAGATCAGTTACTTATAGTATGCTAGAAAAAGATATAGCCCTTCCATGTTACAACATTTAAGTCTCCAGAGTTGTGTAAAAAAAACGCATCATACAGAAATACATTAAGCACAATCAATTTCGAGTGAATATAAGTTCTTTTTCTTCTCAGAACTGAATAGCTTGACTTAAAAGTAAAGAAACGTTCATTTATTTATTTATTGTAATTATTTATCTTTTGTATCATTATATATATTCAGAGAAAGAGGGAGGTGTGGTAGAGAATCTTTGGGGAAAAAAGGTATTCTCTAATATCTTTCAACTTCAACATGATCACCCTTTCTAGCGGAGGATTCAATGAAAGCAGCAACACAAGCCAAATGATGGAAAGCTGCTCTTGGAGTAGAAATCAACAAAGATTTATCTTTCTTGGAAACAGCGTCATGGAAGTTAGTAAATTCTTCGTAGATACCGAATGATTTATCTTCGTTAACGCTGTAAACTTCTTCTTCACCAGAATGTTCTGCATCACTACCGACTTTAACTTTAACAACTGGAGCAGCCTTATTAGATAGTTCGATCATGATAGAACCGTTAACACCATAGATCTTCAAATAGATCCATTTGTCTGTAGCACCAAAAGCAGAGCCGTAACTGAATGAACCAATACATTTAGAGTCTCTAATCTTAATAGTAGAAAATACAATATCATCATCCCCAGATGCTTCACGAACTTGGCTCGTTAATGCAGAAATAGATTCGAATTCACCGACCAAAGCTGTAACCAAAGCTAATTGATGAACACCACCATCGGATAAAAATCCACCGATATGTTCTGGATGTTGTCTCCAAGAAGTACTCATGTACTTATTGTTTAAAACAAATGGACCCGTAGAGTTATGTTGGAAACCAACAATTTCACCTATACGTGGTAAATGCCCTTTAGCGACATTAATAGCTTGTAAAAATGACCAATTTTCAGAGATAGCAATTGGTAAATCTGAAGCCTCAGCGACTTCAACCAATTCTCTAGCTTGTTGCATGTTAGCAGCAATAGGCTTTTCAATTTGAACTGGTTTACCTGCCGCAATACATTTCTTGACAGCGTCCAAATTAAACTGAGCTGGTAATAAGACATCAACATAGTCAACATCTTTATCATTAATTAAGGATTCCATATCATCGAAAACTTTGTCATCTGGTAATCCGGCAAGTTTTGCAAACTCTTCGGCCTTAGACTTAGTTTTGTTAGTAGCAGCGACAACTTTGAACTTGTCAGGATGAGCTTGGAAGACAGGTAAATGACCATCTCTAGCAAAGATACCGGTACCTACAACACCGATGTTTAATGGAGACATAGCTGAAAATTTTTCTTTTTTTGTAAATGGAATATATATATATATACGACTGTGTGTATATATGTGGATCTATACTTAGTTACTCTTTTCTGAATCAAACAGGGAATACGTTAGTAACGCAAAAAGAAAAATAATCTTACAGTTCCTTGTTTATATAAGAACAAGCTGAAGTATTTCTATATTTATCTCTCAACGAACAAGACGGCCTCTTCTCTCCCCTCGATCCTCAATGTGGGGCCTATTCTGATCGGGCTGCCATACCCCGCGAAAATGCTATAAGCACAACAGAACGTGTTAAACACACACAACTCCTTCTGCGTGTATGTTGTGGGCGTAATACCCATAAGATACAACGATTGAGAGCGGAGTTAAAAACAAAAAAAAAGAAATGGAACGAAAGAGAAAATGGCGGCGTTAAGAGAGGAGATAAAGATTTAGTTAATTGTCTTATTCTGCATGTTTGATTTATTCAATTTTATGGTGAGATTTTTTAGGTTTTTGAGGTAGTGGTAGGTTTGGGTGATTTAGTTAAGAGACGGGGTTATATAGATAGTAACTATGTGGATGTTGTCGATGATGATGATGTCAATATTGAACTAATTAGGAGACTAGCGATCTTATAGACAGCCAGATGACGCTGTTCAGGCTACAATGAGAAGCGGCGGGGGAAACGTCACAAGTTCCTGTGTTATAGTAACAAGAAGAGCGGATTGCTTCTGTTTCGCGTTCTCTCTTGATGACAACATTTCTATGTTGGTTGTGGTTTATAGCTTCTTGCATGTTTATATTTTCACTTTTCTTGGCGAACAACAATAAGAGAATTCGAAAATATGAAAAATAATTTAGTACTTGAAGAGAGAAAAAAAAACAATCATTCTACCAAGGCAATATAGAAGAAGAACGAAGCAAAACCTAAGGAAAAGAATTTGTAAACACCACTAATATAGATATCTGCACATATACACAAGAAAAATATACACCATGTCTAGAAGATTAAAAAGAACAAACTTATTTTCGAAGGATGTTAGTTCGTTATTATATGCTTATGGTGATGTACCACAACCATTACTTTCTACAACACATTGTTTAGATGAAGTTGTCGCACAATATTTAGTGGATGTATGTACATCTGCTGTAAATGTATCCCAGAATAGTAATAGGAATAAGGTTAGATTAGAAGATTTTAAATTTGCATTAAGGAAAGATCCAATTAAATTGGGAAGAGCTGAAGAATTAATTGCCACTAATAAAGTGATTACTGAAGCCAAAAAACAGTTTAATGAAGCAGATAATTCATCTTTGAAAAGATTTAGAGGACAAAATGGTGAAGAAGAAGAAGAAGAAGATGGTGAAGAAGATAATGAACAAGATGATAATGTTGATGGTGATGAGGGAGGAAGTACAGATAATTATTCTACAAATAGTAAAATATCATCAAATAAGAATACATCAGCAAAGAAAGCAAAGAAAAATAAGAGTACAAATACAAAGTCTAGCAATCGAGCTAGGAAACAAAAATCATCTACTTAACCTATTATCATATAGATATTTACGGTTATTATAACATTTTGCATATATCAACGTTTAATAAATATTTTCTTTTTTTTCACTTTATTCTTTATTTTTTTGTTTTTACTTATAGATATATAAATGTATACATATTTAATATCGAAATAAAAATATATCTATAAAAACAGAATAGAAATTAGAAGTAGTGAGTACCACTAATGTAAATCCAATTTGTACACACTTGGGTCTTGTTCTTCTTCATTCAAATAATCTTGAACACCAACAAATCTATTCCATACTTTGTTAAAGTTAACCAATAGCATGTTACCTAAATTTTTCGGTAAGTCAAGATAACTTCTATATATGAATCTGAAGGCTTCCCTAGTGTTGTGTATTTCTGTTCTCCATGCCCTGGCCCAAACATTCTCATCAGCAGTTGAATCTTGAGATATATTATTCTTTTGGGTTGTATTTTTCTTCTTTTGTTGTGGTTTCTTCTTTGGCATTTTCAAATCTTGGAATTTAGACTCTTCTGCTTCTTCTTCCTCTTCTACAGCAAGATCAATCACATTCTCAGAGGTATCATTAGAACCATTTAGTTTCTTACATTTATCTATGAATGAATCCTTAGCCTTTTCAATTAATTTAAAGAAATTGTTATTTTGGAAAAAATTGGCAATAGCACCTTGGTTATCTTCACCATTAACTCTTTCATCATATAGTGTTTCAAAATTATTAATAGATTCAATAGAGGTAGATAATCTATTAAAAGTATTCAATAAAGAAATTAATTCGAATTTGGTTAACCTATTTACTACTTGTTGTTTGGATTCTTCATCCGCTTCATTTAATTCAAATAAAATTTTCAAACTGGTGGCATAACCTGTAGTTTGAACTTTCCCCCACATTTTACACCTATCACAATGAACACAATCCATTAATTTTGTAACATTCTTGAAACGACTTCTAAAATCATCCTTAATGGAAGCATCATAATCATCTTTAAACATTAAATCTTCATCAAAGATTTTACTATCCAATTGAGATACAATGTTAATAATTTTTTGTTTAACATCATTATCATAGTCGTTACAAAAATCTAATTCTTTCAAATATGGTTTAATTTTCCAAAGAGATTTGGCGACAATAGCGTAATTGAAATAAACATTGGAGACTCTCTCTGGGAAATTACCAACTCTAGCCATAAATAAATCCAAATCTGGACCCCATTCACCTGTAGTAGTATCTAAGTGATCATTAGATAAATGAGTACCGATGGAAGCATGTAAACCTGAAACAATTCTATAGAAGGCATCCTTAGCTAAACAAGTATCAGCTTCATCAGAAGAGAAACAATTTTCAGCGTAGATACTTTTCCAAATCTGACCAGCTTCTTGACCACCATAACCTGTAAATCTTTCAGGATTTTTAGAAAGATCAACTAAAACAGCATCCTCATTCAAAAAATCGTTAATATCATAATAATTTAAATCATTATTACTTTCTAATTGGTTCATTTTATCATTTTTACTGTTACAAAGTTCATTAAGGAAAGAAGCATCATCTTCAGCTGTATGATGGGTCTCAGTTTCATTTGTACTATCATTTTCCAAAGAACCTAAAACTTCTGGTTGCCAGTATTCAGGTAATTTATCCCAATCCTCGACAACATCGACTGCACAGCTTCTACTGAAACATATACCTTCGTTATTTTCCCAAAATGTACATTTCTTGAAAGGATCGAACTTAAAATATTTGAAAAAATCAGTATTTACGAGACTAACGATATCTTTCCTTATCTTTTTATTAATATTATTAATCTCTGCAATGGTTACATCACAACCTGGTCCTAAATTCTCATCTTTATCCATTTTACAAAATGGGGTTTCATCTGTGACAGCTAATTGATTTGTCCATTGTTTCTGAGCAGCACCTTCATTGTTCTGGCTCAGTTGGAAAGCATTCTGTTGATCAGCAGTAACCAATGCAGAGGTTGCAATACTCAGAACACTTAAGACTCCACTTAATTTCATATCTTTCAAGGGTATTGAACGTTCCTTAAATAATGAATACCTTTATATTTTCCGTCTTCCTTTTTTTCCAAATAATAAGAGAACGGTAGTATTGACTGTATGTATACACCCAATATAAAGATTTGACAAATAAGTTTAATGCGATCGAACTAATAATTATCTAATAAAATAATGCAACAAGAGTTGTGTCTATATATATAATATCGAAATAAATGTGTTAAATTAGTAATCTATATTTCTTTTTTTTACATAATGCGTTAAATAGAAATTTTCGAATTCCGATGACCTTTTCCATACTACGTATTAACTAATATTGAATAATACTATTTATTACTTTTACGCATTCTTACTATTATTGCTTCACAATAATACACAAAGAGAGGCAAACAACGCGAGTGAAAAGGATAGAAAACTCCACGGTGTCAAGAACACCGAGACAACCAGCCGCAGTAAATGAAAACCGAGTAATTGTTAGAGGATTGGTAATAATAATAATAATAATAATAATAATAACCTGCCAATTTTTTGCGTTCTATCCATTCTCAAAGTGTGAAACTCCTGTGATAACAACACACTGAGTAGTAAATAATGGTGGTTCCATAATATAATGGAAAAAAGAAAGCTTGGGCTAGTGATTAATATTCTATAAAGAAACTATTAAGATGTGTATATATATTTTCTGCTGGCTATTACGTATATCCGTGAAGGAAAATCCAAATGCGATGGTTACAGAGTTAGTAACTACTTGGTTGCTCTTGCATCTAGCTTTCTTTCTTTTTTAGTGTGGAAGTTTAAGCTTTGTATTGGCGTCTCTTCTCTGAAAACAGCGAGCGAAAGAGTTAAATTAATATATAAATATGCTAAGAGATGAATTGGTTTGACAAAAAGCAAAAAATGAATAAATAAGGGAATAAAGGAAAGTTTGTGTGGAAATCATAAGGCTCAGTTTGCTAAATGACACGTAATGCTTAATAAAATGAATAATAATAAGCCTCTGTTTTCTGTTTCTATTTTTAATGTTTTTTTTGTCTTTATTTGGTAGCTTAATAAGGTCTAGTACGTTCTTGCTTTTTTCTCAACTTAACGCAGAACTCCATCTCATGGAAATTTCTATAACATTCCAAAGATTACTCATACAAGTTTAGTAAAGTATCAACACATACACCTGTTCTAAATTTCTTGGCTATGCATATATCTTCAACCAACTCCTTTGGTAAGTCTGGGAACATCTCATAGAGTGATTCCAATGTTTCCTGGCGTTCTTGTTGTTCCATTCTTTTAACAACTTTCCTCATTTGTTTATCATCAGTAATATTTTCATTAATACTATTACTTTGTGTTCTAGCATTTCTAGAATTCTTTGCAATATTTTCTTTCGCTTGTGGCTCAGGTTTTGTTGTTAGAGAGGGTTGTCCAATAAAAAAATCATTGAACATAGAAACCATAGAGGAGGCAATTTCATCTATTGGATTATTATTATAATCAGGCTTTATTATCACTTCTTGTGTGCCATTTGCATTAATATTGTTCTTATTAGCAGTAGTAACGCTGCCCTTTAATTTGGAATCAGCTTCAAATTCTTCATGTTGTTTCTGCAATCTCTCTTGATTTGAGTTATATGCATTTTCAAATGCCTCTTCATCATGAATGGTTAGATCCTTCCTATTAAGATTGGTAATAAAATTAGTTGCACCTTGGAGACTACTCAAATAATATTGATCTTCACTTTTCAAAAAATTTTCAAATCTAAATCTTTCTATAAATTTAATATTCGATATTACATGTGAGACATTTCCATGAATAATAACATAAATTAATAATGGAATAAAACTGTCAGCACCATCTTGATCAAGTTTAAAATGTCTTAAAATACTAAATATAATTTTACATGCATTTAAGATACAGACAATCTTATCTCTAGGTGCTTTATACTGATTGATCTTGTTCAATTCTTTACCAGCAAGCTTTAAAAACTTACTTAATTTTAATGATATCTTATTGGTCACATCGAGATTATCAAGCTCAATGAAATTGTACTCATCAATCTTTTCTTGAAGGAAACCATCCTCTAGGATATCATTCCTATGTTCTTCGTCTAACTTATCAATATCAATTTTTTGAATCAATTCAGGAGAAAAACATAATGGATACAATTTACCCATAATCAATTTCTCAATGCCTTCTTGTGCATTTCTTAATTTGGCATTATCAAGCTCACTAAATGGTTTAAATTGAGAAAATTTATCATAGATGAATAATTTAAAGTCGTTAATCAATTTTCTTTGTTCACTAGCAGTCCACAGGGCTCTCTGAGAAACAAAATTATTTAAGAACGACCTTGTGTATTTCACTAACGGTTCTGCAGTGGGATTTTTAAAATCGTTAATGAACATTTGAAAATCAAAAAATAACTCTTCTTGGTGCTCTTCATCAGATTTTTTATTATTCGTTTGTTTTGGTTCTGACGTTATACTTTCATTATCATCACTAGTAGCACTAGGCTTCGATATCTGAGGGTTAGATGAACCCTGGCTTAAGGGATCGAACTCACGTAACAGATCTGACATTCCTTATAAATTTGAGCTTTCTCTTTCTGGTATAGAAGTTTCAGTAAAGAGAGAAAAATAACAATTGTCGATCAGTTCTACGGTTAAATTTGGAGTCGATTCTTTATATAAAATAGCTAACCTTCTCTTCTTTTCGAGATTATTAGCTTGCGCTTTGATTATCTGATTAACTTGTTACTTGTTATTTAATTAATTATTTATCTATTATGCTTTTAGCAACATAGTCAGTCTAGCCCGCGGCGTTATCACTAACTAAACTAAATGACTTTTTTCAGATCATTGTGGTACACGCAATCATAACAAGTTATCGACCAAAAGGATCCTGTAAACAGGACCCTACCAACTTATTTAAAGTTCGTAAAAGTAATTAATTTAACTATATTTATATTAATGATAGCTGCTGACTTCTTAAAATTTGGTAGTAACATTACCCTGAGTGATCACAACAATGCATTGGGCATAACAAAAAAATATCATCACTTATATTATATTCATACAGTTATGCTTGTTTGTAAAGGACCCAGCTTCGAAAATTCAATGGAATAAACAATTGAAATTATTTTTTCAAGCAGAGTTCAAGTATTCGATATATTTTGCAGCTTGTTCGAAATTGAATGCCACCAGGAATGTAAACCCATTAAACATGCACATTTTCGTTATATCATTAATGGCTTCCTCTGAATTTGTGCTATCAACTACAAATATTAGTATATTGTTATCGTCCTTGGATAATGGAGCCATCCTTCGTGTTATGTAGTCAGCGTACAATTTATGGTATGATAAAGTCAAAAAAAGTACCGATCTTCCCTTGATAAGATAATCATAATATATCTTTGTACCACCTTTCGATGTGACATATCTCCAGTTGGTATTTTTCAAACTATCTAAAAGCGGATTTTCCTTTTGAGTTGTGTTAACTAGTACCGTTTTCCCAGGTCCTTGATCCTGTCTTTGTCGTTTCCCATTTTGTTCATTATTCTTATTGTCAAACTGGAGTAAAGGTCGCTGTTGATTAAAGGAGTTTATAACCTGTCGTTTACCTTCGTTTGTACTTGTAGAACTCACTTGTGCTTTGGGGGCCTGTGGTCTTTGTATCTGTGGTTGCTGTGTTTTATTTGCACCGTTCTCTTCTCTCAGTTTCTGAACACCCGCCAGAATACTTTGAAAAGAAGTTGGATCTGTATTATTCATGAGTGATGGGTCTGTATTTATATCTATATACCTGTAAACTCTACTGAGTAATGATTTAAAATAAAAATCAATTTTGGTTTTAATCGAAAGTTTATATATTTTTGTTCTTGATGTGATTCGGATGGGGCGCTTTCTTTTAATTCACTTCTTAATACTTTCTATCAAGAGATTGATTATCACGTTCAAACAAAGATAAATTTGAGGGTCCTTTAATATTGCACTTCGAAAATAAATGGTAAAAATAAATCAGTAAAGAATAATTTTGTTAAATTAATGACAATAACTCAAATAAAAATATAAGTAACTCATCTGGTTGAACATAAGGAAAACTATTTTCTAGTGATAAATACTGGGATTTACTGCATTTTATGTAAGCTGGAAATGAATAATGTCGAATAATTAGTTGAAAATATACAACAATCTTAAACAAGTGTGTTAGAAAAGTTGATATCAAAGAGAGGTCTCATAAAATTCAGATCTATTTATGCGTTTACTCATGACTGTAAACTTGATTTTTCAAATTTTTTATCTAATTAAATTATTTCTATATGAATATATGTTTGTATGTACAGGCCAATCATCATAATAGAAGTAGGGCGGCAGTCATCATCAGACGTCACATTTTTGAGGAAAATGAGTTGTTTATTTATATATTTGTTTATTATCATCGATAAAGTTAATAATCGAAGAACATTATACAGTTAAAAGTTCGTCCTTCCTCAATTAGGAGGGGGAGTTGATTTATTCTCTTCATCCTTAGAAGTAGAACCTTCGATTTGCTTTTGGGTTGGGGTCGTCACTGTATCTTCGTACCTTCTACCATTCATATAAAGAGTGTATACCAGGCCACCACTCATATATAGAGAACCACCAACCAGGGTTAGAACTGTCAAACGATGTAGTGTATCACTCAATCTTGTATACCATGCGTATTTGGCCATTATGCTTGAAAGAATTACAATGGGTTCTTTTGAAATAAGTGTGTTCTATTCAATAGCTATCTATCAAAGGTATATCAATTGGATACAGGATAAATGCGATAAATAAACCAGTAACTTATCTATTAAGTCCTTAATTAATCTATATTTGCTCAGGGAGTTCTCCTGTGATATTTATCTGATACCTTTTCCCTTGTTTTGTTTTTTTTAGTTGGCCGTCTTTCCTGGGCTGTTTTATTCAGTTTTTACTTCCCCGGATGTTTCAGGGCATGTTCGTATAGTATGATATTAAAACCAAATTATTGCCATAATATTTTAATATGTAGAACTACAAAATATCTAATACAACACTACATAATGGTTGTACTTTAACTCATATATATATATGTAGTATCGTTTGAAGTGTTTAAATTTAACTAATTTTGTTCGTTTACTTTACGATGTTTTTTTTGGGTTCAATGGTTTGGCATTACAGCGTTATAAATACTCCTTGAGAATTCTCTTGCTTTACGAACCCATTTTTGATACTCAGATTCAGGTTCATAACCTAACATCTTACGAGTATAGTTTTTTGCTCTCTCGACTAGTGTGTCCTTGTCACGGGATTCAGTAAATGGAATATCCATGCTTTTCATATAATCCTTTAAATCATTTACAGACCATGACTTGAACAAATTATCCATATGTTCGTTAAGGTCCTTTATTTTATGGTTCATCTTACTGTATAATCCGGAATCTCCTACTTGAGAGGTAGTATTAGCAAACCATTCTTTGACAATATCGAGAGATTCATTAGAGAAATTAAAGTCCCTATGATCAAACATACCAGCTGTCTTATTCCTTATCCTTTCGACCAAATCTCTCATTGAAGCATTAGAAGGATATTCGGCGTTCAATGAGTTAAGTAATCTCTTAGCAAAATCTTCAGAGAATAGTTTGTTGGCATGTTTCTTACCAGAATTAACGTAGTCAGACATACCATTCCATAGAGACTCAACATACTCTGGATTTTTACCAATGAATGGGCTTGCCATATCGCTAGATTTATTAATGTACCAATCGACATCGTTTTTTAGTAGATTTAAATTTTCTTGAGCCTTCTTTAGTAATATATCCTTGTTATCGGATATGGAATCATCCAGTTTGATATAATGATATTGTAACCAGTTCTTTAAATCATCTTTGGAGAAATCATTGAAAGCAGCAGCAGTGATATTATTGTTAGAATCGAACAGCTTCTTATTAGCTAAGTCTAGTAAATGAAGGGCTTTATATTTCGTTTCTTCTTGTGTCTCAGATATTTTGTATATATTTTCGCTTACTAGCTTTACAAGTTTTTCTTTGTCGTTAGAGATCTTCTCATTAAATTTAATATGATTCTCTTCCAACCATTGTTTTAGATCTTTAGCAGACCAATCCTTAAAAATAGTTGAATCTGGGATAGAACCTTTGAAGTTTTCAAAATCTTTTTTAATAGATTCAAAATTATCTCTTAGCAATGATATCAGTTCATCTTTCTTTTGAGAGGCATCGAATGGGATAGAATGGTCCTTTAGATAGTCTCGTAAAGTTTTTTCTGACCAAGTTGTAAAAAGCCATTCATTTGCCTTTTCAAAAGAGAGCTCGGATGGCGATGATACGTTTAAAAGTTGAGTTAACCATGGTAGGGTCTCATTCAGGGAATCCCTGTTGAAGGCTACTTGCAAATCAGGCTTACCATATCGTTTCCATAGTTTCTGGACATCATTTTGCCATTGACCGCTAACTACTTCTGTCTTTGTCACAGTTTCAGTGGCCTTGTTGGCCAGAACAGGGTTAATTACGGTTAATCCTATTGTACCTAATAGGCACGCAATTTTACTTAATTTCATATTTTTTTTGTCAGAATTTATTGATATCGTTCAGATTATCTTCTAGGTTGTACAAAATATTCTCGTAATTTTTTTATTTATCTGTTTTAAAAATATAAATTGATGTTTATATTATAATATTTCAATAAAAGTTTAAAAGTTAACAAATTTTTGTTGAAAGTACAAATCAAGAAAAAAAAATGAAAATAAAGGAGATGATGTCTCATCTATAAGGATAGGGGAGCATCCCTTATTTTTCTATATTCGCAAGAGCATCCTGTATTTGTAATTTTGATTTATTGATACATGCAAGGGATATCGTTGTTCATGGTGGAGAACTACTTAGTCTTTGTTAGCTTGTTTATTTTAGATATTTTTCCTTTTTCGAAATATTTGCCTTAAATTTTTTGTTCTTATTCAGAGTTGTTTCATTTAGTACAATAGATTAACGCTGTAAAACTTATATAATTTTATACATTGGGGAATTCGTTATTAGCTACATAAGAACGTTCAGAGAACACTAGCAATTTCCTTCAATGATCTTAGATAATACGGTTACTATATTTGATTACGGAAATAACCAATATTAACCAAACATCACTAAATACGAGTAGTAGTTCAAGTTTTCTCTGCGCCCAAAAAATTTCACCGATTTTGTTTGAAAAATAATAGAAGTTAAAGGTTTTTTCTCTCTGTCGGTTCTCTTGATATATTTTTTATACACGAAATGAGAAAAAATGAATAATAAATAAATAAATGAGTGCTTAGACATATAATTAATTAATAAGATATCTAGCGTCGAGATATATCTTCATACAGACACAGACATTGCAGCTTTTTTTTTTTTAGTTTTAACCACACCAATACCAATAATAATTAAAATAACAATACAGGAATTATGAGTGTCTCAGAGAATAATTCCCCTGCCCCAGGAACATTTAAGACAGCTACTGCGACTCCAACTCCATTAATCATTGCCGGAGACAGTAGCAGACACGACAGCAATATTGCTGTTCCTTTAAATACATTTGAATCAATTATTCCAATTCCAGTAGCAGTGTCGAGGAAACAATCTGGTGGTATTCTAACAGGTCCCTTAGCCAACCCAACCTCTCTACAATATTCTTTATCTAATTTAAATATTTTCCAAAATTTACCTTCAGAGACTCAGCATGGTGTTGATGATCTAACTAGAATGAAGATGGCTATGTTAAGTACTGTTCCAACTGAAGTAAAATGGGCTCTAAAGAAATACTTGGCTTATAGTAACAAAGCTCCATATATGATTAGTTTGAAGAATTTACCCGAATTATTACCATCTTTTTCATCGTTTGTTGTGGCTATGAAACCATTAATAGAAAATTTCAATGAACCAATTATTGTTGATGAACAAAAGATGACTATCTTACAAAACGGGATTAATGGATTATTGATCTTGAGAAATTTAGCACAAGATATGGATTCTATTCAAATTTTAATAAAAGATGAATCAATTAAAGACTTTATCCTATATATGTTAATAAAATTTAAAGAAAATTTGTGTGGTGATTCAAAATGGGTTGTTTATCAATCGAATACATCCTATTTCAATGAATTGATTCATTATGTGGTTGATTTAATGGAAGCCATCTCTACTTATTTAGCACCAGCTGGCAAGGATAATAAATATTTCCAAAATTTGGTTCAAATTTTGAATAAAACTAAAGATAGATATATTATTATCTCCATATTGAGATCTTTATCTCGTCTATTGGTAAGATCAAAGGAAGATGAAGAAAGTGCAGCTGATAATTTAGACGAGGAGACTTTAACTTATATTGTATCATTTTTATTGATAGATTGTGATTCTGAATTAATTATAGCTTCCTTAGATTTCTTATATCAATACATTTTACCGGGGAGTTCGAGAATTAATATTTTATTGAATGAAATTCATCGTTTTGCTACTTTAAGTACAGTGCTACCAAAACTACTTACTTATAATGTCAAGATTCCAAATTATTCTTTGTTATCTAATCAAAAGATCAAATTAATAAAGAGAATCAGATCGGCTCCACCAAAGAATTCACCAACTTTATCAGATGAATTATTCCAAGAATTATTGAAATTAAATGAACCAATGAGATCAACTGCATGGTTAAGATGTTGTTATGAGCCTGTATCAGATGCCGAAGTGAAACAAATTACTCTTTGGAGATCTTACGAATCATTATTTAATACAAAGGTTAAAGAATCTGGAAGAAAACTTCTACCAGCAGTTGAATTCATAAAAAATGTATCGAATGCATTTAATAATGCATCTGCCATGGTGGTAACAGATCCAAAGACAGGTAAGAAGAGATTCGTCATTAAGGGTGTCCAACCAAGACCAAATGCATTATCCATAGAAGATGGGAATCTTGCCTCTAGGAAGTCGGTCTCAAACAAACAAAGATCAAAATTCCTAAGTCAATCTGGTGCTATTAAAGAGGCGCAACAAGAACCTCTGCCAGAAATAACTTTTCCAAAACGTTTGACAGATGTCTCAAAGGTCGCCGCCACATTCATATGTCTTATATCTAATGATGATAAAAGTAGTGGTAGTGAACTATGTAAAAAAATCAAGCCTGTTGTGCTTCATAAATTGGCTGATGTGCCGCCTTTAAGTTCAGCATTGTCAGAATATCTCGACAATACGCCAAGTATATAGAAATAATAATGGGTCTAAGATACTCGTATTGTTGTTGTTGTTTTTTATGAACACCTATTTAACCTTGTTTGGTTCATGATGAAGAGGTATAACTATTCACGTGTAGGAGAGAGAAAAAACCAACAATTTAATAAATAATTAATGTAACAGTATTCCAAACGTTCTTTAATACAAATGTTAATAATGAGGTATCGAAATTTCTTTCAAACTTATGTACATTTATATATATATATGTGTGTGTGTATATATAGAAGTATTATACTATATGAAATGGTACATTAGAAAAAAAGAAACAAAAAGTATGCGTAAGTTTATTTTATATGATTATCTATTCAAACACAAAGACTTGGTCATCAGCGAAAGAGGCAGAGCCGTCTTGTTTCCAACCCAATTGTCTAGCGTGTTCGAGCACTAATCTCTCCATTGGGTCTGGACCACAGATTATTAATCTATTTTCTTGCGAGTAGGGTGGTAAATATCTACTCATTTGATCCATTGTAACTAAGCCAGAATCTCCTTTCCAGCTTTGTTTTGGGTGACGAACTACATAATGAACTTCAAAATTTGGATACTTCTCAGCCATTTCGTCTAGTTCTTCCTTTAATAAGATATCCTTTTCTGTATCGTTAGCATAGATTAAATGAACTTTAGTGAAATCTTCAGGAACAGTAATAACTTCGTTTAATATTTGAAGAACTGGTGTAATACCAGTACCACCAGCCACAATAGATAAAGTTTTGTAAGAGTTTGGAACATAGTTGAATTTACCCATTGGGCCCTTGAAATCTACTGTCATACCAGTTTGTAAACTTGCGAAATATCTAGAAACAACACCATTTGGATATGATTTTATCAATAGATCCAAGTAACCAGCTTCAATCTTAGAACTAATTGGATTGTAGTATCTGACTACATTTTCGCCATCGATTGGAACTCTGACGGCAACATGATGACCAGCGGGAATAGGTAAACTTTCAATCTTGGTCTTTAATCTAAATCTATATAGAGCTGTATTTTTAGAGATTAAAGTTTGATCTTCCAACTCTAGTGGAGTCCATCTGTCTGTGAATAAAGATTGTCTACGTTGAAATGCCCTTAGTGCTCTAACACCTAATAAAGCTGCAAATAACAGAATACCAGCTAGATATCTTACATCACCTGTCATATATGAGATAATAGAAATACCTACAACAAATAGAGTGGATGGAATAATAATACCATGGATCGGTTGATCTAAAATATTTGGTTGGTCATCTCCCAAAACAGCAATAGGATCGGCCATTTTGTAAGTTTGCTGATTATTTAAAAGAAGATTGTATTAACTGGAAATACTGAAATATTGTTCGTTTTGTAATCAAAGTTATTATAATTTAGATAAATATAATAACATATATTAAAGAAAGATGGTTTACAAATTAAACAAACTCAAGTCTCTGCATTTCTTATATATAATATGTCTTGTGGCAAACTCTTCAATCATTATGTCATCACCGCTATGATAATCATCGGGTACCCAGTTTTGTTATGGTGTAACAATTTTCCACTCTCTGTGTGTTTGTTTTTGTTTATTTTTTTCCATCGTTCTTCTTCCTTTTTCTTCCCCGTCGTTTCCGTAACATTCCATGTCTCTTTTTCTTTCTCTTTGTTTGTCATCGAAAAACAGAGAGTTTGCTAAGCTGAATAGTTTGGCAATTGCGGGAATTAAGAGATCTACTCGATGACGGTCTTCATTTCGACATTACTAAAACGTAGAATGATCTTATTAATGTTATGTATTTTCTTTTTTTTTAGGATATTTTAATATATATACAAATGTATGTATATATGGGTATATATATGGATGTGTGTATTTAGATATGGCATTTACAATTATGCTTAGTATTCGTTGTCAGAAATAGAGTCGGATGCAACTTCGATGTAATCGCTTTCCAAAGCAGCTAAATCTTCTCTAGCTTCGGTGAATTCACCTTCTTCCATCCCTTCACCAACATACCAATGTACAAATGCACGCTTAGCATACATTAGATCAAATTTGGAATCTATTCTCTTCCAGGCTTCTGCAATCGATGTAGTATTTGAAAGCATACAAACAGCTCTATCCACAGGAGCCAATTGGGAATCGATTACAGTCGTTGGTGGCTCGTAACAAATACCGATCTTGAAACCAGTTGGACTCCAATCCACCATTTGTACAGTCTTCTTATTCTTAACTTGTGTGACGGCAGCTTGGACATCTCTTGTGACTACATCACCTCTATATAGAAGACATGAAGCCATATATTTACCGGTGGCAGGATTACATTTAACCATTTGGTTACCTGGTTCGAAACAGGCATTAGTTATCTCAGCAACGGAGTTTTGTTCATGATGTGCTTTGTTTTTGGATTGAATGGGGGCATATGATACTAATGGGAAATGAATTCTTGGATATGGAACTAAATTTGTTTGGAATTCATTTAAATCAACGTTCAATGAACCTTCAAATCTTAATGAAGCAGTTACAGATGAAACCACTTGTGCCACTAAATTATTTAAGTTCTTGAATGAAGGTCTAGAGATATCGAGATTTCTTCTACACATATCATATATGGATTCATTGTCTACCATAAATGTACAATCAGCATGTTCTAATGTTGTGTGTGTTGTTAAGACAGTATTATATGGTTCAACCACTGAGGTAGATAATTGAGGACCAGGATATACAGCAAATTCTAACTTGGATTTCTTACCATAATTTTCCGATAATTCTCTTAGTAATAAAGATCCAAGACCTGAACCTGTACCACCACCCAAAGAATGAGTAAACAGGAACCCTTGTAATCCATCACATTGATCAGCTAATCTTCTAATTCTATCCGATATATCATCTAACATAGTGCTTCCTATGGTGTAATAACCACGAGCATAGTTGTTAGCTGCATCTTCTTTACCATTGATCAATTGTTCAGGATGGAACAAATCTTTATAAGAACCGGTTCTTACTTCATCAATCACATTAGGTTCTAAATCAACATAAATGGCTCTTGGAACATATTTACCAGAACCAGTCTCGTAAAAAAAAGTTGAAAATCCTTCACCACCACCTTTTGGCTTGTCTAATCCTTCTTCAAGGTAACCGTCTGGTCTAATCCCATGTTCCTGAGTATATAACTCCCAACAGGCATTACCGATTTGACAACCTGCTTGGCCAACTGTGAGAAATAATTTGATAAATATATTAGAGGTTATCCTCGTCCAAAAAGGAGTGTTATTACTCCTCTTAAGAATTTAGGCGAGAAATTTTTGCTCAAGTATATTTACTGAATGTTAGTAAAACAAATTGATCTAAATGTAAGAAAAACTGCCCCAAGAACAATAATTAAATCGTGTTGTATCTTGATGAAAACAGAAGACATTATACATTTTACCATTGCAAACCAACTAATTGTTGTTCTGAGGAAATAGCTCAATGTGACTTCATCTTTCTGACTTTAAACGCGTAAATCAATTGATCTTGACTAAAAGGGTAAAAAAAATAACTTCAATCCAAACATACCATTAATACTAATAACTTCTCTCATTTCTTAGAATTATCTGATCTTCTATCAATAACCCACAATATGCCTTGATAGAGTATTGTTTGACTTACTGGTTGAGTAACTAAAACTTTTCGGTGGTAAATTTTTAAAAATCTATTCTTAATAAGCTTATGGTTCCCTCCTTTATCGTGTATTTTTGTTTATGGCAAAATTTTTTTTCGAACAAAAATTGTTTTTTCCCCGTTTCGAACTCGTCTTTGTTTATATTTTGGATTTTTTGGTATGGCGCGCGCACAGGTATTTATTGTTTTGGGTTTTCCTGGTGAAACACTTTTGTTACAACAATGAAAGGTTGGTGAAGGAACAACTTTTAACTTACAATAACACATCCCATTGATAAAGATGTTTTTAGATACTTTATTTTAAAACGAGAACAGAATAAATAACAATGAATAGTTTGTGTATATATATATATATATATATTATGTAAATAATTTTGTAACGAAAGTAGTTTCTGGAATGGTTCGTGAAACTTATGCATAGGTATAAGAATTGGATAGAGTTTAAAAGAGTCGGAAAAGGAAAAAAGTGTAACCATGTTTTGTACTTGAGTTATTGTTTCTTCGGTTTGAGTCTCCTATTTTTCTTCTTTAGTCAGCAATGATTATAGATCAAATATAGAAAAGAATGTTTTCTTCTTTTTAGGTAGTGGACTGTCAGATATTGTACCGTTGGAATCTGTATCTAGTACACCATTATCATGTTGCAGTTTTGTTGGATCCACTTCATCGTGATATTTTTCAGAAATCTCTTCTAAAGTCATACCAGTCGTTTCTGGAATAAACAAACTTGTAACTATACCACATAGCATAAATAATGCGAAAATTTCCATAACATGTGGTAACCAACAGTTCTTCTTCTTACCATCTCTAGCACAGTTGTGATCAATCAAAGTACCTAAAGCGGTTTGAGCAATAATAGCACCAATTTTACCACATGCAGCTGAGATACCGTGAGCCGTGGATCTATACCTTGTTGGAAAGCATTCACCAGGAACAATAAAGGTTGTAACATTTGGACCAAAATTTGAGAAAAATTCACAAATAATGTAAAGACCTAATAAACCATTAGATGGAATCTTATGATAAGCAAACCCAATGACACAGAACCAAATGGTTAACATTATAAAACCAAGTAATTGAATTGGTTTTCTACCTAGAGTATCAATGCATAAAACAGAAACCCAATAACCTGGTAACGAACCAGCGCATACCAAGATTAAGTTACCCACACAAGAATCCCATAGTTTCAAATAAATGTTACCGGAACCAGCATACCCAATAGCTTGTAAAATAACAGCAGAATTTAGAGATAACCCATAGAAGGCAATATCGACCATAAACCATGAACCGGCGGTACCGAAAAGAATCTTACCATACTTCCATTGACCAAAATGATGACAGAAATCTTTAAATGAAGCCTTTTGTTGGACAGCATTAACATTGATTCCCCTCTCTAGATCATGATCTGAGGATGAAGATGTATCCTTACCATCATAATGGATATCGATTGCTTGAACCTTAGAAGAATAAGAAGTAATTGGTTGATGTAGTTCTGTATTGACATCTAATTGATATCTTGGAGATTCCGGAATAGTTAATCTGTAGTACAAAGCTAATACACCTGGAACGGCACCAAACCCAATTAAAATTCTCCACATTTGATCACAAGCTTTTCTACATTTATAATCACATTCAGCACCTGAATTAGCATGTTCGATCTCACCTTTGTAAGCAGCGACAACAATTAATGCAATAATACCACCCATGATTTGGCCCCAAGCTTGATTAGCGAAAACCGCGCCCATAATAGCACCTCTCCATTTAGTGGTAGAGAATTCAGATGTGATAATTGAAGATAATGGATAATCACCACCGATACCAATACCCATGATAATTCTATAAAAAGTTAAAACTGCAACAAAATTAACACCTGGAGCTGGGCCTATGGTACACTGTAAGATACATGTAACTATAACAATAATTAATTCGGTACCATAAATTTTCTTACGACCTAAAATATCAGCAGCTAAACCAAAGGAAAATTGACCAATAACGGTACCAACAGATGTTGATATTTTCAGCAAAGTAGATGTTGAAGCTGGCATATTACCTTCCCAGAATACATATGACATCATAGAAATACCTAAATTAATTGCAAATATATCATAAGAATCGGTCATGAAACCAACACCAGCAATTAAAATAGTTCTAATTTGTAACCAACCAAAACTAGTTTCATCAATTTTTTCTAGGGCTAATCTTCTTCTTTCTAAGGGATCATCGATGTGAGCAAAGTCATTAATATAATTGTGGAAAGCAGTGTTACCACCTTCAGTTAAATTTTGTTCGTGGTGTAAGTTTTCGTTATGTAATGGTTTAGTATGAACGGATTGACTAAATTTTACGTCATTCCGATCATCTTCTTTTATTATATTCTGTTCAATACCAGACATTATGAAAGTTTAATATGTGTGTGTGTGTGTGCGTTTCTTATTTTTATATTTTATAAGCAGATATGACAAAAAGACAAGTTGGTGATTATAGTATGAATATTTAGCTAAACAGCAGAAAAAAAAAGCAAGGGAATGAGATTGAAAATTAACATTTGACAAGCAAGAATTGAAAAGATATATTTTTTTCAGATTGAACCATTCGAGTATTTTTATCGTTATTATATATAGTTAAATTTCTCGATGAAAATATGCATAAAGGGTACATCAAATTGTTGAAAAGTTCATAACACACTGCAAGTTAAGAACTCAAGTAAAAAAAAATGCAAAAACCTGATGGTTATTATAGTGGGTTTTCTGAGAAAAACTTATATTTTAAGTGAAATAAATGGATAACTCAGGAATAACTTTTTGACATAATAACATTAGACTTATCTTCAACTACCTTGTCAAAATTGAATAAATATCCAATATGGTGGCAATAAAAAAAGGAATGTTATTAATCAGACCGGATATGTACTTCTGCACGTGGAGGTTATAATCTTACAAGGAAAAACTAAATTTAGTGAGCTTTTTACCTACAATGTTCTGTTTATACGTTTTTAATCGTTACAGAAATTTCCTTTGCTGTTCCCTTCCTCGTTTTAAACTTTTACGAAAAGAATATATGACCCGCACAGAGCAAAGACAAAGCCAAATCTTAATACAAAATCAGAAGAACAGAGAAAAGCTCATCGAATTATTTCAAATGTCAAGCAATTTAACGCAAGGCATGATCGACTTAACGAACGAGTTAATTGCGAAGTGAAAAGATTTACCACATAAAGTACCGTATTGTAACATATAATAAAATACAGACTATTATGACAGCAAATTTTACCAATAAGCACTTATCATTAGTTCTTATTTTTCAACGGAGTTTAAATTTTTGAAAACAACGTAACGACAATGACTGAATTGCATAATCCAAGATTTGGGGTGGTATTTTTGTACTGACTTTATAAAGCAGTATTATACAGCAAGTCAAGGTAAAAATGTACTCGGAGGTTATTGTTTGTTCTTTTTTAGATGAAAGAGAGCAAATTTTACAGTAGAAGTTTGTACCGTTACTCTTCAATGGTTCTCTAAATTCTTATTGTTCGAAACAATTATTGTTTATGACACTACCTTCTCCTTCTTCTTCTTCTTCTTCTTCTTCTTCTTCTTATCTCTCTTTGCGTACCTCTGTCTGTCATGGCTAATAAAAGATTTATTTTCATATTAGCCGAAAGTATTTATCATTGTTTTTCACCGCTACGTTCTCTCACTAAGAGACTCCCGTATCCTGAAAGAGAAAAAAGAATAAAAACGTTAATCATCGTCACACGGTCGAAAAAAGGGGAGATGCTCTAACTCTCATTTTCATTTTCCCACGTGTGTCAAGGTTAGACTAAATAGGTAATCCGGTGATATTTAATGTTCACTATGACATTAATAGTTTTCGAAATGCGATATTTGTTTTATGGAACCAATATTTCAATAATAATGTTAAAAATTATTGAAGTTGATCTATTTTAATTGTTTCAGAGTAAATAAACATTGATCGGAACGATATAAGCTCTTGATGGTGAATCCAGATGTGCTCATTTCAATATAAAATGAAAAATTGTAATGTTTTAGTCAGAATTTAAAGAGGGAGAGAAAAGGGGGCGGTACAATAAGATCTAGGGACTAAAGTCTCAGAATTGAAATGAAAGCTTGGGGATCATATCCTATTAAAGTAACTTGTTTAAAGGTTAGCTAATAAATAGACGACTGTCACTTGAAAATAATAGCATCTGTAAACGTGCATTTCGAATAGTTAGCTCTTTATTATCTTGATCTTGCTGTATAACGATGGAACTTATCAACTGGTTTATTCTTGCATTTAATTGTTTGTGGTTTTTTTTAATAAGGAACTTATCTTCAGTTTTATGATAACCACGTTTCAAATTCAACTTTTTGGGATGTCCTTCATTGATGGTATTATGTTTATTTATACACAGCTGTCACTTCCTTAACTCTTCATTCCAGCAAATAAATTTGAACCCGTGTGGGTCCGAAAATAATGTATGTCAATTCCAACCTTTATTGGATATAAATTCACTGTTGCTCCTTTGGTTAAATTCCTATTGTATCTGAGGCTCATTTTGTATGGTACCTACTGCAGTACATTGTACAGTCATTAAATCGAGTCCCACGAGTTTGACACAGTCATTGTACTTGGTCTATTGCTTTTTGTATGTCAAAATTTTTCTTGGCAGACAGGTGCTATGTTGAATCATCCTTGATTTGATTGTTATAAAACTGGCATGAGTAATGAATTAAAACTTCATGTTAAAAATTGTTTCAATCGATTAAGAAAAAAATAGAAATAGAAAATGGAATAGTAAAAGAATGTTTATTATTATTTGTAGAAAAAATTATTATAGGTTAGAAAAATAGTAATGTTTTATAAGTATTTTGATTATCGAAACATGATAAAACAAAAGATTGTAGAAATGAATATGTATGGTATATGCTGTTTGTTTAAATTGTAGTATTATTATGATTATTATTATGATTATCATTCATCAGGATTTATGACAAAAAAACATTTTCCTCAAATATGCAACGGATACTCACTATCCTTATATTAAAATTAATGTAGATGAAATGCTTTGGGGAAAATAAAAGAGATAATTGTATCGTTGGAGTGGGGAAGATAAGGAAAAAGAGAATAGTCAGGAAAGATCATGAAGTGTTTTTGAGAAAAAGGGAATCTCAATCTATTTATTGTGAATTGCTAGCTTCTTCAGATTCAGATTCCAGACGTTGTCTGTTTACTTTAGATGGATCTACTTCATCGTGGTATTTTTCAGCAATTTCTTCTAGAGTCATTCTCTTAGTTTCTGGAACTAAGAAACATAATAATAGACCAACAAGCATGAATAAAGCGAAAATTTCCATAACATGTGGTAACCAACAGTTCTTCTTCTTACCATCTCTAGCACAGTTGTGATCAATCAAAGTACCTAAAGCGGTTTGAGCAATAATAGCACCAATCTTACCAGAGGCCGCTGAGATACCATGAGCTGAGGATCTGTATCTGGTTGGGAAAATTTCACCTGGAATAATGAAAGTAGTAACATTTGGACCAAAGTTACAGAAGAATTGACAGAAGACGTAACAAACTAATAGACCGTGATCGGTTAATTTATCGTAAGCAAAACCAATAATACAGAATAAAGCAGTTAACATGACAAAACCCATGATTTGAACAGGTTTTCTACCGATTGTATCGATTGTGAAAACAGAACACCAGTAACCTGGTAAAGAACCAGCACAGATTAGAATCAAATTACCAACACAAGAATCGTATAATTTTTGGTAAACATTGCTAGAACCGGCGTAACCAATAGTTTGTAAAATGACAGCAGAGTTTAGAGATAAACCGTAGAAGGCAACATCCAACATGAACCAAGTACCAGCGGTACCTAATAAGATCTTACCATATTTCCATTGACCGAAATGACGACAGAAATCCTTGAAAGAGGCCTTTGGTGGAGCGGCAGCATCATCACCATACATTTGTTCGATCATTCTTTCTTCATCGTGGTAGATAGAAGCGGCCAAATTCTCAGAATGAGCATCAGATGAGTCAATGTGATCTAGTTTAGTATCGTTATTAATGGTAACTCTTTGAACTTCAGAATGGTCAGTATTAATATCTAATTGATATCTTGGAGATTCTGGAATAGTTAATCTGTAGTACAAAGCTAATACACCTGGAACGGCACCAAAACCGACAAGGATCCTCCACATTTGATCGCAAGCCTTTTGACATCTTGCATCACATTCAGCACCAGAGTTAGCATGTTTTAAATCATCCTTGTAAGCAGCTACAGTAATCAAAGCAATAATGGCACCAGCAATTTGACCCCAAGCTTGATTAGCGAAAACCGCGCCCATAATAGCACCTCTCCATTTAGTGGTAGAGAATTCAGATGTGATAATTGAAGATAATGGATAATCACCACCGATACCAATACCCATGATAATTCTATAAAAAGTTAAAACTGCAACAAAATTAACACCTGGAGAAGTACCAATGGAACATTGTAATATACATGTGACGATGACAACGATTAATTCGGTACCATAAATTTTCTTACGACCTAAAATATCGGCGGCACAACCAAAACCGATTTGACCGATGACGGTACCGACAGAAGTAGAAACTTTTAATAGAGTAGTAGTAGAGGCTGGCATATTACCTTCCCAAAAGACGTAAGATAACATTGCAATACCAATATTAATAGCGAAAATATCATAAGAATCAGTCATGAAACCAACACCAGCAACTAAAATAGTTCTAATTTGTAACCAGCCGAAACTAGTTTCATCAATTTTTTCTAGGGCTAATCTTCTTCTTTCTAAGGGATCATCGATGTGAGCAAAATCATTAATATAATTGTGAAAAGCAGTGTTACCACCTTCAGTTAAATTAGCTTGATTGGCAATTGCTGGAGTACCTTGTTCGATATCCAAATTTTTTTCTTGAACACCAGACATTATTATATTTTTTTTTATATATAATAATATGTTTGTATCTTGTTAAGTTATAATGTAAAGTATACTTTATAGTTTTCTTGGGTTATTGATATAATATTAAGAGAGATATAAGTGTAAGTTGAATAAGAATAAGGAATGATATGAAGAAGTATAAAATCTTTTTCAATCAATTCAAATTATCAACCATTTATATAACAAAAAAAATATAAAGGATAAAACAAATTGAAAGAAATTAAATTTAATTTAATTTAATTTAAATTGGCTGAAAGTTGTTAAACTTTTCGGTGAATATTATTGTTAAAGCATACTCGATTGAAATTATTATAAAACTATATGATAACTTTCGAAATAAGGGGAATCATAGAATTAATTGTACAAGATTGAAATAATTAAAATGATGACATGAATAATCATGACCTTATTATTATTGATTGAAATTATCGATGCTTAACAAAAGGGTGAGCATATAACATAATAACAATAAAAAACAACATTTTTAGTCCATGTGGGCTAATAACTTATGATGGTTGTTAATTTTTTCCCTTTTGCCTTTTCCACTTGAGTATTCTTATGTTTGTTGTACTTCTAAGTAATATTTAATTATATTTTTTCATCTTTGACTAAACAATTCTAGAGCCATTAACATAATGTCCTAAGAGAACAAAAGAGAGAGAGAGAGAGAGAACAATACTGATGATCGTCTTTGTAATTACTACTATCATTACTACTAATCATAGCTAATAATGGAACAAAACAGATACAATTGTAAATTGAGCGGGATTAGCGTAAATTGTTACTAGTGACTGTATACGCGGTAGAGAAAAAATAAAAAAAAAATTTCTAACAGATTAACGCTTTGTCGTATGAATGAAAGAGGGATACATTTAACAAAGAAAATAATAAATGTATGGCTGTGACTAGAATGGAATTACTACGTAACATTTTTCAGAATAATATTGCGAACTGCTCAAAAACAACGAAACAAACCAAAGTTTCTTTTCTTAGGTGTGGCTAACAAGAATTAAACACGTACATTCTGTTGTTACTTCTCAGTATGTTCTACCTATAATTCTTAGTTATTGCCACCGTTTGTGTTGTTTCATTATTTTGAATAATCGCGATCAAAAGCGGCTGATGAATCACTTCTTTTCCTAGCCCACGTGGAGGAATGAAATTAATTGAATGAATGGGAAAAAAAAAAGGATGTGAACAAATACTATGAAATGTATTATTGCATTTTGTTCGTTCGTACAGAATTTCTTTATTCATCTTTGATGCTGTATTTTAATTTTTTTTAATGCAGCTCTTCAGAGTCAAAAGACGATAATTTTGTCGTCTTCTATGGTTTTGCTCTCTGGTTGATTGTGAACCTTGCCTATATCTTTTTTTTTCACCGTAAGTGGGGCTTGGGCATTGAATTCCCTCTTCATGCGATAAGAAAGGGACTACGCGGTTTGAGTACAAGAATTTATTATCTGGAAAACTCGGTTACAACCTAATTTCGTTTGTCTGCAACCAAAAAAAAAATTAACGTAGAAAGAATATTTCTAGTTCTTTTCCATTTGTGCAGTTTCGTTTCTTATTATTTTTTTTAGAAGGAAAACTAAATACAAAACGGAGCGAGAGACCCCTGCAGGGTTTTTTCTTATGTTATAATTTTTCCAATTATTCACACGTGGGGTGGTCAGTTTTTTTTTTGAATAATCTTATCTTCTAGATAATAAGAAACAACAAGACCATTGCATTATCTTATGAGGAGTTTAAGCATTATTAGGGCAATATGTAACTCTCTCAATATTTTATTACTATTATTTAAACTTTTTAATTGAAGAATTTAAAGTTTTTGTTTATTTTATTGAGCGTAAGTACGTAAATTAAAACGCCTACCCACGTGTATCCCTCATCTCATCATAAAAAAGCTACATTATCGCGTGGTTCTTAAACGTATTCTATTTCTTTACATGTCGACTATCTTCTCCTCTTCTCCGGTGCATTGTACCCCTAAGATATGTTTTCACCATATAATACTCATCTCTGTAATATTTATACAACGTGGGCCAAATATGCACCGTTTATCATTAGAATATATTTATATTTATTTATGGGCGGTATTTAGGGTTGATTAACCCTAAATAATCAATTATGTGTTCGATGAGGTATAGAAATTAAAATGATAAAATTATAATATAATGTCACACAAATCATGACGCATGTATGTGATTTTCTTGGTATTATCTATTGTTAGATGACATAAAAAGTAACGCAATGTTTTCAAAAGTTGAATGAAGAGGGTACGTCGGGATCAAAACCTTATCTTTTATTTTTAATTGTCTTAACTTTCTTTGTCTGAAAGAATGAACAAACAGATTTTAGGGCACGGCAAATCAATTAATCTTTTGGTAAATTTTTAGTTTTTTTCGATGGGTGTCATTTGAAATTGATTTGACAAGAAACGTGGTGATAATATTCTTGGTCTTTTATTGGCATTATAACTGCCAAATGTGTAGTAGAGGTTATTTATTGGTCGAGTGAACTGACAAACCAAAAATATTGTAATTAAAAAAAAAAGACGCCATCTTAACCATGAGTCAATGAGGAAAAGATACCATCAGTTTTGTTCAAAATATGTGCAACCATATTTGTTGACTCGACTTAGTTTAAAAATTTTAGATGTTTATACTAAGAATAAAAACGTCATTTGAATGATAATTTATTATAATTGTTGTTTTTAGTTTCTACGTTGATTGTTTGCTTAATGAATATTTTTTAAGTCAAATGAATGTTTTATATTACTGTCATATAGTTTTGATCTGTTACAGATGGCTTGATTGTTGTCTTTAAGCAGGGTTTAGTTTCTATTACATCCAAGTAGAACATACGCATATTTATAATAAAAAAGGTAATCTTTTATTTGACATATATCATATGTTTTCTATTATCAATTCAATGCATTCTAGGTTGTATTGCTATATGCTCTTGACATAAAGTATGTCAATATGGCTCTTCTGTTTGTTTGTCTTGAACTTAAAACAACTTAGAGAAATAGGTGTAGGCGGCTAAATTCTTCATACATCGAATTATTTGTTTTCTTGAAATTGAACAGTCCTTTTTTTAGGGTTAATTTCGTTGAATATGATATTAGGGTTGATGTTTTTTATAAAATTAATAATCAGCGCGATAAACATTTTCATTTTCATTATTTCCTGATGGTGTGTAAAAAAGGAAGACCTGCAAACTAACAATCGACTCTTTTTTTTAAATATATTTAGCTATATTTATTAAGGGAAAAGGATATTTTTTTGAAATTTCTAATAAACTTGGTTCAATATTTAAGAACACTTTACAAATATTCACAGTTATCAAACCTTAGAACGAATTTTTTTTATTATCGATTTAGAGATATAAATATTTAAGAAAGATAACATATACATATATATATATATATTCAAAATGTCATCTACAAATAATAGGAAGAAATTATTATTAATGGGCCGGTCTGGTTCAGGTAAATCATCAATGAGATCAATTATATTTAGTAATTATTCAGCATTTGATACGCGACGTCTTGGAGCTACTATTGATGTTGAGCATTCACATTTAAGATTTTTAGGTAATATGACATTAAATTTATGGGATTGTGGTGGACAAGACGTATTTATGGAAAACTATTTTTCAAAACAAAAAGATCATATTTTTCAAATGGTTCAAGTATTAATTCATGTATTTGATGTTGAATCACAAGAAGTAATTAAAGATATTGAAATTTTTATGAGATCATTAAAACAATTAAAAAAATATTCACCTGATGCTAAAATTTTTGTCTTATTACATAAGATGGATTTAGTTCAATTAGATAAAAGAGACGAATTATTTCAAATTATGATGAATAAATTAAGTGAAGCTTCAACAGAATATGGTTTCCCAAATTTAGTTGGATTTCCAACTTCAATTTGGGATGAATCCTTATATAGAGCATGGTCACAAATTGTTTGTTCTTTAATACCTAATATGAGTACATATGAAACAAATTTAATTAAATTTAAAGAAATGTTAAATGCTTATGAAATTATATTATTTGAAAAAATGACTTTTTTAGTTATTTGTTCAAGTAATGGAAATTTACAAATTAATAATGATACAAATAGTAATACAATTAATAATAAAGATGAAAAGAAAAAAAGTAATATAGTGGCAATTGATCCAAAAAGATTTGAAAAAATTTCAAATATTATGAAAAATTTTAAACAAAGTTGTACAAAATTAAAGAGTGATTTCAAAACATTTGTATTAAATGATTCAATATATGTTAGTGAAATATCACCAAATATGGTATGTTTTATTGTATTGAATGATACTAGACAATCACAACAATTAGTATTGGAAAATGTTAGTAAAGCATCACAGTACTTTCAATAGACAAGAAAATTATAAAAATTCTAATTAAATCAAATTAAAATAAATGAATAAATAAATAATATATACATATATCTGTATGTTTATGTGCTCGTTATTGTTGTTGTTTTTCCAATAAATCGGAATAGTAATAATAATAATAATAATGGAATATGATAAGGTATGACATTTTTTTTTTATGAAAAGAAGAAGGGGGTTTTAAAGTTTATACTAGTATTTTACATTAATGATGGAATATATACAACTACCATAAGTAAGTGAGTGAGGGAAGGTTAAAGAAACTAATGGAAGAATAGTCAACTAGTAAGGGTTAGAAAATAACAGCAACAAAATATTGAATTATTTTTTTTTTTATGTACTAATAGTATTCATTCAATATTTTAGTCTTGCATTTTTGACTAGAACCATAATAGTTGGCTACCAATAAATAGGGAAAGTAAAAAAATAAGAATTGCTTGATAATATGTTTTGTCTTTGCATTTCTTGATTTTAATTTATAATTCAAAGGGAATATATGTATGTGCGTGTGATTTTTTTTTTACATTGATCATTGTTATTATGATGAAGAAGATTACATTTCCTTGAAGAAATCTCTCTTAAAGAAAGTCAATTTCACCCAATCCATGCATACCTTAAATCTAGTTCTAGCAGATAATAACATTGCTAAGTAAGTAGCTCTCCAAATATAGAAAGTGAAAGCACCACCACCTGTGTAAAGATTTCTCTTACCATAAGTAATATTAGCAATAGCTTTTTCTGAACCTAAATAAGCTAAAGCACCTAAATGGATATATTTAAATGGCTTAAAATGATTTTCTTCAAATAATAAGTCAATTTTTTCCTTTCTGTTGCTTAAAGTTGAATGGAAATCTTTAATTTGAGCCATCTTATCAAAAGTTTTAGCTAAATATTCTGCTTCTTGATGTGCAACTTGAGCAGTTGGGGGTAATCCAATAAAAGCGTTATCACCAATGGCAAAAATATTATTGGAACCTTTAACTTGAAGGAATGGATTAACGTTTAAAGCTCTTGTTGAAGCATTTTGTGCAGGAATCTTTTTAAATAAATTAGTAATAACTGGTCTACATTTATTACCAGTAGCCCAAATCAAAGTACCATAAGGAATAGTTTCTTCAGAGACAGTACCATCATCATGTTTGGTCTTTGCAATTAAATGATCAGATTCAACTTTTGCAACAGCAGTCTTTAAATGTAATTTGATTGATGTATCCTGTAGGACACTTTGAGCATAAGATGATAATTTTTTATCAAACATGTTTAATACAATTGGTAAAGCTTCAACAAGATGAATTTGAACTTCATTAGCTAATGATGGAGAATATTTTTTCAATTCTTGAGTCACATAGTCTTGTAATTCACCTGCAGTTTCAACACCTGTTGGACCACCACCAACGACAACAATAGATAATAGTCTTTTTCTTTCTGGATCACCAGGTGGTAAGAAATTTGCTTTTTCTAAATTATGAGCAAATTTTTGTCTAATTTGGAAAGAATGTTCAATTTCTTTCATAAATAAACCATATTTATCAACACCAGGAATATTGAAAGTATTTGGTTCAGCACCAACAGCAGAAATTAAATAATCATATTTAATTTCAATATCATCCTTTGGTTTTAAATGTGGTACAGTATCACCATTTTTTGATTCAAAATGTGATCTTGTTAAAATTTGAGTAATATCTGAAACGCCGGATACACTAACAGTATTTCTTTCAGGATGAATCTCTTGAGCTGCAGTTTCATAATATGTAACATTCCCCTTTTTCTTTAATGCAAAATTTACAACAGGTTCAATAATTGATTTTTCATCAACTGTACCAACAGGAGTTGATGGTAATAGAGGAGTAAATAAAAAATAAGGTCTTGGTGAAACAATTGATACATTATATTTTTTTGTATCAATATGTTTTAAAAATGAAATTGCACCCCAACCTGAACCTAAAATTACTACAGATGGTTTATTTTCATAATTTGTATCAATAACTTTTGTTGTCTTAAAGGAACTTGAACCAGCTAATGAATCATTTGAAACTTTACCAACTTGTGATGATTTTGATGCAACTTTTGCTGTAGTTGAAGCTAATCTTTTTAATTGTATATTATGAGATAACATTCTCTGTGGTGTTTGATTAGCTAATGTAGATAGCATATTTGATATATCGTGTGTATGTTTGTAAATGCGTTTGTTTCTTTTTAAATAGTAATTGAATTAGTAATCTTTTTAAGAAAGAAAAAAAACGAGCAAACCCTGGAGAGTTAAAAACGAATCTAAGAAGACAAGAAATAGTTTTCAAAGGATAGCTATACGAATAAATATATATAAGTTTAAGTCAAGCTTTGTTATATCTAAATGTTTATATATATATATATATATATATGGAGCTGGTGGTCATCAATTTTTTATTTTAAAGTGGCAGGTACTTTCGGGTTTAGGAGAGGTTACTTGATTATCACTGTTTGACGATAATAGATGTGCAGATTTCCCAAGCTCTATTTGAGGGTTAAAGAGACTGAAACAGATAGCGATGAGGAGAACGGAGAAAAAATAGAGATACGACGGTTTAGATAATATGCATATTGTTCTATCTGCACACACATTAATATTAATATGCCTATAAAGAATGCACAATATTTGTTAGGCTAGAATGTTTATGTGATGTTGCATAACAAGTATTCTCAGAGATTTATCATTTTACTATGTGATTATATGTTCAATTGATTTGATCATGAAAGAATAATAATAGTACTAATTTACTTTTAATATTGTTTCGACCTAATTAACTACTGTAGCAAAAGTATAAAGATATTCTCGATGAAATTTTTTTTAGGGAAGATCATAAAATATGTAAGTTTGTGAATCCCAAATTTTTTTTTCTAATTTATCCTTTGAGTAAGAGAAAGAAGGGCTTTTCAACAATTTGCGGTTCGAGAAGTTCAAAATACAAAGCTCTGTGTCGTTAAATTATTTTGCACGACCAAAATTCTGTAAAATATTGATCATATCTCCATAAAATAAACAAACATAAGTATATATTTGTATATACAATATGTAAAATACAAATTATGACACTTCTACGGTAAATTTAATTCAAGCATAAATGAAGGACATTAATTTGCGCTTTGCCGGTTAACCCGCAGTTTTCTTGCTATTCCCTTTTTTTGAGAAACAAANAGTGTTTTTGTTTGAAACATCTGTTTACATTTCGAATTTGGTTTTTTTTTTTTGGTGTAGATTTGTGGGAAATCTTAGTGCGTTGGCTGTTCTCTTTTTCTAATTTAGTTAGTTTGTTTATATAAAGTAACATATATATCTAGAAGTTAGTATTCTTTTTTTTTTAAAGGTATCTCTGTAGTTGAAGTAGTGATTTGTTTTTAGTAGCTTTTGCTCACAAAGGTAGAAGTATTACTAATATACATTGTTTTATCTTCTCGAAAAGAAGCTATTGTAATTTTTGATTGATTATGGCGGATAATCAGGGGAACACACCTCCTCAACATCAGAGAAGATTATTATCAAACAAATCTTCAATATCGCATGCAAGTAACAATAGATCTATTAATAATTCAACTAATAATAGATGGGTGCAACAACAACAGCAACAACAACAGTATGCTGGTATGACTACCACGTCTTTAAATACTCAGATTTATAATAATAGAGCACATTCGTTACAACAATTGCAAGTTAGAGATCCTTATAATATGGGATTTTATCAACAACAACAGCAGCAACAGCAACAGCAGCAGCAACAACTACAAGGTCAGGGGCAATATGTGGATCCTTATATGTATATGTATTCAGCACCTACTATGGTGATGCCTTTGGCTCAAAGACAAATTAATACTTTACAGCAACAACAACAACAACAACAACAACAACATGTTTCTTATGGTAGAGTGATGACAAATGTTTCTGGTAATAATATTACACGTAGAAGAAATGCAAAATTATCAAATAATAATATCAAGAGAAAGAATAATGTTCAAAATAAATCAAACACAACAATACCTTCATCTTCTTCCAATTCATTGAATAATAACAATATGACTTCAAATTATCAAAATAATAATAACAGTAATAATATGAAATATAGAAATGTTAAAGAAGTTGTGAATTCTACTCAAGCTAATGATATTTTATTAAAAGATATTAAAATAATTGATTATTATCACGTAGTATTTGAATCTATTAATAATGATCATGTTATTGAATATGATAATTTATTACAAAATTCAAAAAATAATATTGATACTACAAATAAAGTTAAAACAATTATAAATAAGATACCCAGAAAATCTCCTCAACAGCAATCTCATGGCAATAATAGCAGTAACAATAAGACAGTATTTAAATTGAAAACACCTATGGTGACCTTTAAAAAGAAAAATATTGATAATGAAAATAGCACTACAACTTTATTCATTAATAAAATTCAAACTGTTTATAAAAATGAAAATTCTTCTAAACAACCATTATTATTAGGTGGGAATCAAGCATTTAAAGTTTCTTCAATAAGTGATTATTCTCCAAAATTACTTGAAACTTTCTTAAATAAACAAGGAATCTCAACAAAGACTGTTACTAATTCAGCCTCATCTGCATCTTCGGTCTCTTCTGGGACATCCGGCTCTACAGGATCATCTGCTAATAGACCAAGACAATTGCAGTTAAAGGCTAATGTCTCTGCATTATATAATGACAGTTTTGATTTAAGTTTCGATGGTAAAGCAATGGATCGTAGTGATGTCTTCCGTATGGTGGACTCCTTCAGTGTAGCATTTTCTGATAATGATGATAGTAATATTATGATGCAGAATACTCAATCTGTAATTATTCAAGATAGTAAAAATAAAAGTAATCGGAAGGATAATGGAAAAACCGGTAACGATAATGAAGACACCGATAATGAGGTAAGTACTGGAAGCATTCAAAATGAAGAACAAGATGATGATAATAATATTGAAAGTACAAAAAATGAATCGCAAATCAATGGAAACGATGATTTGGCTGATGCAGGCAGCAGTGATATTATTGGACCGATCGATAATAATGAATCAAGTTTCATTGTTAATCCATCTGATAATATCTTGCCAGCAGAAATTACTAGCAGTGAGGCAGCTTATTGATCCTAAATTCTCAAAACAACAAGAGAGCGAGAGATATAATTACATTAAAAGTTTTAACTTTATAATTTGCATATAAAAAAGACACACACACTAATTTCAAATAAATATCAACTTATATAATAATAGTAATAATTTACAACTAAAACCAGGAAACACCGTGTAGGTTTCACATGTATTATGCTTATGAAAAATCTGTGTATGATAACTTATTAATATTTTATTACCGTAACTAAAGTATACAGGAGTTATATAAAGAGTAATGACTTTGATCCATGCTATTTACAGAAATTTAAAGAATATGTTTGTTTAATGTTTATTTTTTTTTCCCATACGATTAAGTAAAAAATTTTGGTCTATTTCATAAGACATGTTCTCGTTTCTCAACTGTGAACCCTGGATTTGATTTTCTTAATTCTCTTTGCATTTTTTTGCTTAACGCCTGTTCAGTAACTTCAACTTTCACTAATTCCTTTACTTTCAGCAAAGAACCAGTAATAGCTGGTGTAACTTCTCTGTATATGACAGAACCCCTTTTACCGAATCCCAGTGTCTTCACTATCTGCCTCGTTACCTTTGGCATCCCGATAAGAGACCTTACTAAAGTGGCCTTGTAAAATACCATGGTTCTTTGTTCTGGTTATCTTTATTCACAGTATTCACGTAAGATATATCTACCGCTATCTCGAGTTTGGTGCTGTGTGTGTACGTTACACTACTTAACTTCTCTTATACCGTTTTAACTAGTTTCATTTTCAAATAATTTACTTGTTTGTTTGTTTTTTGGTAGCTTTTCTTGCTCAGAAGAGGAGAAAAGGCGATGTAAATTAGAAAGAGACAACCCGAAGTCTATTTCTTACAAACCCCGATGATCCCTATTAGTTAACCCCTAGCAAATAATAAACATTTAGCTCCCCCTTCACAGGAGGAAGCAAGAAATGAACTTTTTTCTTTCCTAGGACTGAATCAGATATATAAATACATGTAGCTGAAAAGAAGTAAATATTATTTTCGTAAATATTTCAGTTTTTAGTAAACATAATGTTACTTAATTTTGGTAACAAAAGCTAGTTATTTCTAATGATCTCAATATTTTTAAGTTGCAATGTACGAAGAACATACAGAACTAGCAAAAAATGAAGCACCTAAGCATATTAAATTACCTAGAGAAGATATTACACCAGAATTTATAGCTTGGGTTCGTGAACGAAGAGCTATAGAAAGACGTAAAAGAGAACGTCAATTGAAATTCGATCCAAAATATGATTTTATTAAACGAGAGCTATTAGAAATTCCTCATCCTGTGGATGAAGAATTATCATTGAATGATACAAACTCTATTAATGTTAAGATCATGACTTATAATATTCTTGCGCAGTCACTGATTCGTAGAGAATTATTCCCAGAGGCCCATGATGCGATCAGGTGGTCAAATCGTTCTAGGACATTTATTAATTTATTCAGATTTTATGACGCAGATGTGATATGTATGCAAGAGGTAGATATTCAACAATGGGAGAAATTTTGGGTTCCACAAATGCAAGAATTGGGATATGAAGGTCGATTCTTTAGGGGCACACGGACAAAAGTTCATGGAGTAGCTATATTTTGGAAAGTTGAAATGTTTGATTGCGCTGATAAATTAGAGATCAATTTAGACAATAAAATTGATTTACCAAATGAGGTTTATGGGGTTTCAACTACACGAACAAAGACTAGAAATGCGGCATTGATTCTTGCATTGCAGTTTAGACATAAAAGGGGTAAAAGAAAAGGGATTCTCATTGGAACAACTCATCTATTCTGGCACCCATTTGGTACATTTGAGAGAGTAAGGCAACTATACTTAATTTTAGAAAATTATAAAAAGTTTATTGTTAGAATGAATGGTAATACTACAGAAACTACATGGCTACCATTTCTAACTGGTGATTTCAATTCTCAACCCAGCGATTCGCCATATTTAGCACTTACTTCAAAACCGACTGATTTTAAAGGCCAACAAAGAGCCATCTTAGAGTGTAGTGCAACTTATAGGTACTCTAAAAGAAGAAATGGAACTTTACAACATGAGAGTGAGAGTGAGAGTGAGAGTGATGAGCATGAGGATGAGAATGAGCACGAGGACGAAGAAGGTGAAAATATTATGCAATCAAATCCCACTGATGCAAGACCAAAAATATTCCATGCCAATGAGGAACAAAGGAAGTCAGTAAATGAACTACAAAAGATCTACAATATGCTAGACTTGAAAGCAACGTCATTATACAGTTTAGGTTACCGCTATGTGCATCCGGCTAATACAGTCTTTGAAAATATGCATAATGGTGAACCAGAAATGTCACAAAGTGCAATAAATTGGACCGGTTTATTAGATTATATATTTTTTATTGATAAATGGGACGGTTCCGTGTTGGGAAATACAAGCGACATTGGAATACATCGTTTTGAGGAAAAGAATTTATTCCGCATCAACGCTTTACTGCGTATGCCACGTAAGGATGAAATGCCTAAACATGTACAACCTCATATGTCAGAGTTCCCTAGTGATCATTTATCAATGATATGTGATTTACAGATTAAATTATAGTTATTAAATCGATGTTAAATATTTTTCCTAAAATAAATTGTACGAGCATGAAATAAGGTATCAAAGTTAACGGATAAATCATATATAAAGTAGTAAACGCTAGTTAAAAAAAAAAAGCACGAAAGGTAAAGGAAAGGGTATTCCAATTTTAAGTTGAAGTCAGTACAATTCAGGAAGTTGAGCGGCAAAAAATATCTCCAGGGGGCGAGTCGAACGCCCGATCTCAAGATTTCTTGTAAAATTACAGTCTTGCGCCTTAAACCAACTTGGCTACCTAGAGATTTTATAACGAGGAAAAAATAACTGGCAATTATGAACATTATAAGTTCGTATAAAGTGATAAACTGTTTTCGTCTATTTTTATATATAATCTGAGAACAGAGCTAGGTTTCTATTAATTTAATTCAAATTTCACAACTATGTTTTAATCAGTAAGCATTTAAATCTGGTCATTTCCTTAGAGATACCCAAACATGTAAGTGTTGGAAATTATATCACAGTGTGACACACAGTGATCTTCGTACAATGCGATATTGCTGTGAAAATTTCTGTATATAAAGGAACCCGTTTTCCAAATTATATAGAATTATATATTACACTTTCTCACATCTCTCTCTGATAGGAGGGAGAGGAGCTCTGCTGCTGGCAACGGACACCTAGTCCTGACCTACAGTAAATATATATACTATTGTTATTCTCTAATTCCCAGTTTTCCGACAATTCTTTAATACCAAGATGCTCAACATCATGAAAAAAACTAAATTCATATTGGAGATGAACATATTATGAGTTACCGAAAAACTCTGTTTTCAATTTTAGAAAGTATTGACCTTTTTAGGAGCAAATTGCCACATTGGAAGGTTGTATATGTTTTGGAATTCATCGTGCTATTTTATCTTGTTCAAGAGTTGCTAAGAATATAGATTATATAAAAATTTAATTTATATTCAAGGTAATCTTCGATTGAATACATTTAGAAACATACACCTACTCTCCAATGAGAAATAGAGAGACAGGCTCTGTTAAAAGTAATAGTATAGAGTTCTAGCTCATAGCAAATAAATAACCCTATTATAACTGTTCTCATTGACAGTTTTCTAATAATTTCGTTAAGGAATGTATGTAATATTTCAACTTTTCTTTTGAGAAAAGAATATCACTTTTATTTTTTTGTTTACTCGTAGGCACATTTTGTTTATTTATCCCATCGGCTACAAAACGATAAATTTATATACTAATCTGTTTTTTTTTTTGATTAACCCGTTTCTATACAATTCAATCTAACATTAATGTTTAAACAACTTTCTTAGAATTTACAATATAAGCAAGGTATACTCAAGATTCAAAATCTCGGATAGTAATCACTCGTAATAAAAATTACTACATTCCCCTTAAGTCTACTAAACAGGAAAACTCCCCTCAAAAAACCAGAGGGGGCTACATTACCACACGATGCACTTCTTGAATAAACCCTCAAAACTACTCACATTTGAAGTTGATCTCATTCCTCTTAATTTTAAAATATCGAACTGTAATAATACAATTATGCAATCTCTTATAAATAATTACACTAATAAAATATCCCTTAGGAAATTTCAAATGATATTACTTTTAATATTGATTATTTTCATCTATTTGAAATAACCTTCAAGATCACTTAAAATTTGAACATGTAAATCCACTCGCTTTTCTTTTACCCCATCGACCTGCAGTCATTGTGGTTTATCTCCTTTAAGGGGAAGAAGCAATTCAACAACAACAGAGACGAAAAAAGCGTGTTATGCCTGACACTTCTCCCACTCTATCTATCATCTTTTTCCTCCTTTAACAAAGACCAAGCAAGAAAAATACATGCTTGAACCGATAATGAAAAAAAAAAAGGTTAACCATACGTACAATATCAAGCAATCAGGAAAATTAAACTAACACTACAAGACAGTACAAAACGTTTACTTACTCACACGATTAAACACGTATTGTAACCATTTCCACTAAATAAAGTAAAATATATATGTGTGGATACTTTCTTTAAATTATTGTATTGCCAAAAGAATACAATAGGAAATAATAACGAGAAAAATTAAATACTCTTTCACACTAACTGTCAGCACTCTTGTGTTCTTGTTTGGCTGCCTCTTTTTATTTTTATTTTTATTTTTAAAATTCTACCCAATTTTTGCCCTGCCGCTAAAATTTCTTCATTATGCACGAAGTTACCCTTGTTACATTATTATTGTTTATATATTTTGACAGAGTATTTTTACCCACTCACACAGAAAAATATTTTGCACAGAAAAAATATTCAGACAGACCACACAAAATACGCTGATGGAATATTATACTCAATAAAGGATTAGTTTTGACCGTGAAGAAACACCATAATAACAATAATAATAACAATACAGAAACTCAAGCGAGAAGCGAAGAAGCAAAAAAAAAAAAATTCAGAAAAATATTCCAAGAGAGAGAAAAACCAAACAACCAGACAAACTGAAAAAAAATAAAAATACAGAACTAAAAAAAAAGGATTTCTACAATACAACAACAATAAAACAAAAAAATAAATAAAAATAGGAATTAGACATTTACTCAATCATACGACGCAGTGTTCACATTTTATATTGTCATAATTATATCAATTCGAGATTATACATACTCTATTGTCATTAAAATTATTATTATTTTGTTATTATTGATATCTTCGTTTTGTGTTCATACTTTATGTTTATTTTCCTGATTCACTTCAATTCGTTTTTAAAACTATAATAATATAACAACACCCACTCTCACTTACCTTTTAATATTTTATTTTAATCTGGGGGAGAAGAAGAACGAGTAACAAAATTAAAATTTCGAGTTATTTTATTTTATAGTTCTTTTAATATTATCTATTTTTATTATTGAACGTATTTGTATTTTGTCATATCATTTAGACCACGTCAAGGAAAATTATTTTATACTATTGTTGAAATATTTCTCAATCCCTTAAAGCATCTTTTTAGTTTGTTTGTTTATTATTGAATCAAAAAATAAAAAATAAAATAGAGAAAGATAAAACGTGCATCTTAACTCTCTATCATATTACAATTTATTCCTTACAATAAAAAAAAGAAAATAAGCTCCTTTATTATTAGATATTCGAAAATTTCATAGCAATCTTTTAGTTTGTTTTGTTTAGTATTAAATCTATCGTTAAAAGTACTATTTAATCAAAATAACAACTAGTGCCCACAGTATCAGATACAAAATCATTCCTGGATATTTTTATTTTTATTTTGTTTAATTCGATTATAATATCATCATCATGAGATCTTCTTACTCTAGAAAGAGTAATGGATACGGACAATTCAATCAACATCAAAACCATAAGCCATCACTTCCTCAGGACCAAGTGTATATGAATAATCAAAGACCTCCTCAACAAATGATGTATCCACCAATAGATCAATATGGTTTCCAATATGGAATGATTCCTCCACAATATGCAAATTCACCAATATTGAATGCTCCACCAACACCATTCGATTCAAGTTATGGTGCTACTTTATTACCATCGCATTTACTTATGGGTTCTCCATATATAGCTTCTCCAAAAATGAAATTTTCTCAACAACAACAAATACAACAGCAACAGCAACAGCAACAAAGTCAGAATGCACAGTCACAATTACATTCTTTTAAGTTTAATAATCACAATATGATGGATGGGAATTCACATTTTAATAATAATGAACATTCGACTTCAAGGAAAATGTCTAATTTATCAAATAAACCAATCAATTCTAGAAATATTCAAATGCATGTGAATAACATTAGTGATGATGATAAATTTAGTTATATGAAGTCATTATTTAAGCAACCTTTTAATATTACATTTAAAGTTTTGCCTAAAGGTGATGATGTATATAGAACTAGATCACTATTATTTGAAAATATTGATAAATCAATTGACATTCATGAATTTATTTCCAATTTCGTAAAGGTAAATGCCATCGAAAGTGTATATATTGTTGATTATTTAACTGCATCAACCTCCAATAATGTTGAAAATAAAGAGGATAATGAAATTAATCAAGATAAACAATCTATTCTATTAAGTTTTTTCACACGACAACTTTGCCTAGATTTCTACAATAGTGTATTGCAAAGGTTAAAAGAATTTAAAAAGAATCTGAAATCAGAATCTCTAAGGTTAAGTTTTGTATCACTAAACTATATCCCTTATAGTGTTAGCAATACGGATGATAATGAAGCAATGGAGCCAGATAGCGAAACAGAAGATGATACTGCTATTTATAATGCATCATTCTTATCCAGTTTACAGACGGATATAATTCCTACTGAAGCTACTAGATCTATCACTGTTGAATTTGATAAAAATACTACAAAGGATGAAATATTAAATGAAAAATTACTTTTCTTAAAGGACAATAACTTGAGATACATTATGGAATCTATATATTTTGTTAATGCTCCTAAACCACAAGATGAATTCAATGAAAATTATGTAATTTTAACATTTTTGAACATTTCAATGGCAAATGAAATTTTAAATTACTTAGAGGCTGAAAAACAAAAACTTGACATTGTAGATTGTTTCTTTGTTAGTATAACTTCTCAAAGAGAGAGATCATCAAGAACATCGGAATCCTCTAGAAATGCAGATACCACAAAACATGCACCAATGAAAAATAATTTGCGTAATGCTAGTTTGGTAAGTATCCAATCTTCAGACTCTAATATCTCTTTACCTAGCAAATATGATGTCTCTTCTTTAAAGGAGTGCAAATTAAAGATAGATAAAGACGATTATCCAGCTCCATTTACAAAAGAGTTTGAAGATCATTTACCCAATATCGCAATGTCTCAACCTAATCAAATGAACGGTACTATGGCTCCACCAATGAGCCAAGAAATGTTTGTAAATGATGTCGGTACATTACCGGGAATGTCACCATCCTTTGGACCAGTAGAGACATTTGGTTTAGAACAACCTCAAAATTTTGCATCTTCAGTGATTTCAAGGAATGGGTCCTTCATGGAACCTGGTCCAATTATGAATCAACCACCTTTTTATTTGGATCAACCTCAATACCACCGCAACGCCCCGGTTCGTCCTATAACTGACTCCTTAAAGGATCAAATGAATACTTCTGCAAAGATTGCGTCAGCAATGGGTAGTGATGCAGGTAACAGAACTATATACATTGGTAACATTAATCCTAGATCGAAACCAGAAGACATCTGTAATGTTGTTAGAGGTGGTATATTACAAAGCATTAGGTTTATTGAATCTAAACGTATCTGTTTTGTTACATTTATTGAACCATCTGCTGCTGTACAATTCTATGCCAATGCCTTTATAGATCCTATTGTATTGCATGGTAATACTTTAAAGTTGGGATGGGGTAACTATTCTGGTCCACTTCCAAAATCAATTGCATTAGCCGTTACAGTCGGTGGTAGCAGAAATGTGTATGTCTGTCTTCCTGATGTTGCATTCAAGGATAAATTCATTACCAACCCTGAATATAAACTTTACCATGATCAATATAAACTTCCAAGTGCCGAACAACTGAGAATAGATTTCTCCACATATGGTACCATAGAACAAATTAATTATATGAAGGACAGTCATTGCTGTTGGATCAATTTCATGAATATATCTTCTGCGATCAAATTAGTGGAAGAAGCAAATAATAAGAAGAATAGATTAGAAGAGAAATTTAATGGTCGTTACAATGGATTAACAATTAATTACGGTAAGGATCGTTGTGGTAATGTCAACAGAAACCTTGTTGCAGGAAAAAAATCAAGATTCTATAATAAAGTTAAGAGACCAAGTTATGATATAAGATTAAGTAAATTGGAAGAGAAGAGAAAATACAGGGAATCTAAGAAAAGAGAAGAAGATATGACTCAATCATTCTTACATGATGTTTCAACCGTTGACAATCAAAACATATTGGCTGAGGATAAAGAAGATATAATAAATTTAGCTTCCTTGGGTATTACTCTAAAAAACGAGGAAGGTAATGAGAACAGTACTGATATTATGGAGAAAATCGATGAGAAGGATTCAAAATCTGAGACAGACGATGTTCTACAGGACTTCCTTTCCACCAAATTGACAGACAAGGGTGAAGACAGTGAAATCATTGGTAGTGAAATAACGAATACAGCTGAAGAATCTGTCTCTTCTTCTGAGGTGGAATTCATTATTAGCAAACCAGATATGATAGCAAATAGAAGTAATATGTCATTTAACGACAGTATGTTGAGTCAAGAAGATTTAACTAACCATGCGATAAAGGCAACCATAATGAACAGTAACAAACCATCTATATCTAAACAAGCCTTAGACTTGGAACCACCTTTCGCTCCTGACACTATCTCAAGAGACTACGCTATGCAATTCAATGGTCTTGTTGGACCTCCAGTCATGTCCATGAGAGAAGAATGGAATCATAATGGTAACGCTCAAAATAATGGCGGGAACAGTAAAGGTAACAACAAAAACGGTGGTAATCAAAGGAAGAACCAGAAAAACCACAAATCTAAGGGTAAGAATGGAAGAACTATTCCTGGCTCTGACGTCATGGCACAATACCTTGCACAATTGCAGCATTCGACTTTTATGTATGCTGCAAACGTTCTTGGTGCCTCTGCAGATGATTCTGAACTGTATGAAGAATGAACAGCAAGATTGCAACGTACATAATATTTTCAGTGGACAATTAATTAGCATCTTAACATATATTATAATATAAGTAGCATTACTCATATAAATATTCTACAACAATAATAAATATAAAATTAATTTTTTTTGAATGTGGATCAGCATTATGAAAATAGCTAATCAAGAAGAGTTTTCTTTTATTTGCTATTGTCATTCTTATTGAAAATATTACTTATTCAGAAGATCCTTGTAAATAGGAGCCACCCGCAGAACAGAATATAGATTTCACATATATAAAAGACGTTGCTACTAGTAACGCGAAAATCCTTATGTAATGCCTTTCATCTATTTACGAATTGTTATTCTTTTCTTTCAACAGGTGTGCATAAACCACCGACTAAGTTGACTTCCTTTGAGAAGGTTAGATTGGCTTACTTGTTTCTTCTTTATGAAGAAAACACTGTTTACTAAAAGAATATTAATTTTCTGCCCTTTCTACAGCGTATTGTGTGATACACAGATAGAGACAAAGGGTGTCTCTCTATGTCTCGAGGGGAACGCGTTTTTTTTCCAAAATTTTCTTTTTCACGTAATAAATTCATACAGTTCTACATTGATTTATCCGTAGAAGGACAACACAAAAAAGAAAAGATAGGGCTCCTCTATAACGAGAGAGGGACACTCTAATTGTTCAAAATTTTCAGTTCTGAAGAGATGACTGACTGACCTAATTAATTAGTAAGCACCTCTAATTAGAATATGGAAGGGACCAAGCAGTTCAACACCTATAGTGATGAGAACTAAATGGAGGGGCAGTTGACTCTTCAAAACACCTTTTATTTTAAGCGTGATATGGAACAACGAAGATCTACCTATCTATCTATATATATATATAAGTAAATTAGTTATTTTGAAATGTCGATTGGGAGTCCACGGATTTTATAATTAATTACTAAAGTCTTCCTATGTCATATTTAAGAAACACAGTAATCAAACGTATTGATATACAGTCCTACCATCTAGAAAAAGATTTGAAATAATTGTTCAAATTCAGTAGAACTGCGTAGCAATTTTTTTATAATGAGAAATCATATTATACCTTTTGATGAGAATTCGTCATCAAGTATAACAAATAGCAATGTTACAGAGACAAAGAGTTTTACAGACAATGAAAAAAAGAATTTTGAAATACCTCAGATAGTAGAAGAAGCATCATCTATAGTTGATGCTCAACAGGATGATAGCAATGAACTTATCGAATATGCCCAAGGACAGAAATGGCAGAAGGCTGACTATTTCAGTAGCACAACGAAGGAATATTTATTTATATTCTCCTGCATGATGAGTCAGCTATTGAATCAAGCTGCTACTCCACAAACGTTAGCCATTATGAACATTCTTTCAGATTCATTCAAATCTGAAGGTGGTAATCAAACCTGGCTAATGGCATCTTTCCCATTGGTTTCTGGTTCTTTCATTCTAATTAGTGGCAGAATTGGTGATATATATGGCTTGAAAAAAGGCCTGATTGGTGGTTATACAATGTTTATCATATGGTCCATAATATCAGGTCTAACATACTATTCACATAGCGATACATTTTTTATTGTTAGTAGAGCTTTCCAGGGCCTTGGAGTGGCATTCATTTTACCTAATGTACTAGGTATTGTGGGTAATGTCTATATACCGGGAACCTTTCGTAAGAATATGGTCATTAGTATGATTGGTGCATGTGCTCCAATTGGTGCAGCATTAGGATCAACATTTGCTGGGTTAATTGGGACTGAGGATGCAAATCAATGGCCATGGGCTTTTTATGCTTTCGGTATTACATCAGCAATCAATTTGGTAATCTCTGTATACAGTATTCCAAATAATATTCCAACTAATATCCATGGGTTCTCAATGGATTGGTTAGGTTCATTATTAGCTGTCATTGGTTTGATTTTACTAAATTTTGTATGGAATCAAGGCCCCATTGTGGGTTGGCAAAAGGCCTACATAATCGCGTTATTGATTATTTCAATTTTCGTTTTAGCTATCTTTATTATCTATGAACTCAAGATTGCTACAATTCCTCTATTACCTCGGGAAATTATGAAGAATCGTTACATGCTGATGGTTTTATTAGCTTTATTCTTAGGGTGGGGTTCCTTTGGTATTTTCTCATTCTATTACTTCTCTTTCCTCCTAAATTTAAGACATTATACCGCATTATGGGCAGGTGGTACTTATTTCATGTTTGCAATCTTTGGTATTATTGCTGCTCTCGTAGTTGGTTTTACCATTAAGAAGGCTACTGCATCGATCATCTTATTTGTGTCAATGGTTGCCTTTACTGTAGGTAGCGCTATGTTAAGTGTCACACCAGTTGATCAGACTTATTTCCGTATGAATCTTGGTACCATGGTCATTTTAAGTTTCGGGATGGATATGTCATTCCCAGCCGCATCAATTATTTTAAGTGACTTCTTACCAATGCAATACCAAGGGATGGCTGGTTCTCTTGCCAATACTATGGTGAATTACTCAATGTCTCTATGCTTGGGGATGGGTACAACTGTTGAACGTCAAGTTAACAACTCCGGTAAAGACATTCTAAAAGGTTACAGAGGTGCAGAATATTTAGGTATTGGGCTAGCTGGACTAGGTGCAATAATTGCATTCTCATTCATGATTGAAAAATATTGGATAGAGAGAAAAGAAAACCTTGAAAGGACTAAGGAAACCGATTTAAGTTAAAACCATAACATAACATAATATAACTTTATAAATATTCATAGCATAACCAGAGCATCATAATGCTTTATTCATATACAAATTTCCCTTTAATTATAGATGATTAAATTACTTTTTTATTTTAATACTTTTAAAGTTTATGTGAATGTATCGTTAATATGTATTAGGACTACTTATATAATGTTTTATTTGATAGCGTACGTTCCTTCGCTCTCTATAATTAAGGATTTTACTCCCTTCTGGCCTCTCTTTCTTTATTTGCGATTTCTTTAAGATCATCATCACTAGGCTCATAAATATGCCATACAGTATAATGAGGTAACCCACCTACTCTATATCCCATTTTCTTCGCCATTTTCCCAAATGCTTCAGTCTCTGCATGATTTTCAAAAGTGAAAGCTGGGAATTGAACACCACTTCTAAATAATTTGGCTTTTGCCAAAATAGAGACACCACCAACACCATCTAGATCCATGACTTCCTTAGGATCACCTTCTTCATTTCTCTGATACGCTAAATGGACCCTCCAAGTTGGATATTCCGCGTAACCTTCTACAATGACATCATCTTCATCTAAGGTGGCAGCCAATTCTAAAGCTGGACCGGATTCGACCCAAGAATTCAAATCATATGGTTGAGCGCTATTTAAAAATTCAGGTAGGGGTCTCCAAACATTTGGAACCATAATATCATAATCGCTGGCCATAAGATCTTCAATTACAGAACCAGGGCATAGTTCGACGTCAGCATCTCTCCAATAAACCCAAGAATGATAAGGTTTCAATGCATTTGCAGTCAACCAATTCCTTGCTCTACCCATCAATTTACGTCTGATACCTTGAACCTTAACAGCATGTCTATCACTGAAACCTTGACCGATAACTTGTCCAAAATCCTTTTGGAAGATTTGAACTGAACGGAATGGTTTATCATAATCTGAATGGAACGGAGGTTTGAAGGCACGTTCAATCTGAGCAATATATTGTGGGCTCATATATTTAATGTGCATGTCATCAGCTGATACACCATTACCTTTAGTATGTTCTTTGACGTAATCCATTTCAGCGAATACCTGAGAAAGTGTTCCGTTTTGTAATTGCTTAGAATATTCTAACAACGCTTCCAATGTATGGTCTCCCTCCGAACAATCACTGACAAGGAAGGCCAAATCAATCAGTTCGTGTGGATAAGTTAAATTCATTAAATGTTTGAACATCAATGGCATAACCTGTTCAGCATCTCTTAATGGGACACACACCAAAATATGATCCCTGTGCTCAGTACCTTTAGGAGAACCTCTAAAATCGGCCAAATCATATTGTTCAACAGTTGAATCTAAAAGCATTGCCAATTCTCTTTGATAACGTTCGTTATCCTTTGGTGTCAATACATCACTACCATATTGTGTGATTAAATAATGTTCCACACCTTGGTCAAATTTTTGGATTGTTTGAGGTTCTATGTCTTCAAAATCGAAATCATAATACTCTTTTTCTTCTAGTGATTTTGTTACGTAGGATGGCACCTTGATATTAATCTTATTGATATCAAAAACATCACCGGTATTATTGCTTTGGAGTAAGTTTGATATTATCTTCATGCACACGTAACAAACAACTATTATGCCTACCACTGCCGCCAATAATCTTTTTGTACCTTTAGCTTTCTTCTTTGGATTATATCTCTTATCCTTTATCTTACCATTAGTATACTCATTATTGGTGGTGGGAAGTTCACCTCGTTTCTTCTTTTTACTAATAGCTCTATTAACCCTATCGAGTAGACCCATGACAAGTAAAGTGCTGTGATATTATATTATGTGGAATAGACGATACGGATATATCGAATGCTATAGTTTAATGAACAATTAAAAAAAAAAATGACTATTATATTGCTCTTTATTCTTCTCAAAAATGGAATTCAAATAAGTAGAATTGATTAACCAGTAATGAATCTTGAGAAACGAATGATGTATAGTCGGTCAGGTTTAACGATAAGGTCGGAAAATTTTAGCCTTATCAACACATATACAACAACCTGTTGATGTATTTTTCACAATTATCGAGAACTTTAAATTGCAAAAGAAAACAAGAAGTTAGTGTACATTAAAAATCTATAAAACTGGAAGGAAAAAAGAATACAATTTACATCATTTTCGAATATTGCAAATGTTCAAAACTGTAAGGCAGATGGAAAGTCGTGAAACTTTCCAAAACATACCCTTGCATGCAGGAGAGCTGAGCAAAGCCTCCCACCTTCCAAAGCTCCCTTTTGGTATCTGTTGTTTGCCTGTTTGTTTGTCGTTTGGCTGGCCTCTTTGCATTTTTTTTGCGAAATTTTGAAAATTTTTGGAAAAATTCCGCAAAGAGAACAATGCACAAAGCGATGACAGTTTGAAATTGGATTAATGACTTTACAGTGACAGACAGATAGTAGACCATTAAGACATAACATTTGATGATCTACACTAATATTAAACTTTAAATTGATTACATATATTGTGTATCACTTTTATTGTCATGGGTCACATATATATATATATATATATATATATATACATATATGTATACTTATATATCATCTGATTCTTTTGACTCAGTTCGTTCTTGAACAGGTTGATTTTCTGAAATAGATTGTTCACCTTCATCTGCTTCAGGTACACCAATACTCACTCTTGTGGCCTTTGTCGTGTCAGCAACTGTATCTGTCCCCGAATCTGAAGAAACAGCTTCAGTAGTGGCAGCAATATCGCTAGTGACCATTGTAATATCGGTACTTATGGCGGCAGATGTAACAGTAGTCGTGCCATCTGGTAAGTCCGTATTGGCAACAGTATAAGTTGTAACATTTCTCTCTTCAACCTTTGATGGTTCCATTATTGTTACATGATGCTCTTCGGTGGCCACATCCTGTATTGACCGAGGCACAATATTGAAAGATGGTGTTGTAGTCTCCTTCGGAAGCGAAGTCCCATCTATCGTGTTTATATCTCCATCCTCTGGATTTTTATCGTCTCCGTCATCAGTAGTAATCTTTATATCTATAGGATGAGCCTCATCGTCACTACTATCTAACGTATCGAACAATCCCATATCGTCACCATTATTGCTTCCAACTCCAACACCGTTGCTATTTCTATTCGCTGTGAAATTGGTCTCGAAGAGTATAGTCTCCAAATGAGCGGAAGTAGCTGTATCACTCTTACGTTCCTTATCACGTTTCTCTTGCAACAGTTTCAATTCTTCAAGTTTCAACTCTCTACGTTTTTTTGCCTCCTGGATTACTCTTGCCTTTTCTTTACGAGTTTCTGGTATCCTGGAAAGCATCATACGGAAAGAATTTCGTAATGTATCCTTCACTTCTTTATCAACTTGAAATCTATTCTTGATGGTTTTATCGTTTTGAATAACCAATTTCGTCAAATTTAAAAATGGATCATTATTACGATGCAATTGTTTTAATTCATATTCATTAACTTTTGCCCTAGCCAACTCAATTCTTTTATGAGCATATTCCTCAACATTGAATGTCTTTGGGATATGGGTCAACGTACTCAACGGCAGCCTTTTAGTTACACGATTTGAACCCGTCCTGTATTCTTCTCCAGTACGTTTATTTGAATATGGATATATAGTTGCTTCAACTTTTGGTAACACATTTTCATTATCAATTATATTTTTTTCTGAAGGTATATCAAGAGAAGGTTCATTATCGTATCGAGCACCTAGAAACCCCAATAAAGATTTCTCCGATTGTCTACCTTCCTCAGCTGCTTTTATCCTTATTAAAACCTCATTTGTAGTTGGATTATTATACTGTGGAGTAAACATATATGTATGATCCGGTGGAAATTTTGGTAACCAATGAGGAATGTATTTTTGTAAATTATTCGAAGACCGTAGGGGAAGCGCTGCCTCTTGTTCTTGTTCAATCAATTGAAACGGTGTATTATTAAGTAGTTTATCCTTTTTTATTTGGTCTTTTATTTTATTTAATTCTTGGGTTTCACTATTAATTGTGCTAGATTGTGGGATATATTGCTTTTTAAGATGCTGTGTTTGTTGTAATGTGATATCCAAATCGTCTGGTGCTAAGTTGAACCCTCGCAGCAAAAGTGATACATCCATCTTGGCGGCTCGTTGACGTCGTTGTATGGTGGTTATACGATGTAATTCGCTAGCCATTGAATCCATTTGTTCCATGGCAAGCACAGATAATAATTCAAAAGCTGACCGTGATATCTCGGTATTACAGTTCATTGGTTTCAACTGTAATGCTAATGCCTTCAACCACAGCGATTCAAGTTCAGGCTCCATAGCTTCATGCCTTATTTCTTCTGGATTAGGTAAATCGCTTATCATAGTGGCAACGTTGTTTCCCTTCCGTTGTGTTTCTGGTGCATAATCCTGTGTCATTTTTATTGTTACTATTATTATTTTCAATAGTGTTCCTTACTGAATAATTATTAACCTCTTGTAAGGTTTTCCTCAGTTAAAAATCAAGCTAAACCGAGTAAAAAGTAAAAACTTGTTTTAAAATTATATGGTTGCTTCTATATGTTCTTGTTTAAAGTTTGAATAGTCCCTTTTACCTGTTTATCGTTTTGTTAATGTTCAAATCCCCCAAAACATGCTTCTCTTTCTCTCTCTGGTAGGCGCTTCGTCTAAACAAAAACTAAAAAGTCTGCCACACGTTGAAAAATTTTCTACAAGAGTAAATAAATGACATCACTAACAAATAATCACTATATATTTATATGAGACTTCATTTGATGTAAAGAAAGGAAAATAGACAAGTACATACACATACACATATACATATATTCAAACAAGCATATACCATCCATTCTCTCCACTGTGATTGTCTCTCTCATTACAGATTAGCACCTAGCATTTCGCGCATACACACACGTTCAATTCATTCTTCAGTTGATCATGGCCAAGACATTAGCACAAGGCCGGAAACCAGGTAGTGGTCGGAAACCAGGTAGAGGTAAAACCCTTCGTGAAGGGAGGAAACCAGGTAGTGGACGTAAGAAACGTGATACGACGAGTCCTACCGAAGGGATAAATTATAATAATAGTAACAATAGCAATAGTAATAACACGCAACAGGTTCAACCAAATAGTGTGACAAGTACAGCTCCAATCAATATACCTATACCTATATCAGGACCTATGGCAACAGCCATACCAATGAACATGTCATCTGGAATGAATAATAATCATGTCTCTAACGGTATGGCCAACACATCAGGTAATAATAACTATGGAGTTGTTATTAACGGGGCAGAAAATGTAGCATTCACCTCAAGGGATATGGAGGCAGTTGATGCGCTTCGGGAGTTGACATACAGTCCTCAGTTTTCACCTCCAATGAATTCTCTCCCTACAGCATTACCCCCGATTGTTCCAAGTAGGTCGTTCCCTGCCATTAACCGAATACTCACAACTTCACCCAGACCTGCAATGAACCAACCAGGCACACTACAATCACCTACACAACAAGGACCACCACAATTACCACAACAATCTAAATCAGTAACGGGGATGATATCGCCGCCAGTTCTGCCACAACAACCTTTATCCATGGCAACGTTTAATGGTCTTTTATCGTCACCTTTGCCCCCATCTAGTATACCTGTAAGATCTGGTCCTATACGACCTGTTCCAATTTCCAACGGAAACACCACTAAAAGTAATAACCCTAACAATAAAAATTATGTGGATTCAATGCCCACAAGTTTAAATTTTATAACTAATTCGCACGGTATAAACAACATTATGAATTTAACTAATAATGGAACTGGAATTAACCAAACGAATACAGATATGAATCTTACAGGTAACGTAGGACCGATAGGGAACGTGGCCATGAACATGAATATGAATGTTAACCACAACAATAACCTCAATAATAATAACAATATTAACAATAATAACAATAATATCATGTATGTCCCACAACATCAACTTAATCCAATAGAGCAGTCGCTACAGAGACCGCCAGGAGAGATGACTCCCAAACAGCATTCTCAACAATCTCACTTCCAATGATAAATGGAAAAATATTTATGGCATCAGGGCATATAGCCATATACATATATGCAAATATATATACATTCATAGACATAGGTTCTTTAGTTTGACTATCAATTTACGTAGATCTATGTAACGATAAAACAATTTCATGAAAGCAAGAAATATATACAGTAGACATTTATTCAAGTATATGATCTATAAAGGTACTTTTAGTAATGTTTTCTATCTATCTATTTTCATGCAAGCGACTTTAATTATATGTTCATTTTCTCGAGAGTTCTCCCTTTATTATGGTAACTTTTTTCATTTAAAATTTAACGACCCACTAAAAAAAAAGCAGTTCAGAAAGTTTTCAGTTCAACTATACAGAAGAGAAAACAAAGAGCTGACAGAGGGAATTACAGCAAAGACCAAGTTGTTTCATCTAACTGAGTATAGTATAACGAAACATGGATGCACTAGAAGCGAGACTACAATTTATTCAAGTACTGAAAAGTTTGCCAAAGACTTTAAACTTAAGCAAAAATATCACCACGACCAGTACCCATGGTACTCCAAATACTATAAAATCCGTAGGAAACAGTAGTTCCAGTAACAGCGATAATCCACAAGATCCTACAGTGTTCTACATGAAACATTATCTTCAACATTATGAAGACTTTCAACAATGTATGTTGGATACCATGAGCAAGATGGACCCGCTCGATAGACTTTATATTCTGATATATTACTCTAAAATAATACATGAACTATACATACATACAATACACGTACAGAACATAGAACAAGCTACGGACACAAGCATAAAATCAACTGTAGAGACTGTATTATACGATCATGTTATTCTAGGGTTACATACCGTCTGCGAACTTGCATGCCCGAAGGGTGATATGAAAGCATTCACTAATTTACCTTATTGCATTAATTTTTATGACGACTTAAAGTTCCTGTTTCAAAACGCTAGCCACGGTACTATCGATACAGAATTATCTTTGGTTCAACAACATATTACGGAGCTGAAACAATATAGAGAAGAATTATTTGCAAGTTTTAAGCAAAATGGAATACTCACATCAGAACCATTTGATAATAAAAACCAGACGACGAAGAATAACACCAATTCGTCCGAAGTACAGGTTGTCCTCAATAGAATGGAGATGGACCGAGACAGACACAAGAAGTTAAAAGAACAAAATTGGCAAATAAATAGAACTCAAAATGCTACTACAACCAACGCAATTAGTAATGAAATGCTTGCTCCAATAGAGTTTGAACAACTCTGGAACACAACACCTGCATTCGACATCCGAGACGGCCATTTTGCTAAACAGATACAAACAATTGCAAATGAGAGTTACGCTCTTGAATGAACTAGTTTCAAGCATATAACATTTATACATAGACATATTTACTTAGCATATATTAAAAATATCTATCATAACAAGATTAACTGATAAAAGGTGCCATGCAAGGTGTCACGCATAATATTAAATTATGAAAGTACTCCACCATTTCCCAGTAAAGACACCTAGGATAAAAGTCTTAGATACAGTATATTCAACGAAGTAAAAGACCCAATACTGGAGAAGTACAGATAGAGATAGACAGCCTCATCGCAAGCTGAAAATTTTTGAAATTTTCAACTTTTTTTTGTTTTTTTATAGTATGTGTATGTGCCGTGCTTCGAAGAGATCTGCCCGTGCTTGGGAAATACCAATAACAACAACAACGACAGAAAGAGAGAGAGAGAGATACTAAAACAAAGAAGAATGTGAACAACTGGACTTTATTCAATTAGCGAAAGAGCTTTATCATTATATATTATAGAACTATTTATGTACATAGCCATATTTTAACAGGGGTAGATTTTAGAAATATTAGCAAAAACATAGACTTATATCTATTAGTAAGATTGATTTTCAAAAGAAACATACCCTTGAATGAAACATGGACAGGTCGATGCGTGGCATTGGCTCGAGAAACCAATTACGAAGACCAATTTTACATTCAAACCCTACGGAATCTAATGTTTTAAACCGTTCGAGACGAAACCAACTTGCTAAGGACCTGAATAGTATCTCTTCATCCCAGGATGATAATTCGCTAAAACCATCTAAGAGTTTATCTAGTCCAAATCTACATAAACTTGGTCGTTCAGAGTTATCTCATGGTACTGGAAGTACTATCAAAGATAGGCCATTGCCCCAATATGAAGCAGGTTTTTATTTTCCAAGCCACAGTTCAGAGGCTCTTAATGAAGAGCTAGAAGATGACGAAATAGGAGATTATGACGATGATAATACAGATGGAAATGATCATAACAATCTGAATGAAAAAATCAAGAGTCCCCGAAACAAACTGTATAATGGCCTACATGGTGTGACGTCAGGTAGAAGGAGAAATCCCAATTTAATACACTATGAAAACGACGAGTCGTTATTAGTTGATGTGCTACCATCATTTGATATGTATAATGTATTACATAGACATATCCCTCAGGGAAATGTTGATCCAGACAGGCATGATTTTCCTCCAACATATCAGGAGGAATCAACACAAACTTTAGAACCTCCTCCAGAGATACATAGCCATGATAATCTAATTCAAAATAATCATCATCACTTACCAAACCAACCTATTGATTCAAATGTACACCAAGAATCCTTTGACATCCATGATTTACGTCCTTTAAATACTCTACGTTATAGTATTTCAAACAATATTCCATTCGAAGATGATCTGAATGATGCTGATAACATAGTCATTGATAAAGTTTACTCGTTACCAAAATTAGCTACTCCTATTGAAATTGAAATACATATTACCAAGAACGCTCCAAAACCAGATATCAAAGTCCCGGATGAATCTATATTGAAAGAATATACTTCTGGTGATATAATCCATGGGTATTGTACGATTCATAACAGATCAGCTAATAGATTAAAATTTGAAATGTTTTATGTTACTTTAGAAGGTTATATTTCAATTATTGATAGACAAAAGGGTAAAAGGACAGTGAAGAGGTTTTTGAGAATGGTAGATTTGAGTGCGTCATGGTCATACACAAATATCGATTTAAGTTCTGGTATAGACATTAAAGTTGGAGAAAGAGATAAAGAAGATGGTGCAATTTTTGGTTTGAATAACAGTAGAATCCTAGAACCAAATATGAAATACAAAAAAATATTCATGTTCAAACTTCCTACACAATTGTTGGACGTATCATGTAAACATGAACAATATTCACATTGTTTAATACCACCAAGTTTTGGTATTGATAAATTTAAGGATCGTGGTAAGTATGCTGGTATCAGAATAAATAATGTACTTGGTTGTGGTCATTTGGGTAGTAAAGGATCACCTATATTAACAAGAGATCTTTCAGATGATGATATATCGATTAATTATACTATTGATGCAAGAATTGTTGGTAAGGATCCAAAATCTCATAAATTGAATATAATGAAAGAACGTGAATATAATCTAAGAGTGATGCCATTTGAATTTGGTTCATCTTTGAAAACCGAAAGTAAAGCTTCTAAAAAACAATTAAAGGATTTAGAGAGATTGATTCAAGAGCGATTAAATGCATTAGAAACAATTAAAGAAAGAGTCTCTAAAAATGAACAAATTTTAAATTCTGATATCCATATGGATGTATTGAGTGGGACTTTTGATAATAATGATGAATTAGATTCACAAAATATATTAGCACGGAAATTAGATCAATTACATATTAATAATAGACTTGATGATGCCCGAAATATTCATGAATTATCAGATTTTAAGAGTCTTGCTCCATCAAAACATTCTGTCGAAACTGAATTGAGTTATAAGTATAAGTCAAAGAGCAAATCCAAGAGTAAATCCAAGAGTAAATTATCAAGTAAATCTTCTGGATTCTTTTCTGGGTTCATTACATCTGCATCATCGTCATTATCATTAACTGGAATAAGTTCTCCATCGACAGATTCCAAAAATTCTTTAACACCAACTAAATCAGGTGGACATACTTTACCACATGCTTCAGCAGATCATATTGATATAATTAAATCAACTGAGCAACCTCAATCACCATTAACGAAACCATCAACAACCGCTACCACCTTATCTGCATCCTCTTCAAAAAATGAGAAATCAGGTTTACTCGTAATATCTGCAAATATTCCTGTCCGTAGTATACCATATTGGTCTCCATCTATAATCCGAAAGGCGAATAAGATGGAAAACAAGAATCGACATGATCAAGAAAACTGGTCTCGTTTAGCTCAATTAGTTTCTGAGAATGAACGAGATATATTAAGATGCTTACCAATTAGAATAACGTGTATTGAATCCAATAATAGTATTCCTCACGATCCACCACCAATCCACTCTATAACTACTCAATTAGTTGTTATTACAGGGAAATCCGATTTTTCAATACCTATAAAATTAAGTGTCGATATGCTTTCAGATACGAATAGATTATCGAATATGAAGGAAAAATTTGGTTCTTATCGTGAACAAGTGAGTAATTATCAGACATGGTTTCAAGAGAATAGTGATAAGATCAATGAACTATATAATATGGGTACATCTAGTGGAAATACAAAGACTTTACATTTCAAAGATTTTGTATCTGATCAAATCAAATCAGACATTGAGAGTCTAAGTAACATCGAAGTAAGATGTGATATATTAAATGACATATTCAAGAAACAACCATCTTCTGCGACTCAAGTATCTCATAGTCCCTTACGCCACGTTGAAAGGACGTCTTCACCAATACGACATGAAATCCCAGATTCGCCAAAACCCAATAAATCAACATCTGAAGTGACTGACCCCTCTCTTGTGGCTGGTAAAGGTTGGTCTCAAGTTAGTATGCAAGAATACGAAAGATATGTGAGTGCTGATTTAGAGATGACTCGAGATATCGGAGAGACATTAATACCAAGTTTCGAAAGTTGTTTATGTTGTCGATTCTATGCTATCCGTGTGAATATTAAATTTGATAGTCATATTGGATGTGCCCGTCTTGATATTCCAATCAATGTCAAGAAGATGAATATATAATGATGCATTTAAAAAGTGCGATATATCGATATAATTAAGTATTTAGCAAAAAAATGGATTCGTATTAATAATAATTAAAAAAAGGGGACAAATTAGATAAAACTATATACAAGATACAGGAAAAAAAAAGATGAGGCTAACGATTTAAGCAAGAACATCAAAAGATAACGTACTGAAAATCTTTTTTGTTTGGATGTGAGGGGGGGGGAGGGCGGCGGGAAGGGAGATTCACAGATGTCAATTAAACTTTAATACCCCAATGAATGGCACAAATCCCAGAAGTTAAACTTTCATACCCAGCAGCTTGAAATCCAGCATCCTGTATCATTGATTTAAAAGTTTCTTGATCTGGGAACCTTTCGATGGATTCGACTAGATATTGATAAGAATCATAATCGTTAGCGACAATTGAACCAAATACAGGTAAAGCTTTTGCCCATTGTTGATAAGCCATATCCATTAAAGGATTTTCAATTTTTGAAAATTCTAAACAATAAAAGATACCGCCTGGTTTCAATACTCTATGAGCGGTTTCTAAACCACGTTGAATATTAGTAAAATTTCTAATACCAAAACTTACGGTGTAAACATCTTTTGAATTAGATTCAATTGAATCTAAATTCTCACCATCTTGGACCATAAACCTAACTCTTGGATCTTCAAAATAACGACCTTGATCCAATGCACGTCGTTCACCTTCTTTCAGCATATCTGGGTTAATATCGACAACATCCATAGTTGATTGAATATCACCGAATTTAGTCTTTGCATAATCTAATATACCAAATGCAATATCTCCTGAACCACCAGCAACATCTAAGAAATTCAATGGTTCATTAGAACCTGGTCTCATACCGGGGTCCAATTTATTAATGAAATGATCTTTCCATAGTCTATGAATCCCCAAAGACATAATATCATTCATTAAATCATATTTTGAAGCCACTGAAGAAAATACATGGCCTACTAATTTAGCTTTTTGATCAACTGGAACAGTCTTTGACCCGAAATGGGTCGTAGATACCATACGAAGTGCCTGTTTTGAAAAACTAGACTTAATCATAGGATAATGTGTGTATATATATCAATCCAGAAAGAACACTATTATATAATGTATCTATACTTTGTTTTATATACAGAGATATATTTCTTTCTTCAAAATATATGTATATATATATATATTTTTTGCTTTTACAATTCCAGAGGGAAAAAAGTGTCAGGGGTGCCCGAGCTTTTCATTCCTGCCATCAGAAAAACAAAAAGAGTATATATGTATATATATATATATATATATATTCGGTACGAGAGAAGAGTCAATTAGTGATCAAATGATTAAAGTAAGAAGAGCACAAACTGAACAACGTATTTTTTTCTACTTTCAAACTATCAATTAAACTATTCACATTATGTGCAAGTACAAATATCAAGTTTCTACCAATACACAATATATACCAGTAATCGTAGCTTATCACAAACCACCACGACCCCAAACGTTATATAGCTTTCACTAAATACAACTCTACCACAATAGTAAACAGCATGTCACCAACCCACACTCTTACCATTCTTCTTGATTAAACATCCAGCAATACACCGTAACATACTCTCCCTCTCTCTCTCTGTTACATACACAACACTAAATCCTTCAACACTTCATACAGAGAAACTCATCACTCTCCCCTAAGATGCTCGCTCTCTTTCGCCCGCGGGCCACCCACACAGCAAATTCGATCAAAAAGAAAAACAGAAAAATTTTCTGGAACCAAAATTGTGTGTGAAGCGTAAACAAATTTGTATGGTGTTTTTTTTCGCGATATTTTACGGGCCTAAAGATTCCACTTGTCTTTGTATAGGTAAACTAGTTAAATTAACATATTCGATTATATCTACGATAATTCAAAAAAAAAGAAACAGAAGGGTAGCATCAAGGAAGAGAGATCATTTATATTAATTAACAGTGAAAAGGTATCAATACTTCATATTTTAAACTTTTAATTTGTTGTAGTACAATCCATTACAGAATACAAATTTACATTAGAGTTTGCATATAGATATAACATATATACCCTACATTCTGGCTCAAATCTCGTGTTTTTTTTATTTTTATTTTTATTTTTAATCGCTATAACTGTTTTGCCCAATTTTTGCCAAAGATCAAGAAGAAGAAGAATAGGTCAACTGACTCATTGAACACGAGAGATTAATTCAACAACCTCCTCCTCCCCTTCCCTCCCTTTTTTCAAGACTCATTGTGGTGAAGTGAATAGATATAACAATATCAACTATATTTCTTATATTTTTTATTACAAATGTCGAATAATGATAATAATATACAACCTCAAAATGTTAGATTACGTAAACGAACACCACAAATGATTTCAAATATTGAAAATGCAAGAGATAAAAGAAAATCCGAAGTTTTAATAGCTGCACAATCCTTAGATAATGAAATTCAAAGTGTTAAACAATTAAAACGTTTATCAATTGGTTCATTAGATTTATTAATTGATCCTGAATTAGAATTTAGAGTGAATAATAACAACAACAACAACAACAATAATACTATATCCACTTCATCGAATGATTTAAATTCAATTAAGAGAAAATCTTGGATTTCAAATAGTAATAATACTAGTATAAATAATTTATCTGATCAATCTTTGGAAAGCAATGATTCAACTATTGATTCTGATAGTATTGTTAATAGTAGTATAGATGTTACAAGAGCAGAATATCTTCATGATGAATCAACACAAAATGCATTAGCTGAAGAATCTTCAACAACGCCGTCAAGATTTACTTCATCTTCAACAATTAATAGTAGCACAACAACAAGACATTTATCAGGGATTAATTCATTAAGGAGAGGTTCACATAATGTTGGAACAAGACGTACATTATCTGCAAATACATTAACTGATAATGAACAAGATGAAGACGAAGATTTTACTAATCATTTATTATGGGTACCTGCAAATCAACATCCAAATGTTAAACCTGAAAATTATATAGAATTAGTTCAAGATGCATTGCATAATATTCAAATTCAAGATAGTAATGAAGATAATGATAATGACAATAATAGTAATCAAGGACAAAATGAGATTTCATTAAATCAAAATAAAGAAAATTTACAACGAAGGAAGAGTAATGTCAGTAACAGTAATAATAATATTAATAATAATAAGAAAAAGAAAAAATATAATCGCACATTGGTTAGAAGACCCTCAAGTCTTAGAAAATCATATACTGAATTATCTGAAAATTCAGATCATACATCATTAGATGATAATGAGGACAACAAGAATGTTGTATTGAATATGAAGAGAAATAGCCATTCTAATCAAAGAACAGCATCATTGAAAGATATTACTGAAGAATTAACTAAAATATCAAATAATGCAGGTCTAACAAATTCTGATGCTATTACATTAGCAAGAACATTAAGCATGGCAGGTTCATTTACCGGAATGGATGATGAAGCTTTATTAGATGATGGTAGTAATTCAAATCTTGATGATAATAATAACAATAATAATATTTTACAATCTCAAGATATTAAAACAAATAATGATAATAGTGAAAGTAATTCTGTAGATGAGTTTGCATCTAAAATGTTTATGAAAAATGGACTCACAATACCCCAACGATCTTCTCTTAGAAGAAGTAAATTTAACACTTATAGAATAAGATCGGCAGATTCAACTACTACTACTACTACTACAGACAACACAAGAGACACAAAGAGACACTCTAGTGACATAGTACAAAGAGAATCTCTAATTAATGATGATACTAAAACATTACATATGCCTCATTCTCCAATTGCATTCAATAATGACTCTCCTTCAACAATTGCATCCGCTGAATCACCTGGATCTATCAGCGACTTATATGATCACTATACCCAACTAAATAAGGGATCGAAGACAGATCTCGAAGAAAACAGTGACGAAGATAGTAATATTCTAGATAATGACGACGACGAAATAGATACTTCAGGTCCAGCCTCACAGGATAGTAGTCTTCTTTCAAGTGATAGTGTCTTATACAGGCCATCTCAATCTACAAATGTGAGAGGTAGTTCAAATGTTTCATTATTGCATGAAAATACAGAAGCATTGATGAATAACGATAATACATCTTCTTATACACCTTTACTAAACAATAACACCACAACGTCTCGTCCCGGTAACGACAACAACAACAACAACAATAACAATGACAATTGGTCATGGTCCGGAAAATCAGAAAACCATCACTATAATGATCACACAAATGAAAGCCGTGACCTGATAGACAATACACATTCTGAAGCTAATGTCAATTTGAAAAATAGAAGTAATCATTCAAAAAATCGTCATAAACCTATATTAAACATTTCCAATACTAATAGAAATTCTGATTTCACCTCTAATCCTAAAATTACGTATAAAACAAATACAGTAAGTGAAAGACCTACATTAAAAAAATCAAGCGCAGATAATATTGTATTAGCTGAAACTACTGAACATAGATCATCTAAAGCTCCATCCTCATCCTCATCTTACAACGGATCAGAATCGAATGTAACTACAAACTCCGAAATATCTTCCCATGCCACTGTACTTGACGAGAATAAGGATAATAACACAAACATTGTACCCAAGAAACCTTCATTAGAAGAGAAGCTAGTTAAATTATTCAAAAGAAGAACTCATCGTCGGAGATCATCGAACTCCAATAACCAATCTGTTACAAAGACAAATGAGTCTGGAGTTCAAGAGGAATTGAAAAAGAAGATCTCCAAGTTCCGTAAGCATCAAAGAAAACAACCTACGTCAGTAAATCCTGCAGTAGAAATAAGTCCTGTCGTAGATGAGAAGCAAGCAACTGTGCCACAAAGGATCCAGTCACACGATACATCACCAGTACATAGAGATAATCTACAGTCACCCGAGCCAACACATTCTTCTGAAGATGACGAATTACCAACTCTACAACCAGCTGTCAGCGTTACAAGCACCAAAAATAAAGAACCCGGATCGCCGACAATTCAAACTGATATACCAGGGAATGAATCCGGAAATTCACCTTTTACAGAGACGGTACATGAATTGGATGGCGATGATTCACAGGATATCAGTGCTAATTCTGAATCCATTGTAAATACATCCTTCAAGAGTGAGTCATCTGCGTTGAACCTCGAGTCAAACAAATCTTTGGATCAAGTCGATACATCTGCAGATATTAGCCAAGCAACAGTAGTAGCCCCTTCTCAATCCCCTGTATCATCTAGTCTTCCGCCACGGAGATTGACATTTGCAGATGTGAAAAGGCCAGAAAAACCGAACGCACCAATTAAATTTACAGATAGTGCATTTGGATTCCCCTTACCAGAGCTGACAAACTCAACTGTTATCATGTTTGATCATCGACTTGGAATTAATGTTGAACGTGCTATCTATCGTTTAAGTCATTTGAAATTAAGTGACTCGAAGAGGGAATTACGTCAACAAGTACTACTGAGTAATTTTATGTATTCGTACCTGAATTTAGTGAATCATACCCTATACTTGGAACAATCTGATGCCAACACCACTGGCGATTTTGATGATTACAACAGTGATGAACAAGATATTGAAATTGAAGATGAAACCAATCAATCTTCTGAAAATAATGCGAATAAATATCAGAACCGAGCCATTGAAGGAAGTAGGAATGACCCGAGGGCAGTTACACAAAATGGTGGACTTCTATATAATGGACAATCCAGTGGAAACTCAAACGTTGAGTACACAACTGAACATAACAATTCCAATGGTACAATCCTTATACCAGACATATAGACATATAAATTAAATAAGACAATTACATATGAGACATTACACAACACATAAATGGTTTTCACCAAAACTTATATATATTATTTTCAATCACGCTGACTTCTCGAGAGCTGTATTTCAATGTTGTTAGTATACATTTTGGTAATTCCTATATAATAATTTATCTCAGATGAGCCCGTACAACTAATTTTCAAGATGCTCATCGCGCTGTTTTCAAAATTTTCAAACTTATAGTAATAAAAATTTATTGTCAGATTTTTTAATGTAGTAGTAAGTACAGTTACCATTATTTTGGATACTACTAGAAAGATTAATAGAGTCTTCGATAGTAAAACCAGTTTGTTTATTTTGAAAGTTTCCAGTTACACTAAACATATCACCGAATTTATACAAACTTTAGATCAAATAATGAGCAACAATTTTTATCGTATGATGATCCTCTTAGAGGAAGAACTAGAGCAACCAATCGAAAACCTCAGCGATACTAAATCTGAAAAGAATGATGATAATAAAGAAGACACAAAGAAATCACACGAATTTATCGATGAACTCATACTACCTTTCAAAGTTGATCAATTAGATACTCTTAATACTTGGTTTGACAAGTTTGATGAAGAAATTTGCATACCAAATGAAGGACATATAAAATATGAGATTACAAGTGATGGTTTGATCGTACTAATTTTAGATAAGGATATGGAAAGTGTGATTGCTAAAGTTAGAAAGTTTGTTGAACTTAACAAATAAGAAACATGTATTATGAAAATCCGTATACATTCTTTTAAACCTCATCACACATGTCTTACGACGAAGACTGCAACAGTAGCAGACTTAGAATATTGTTTAGAAATTCACTCAAGAGTTTACTGAAAAGAGAAACAGGCATTTTAAAAATAATTTCACAATTGGTGTATTTTAGTACTCGAGACAAAAAAGTTTTAGTAGATGCACCTAGGTATTTAGGACGAAATACATTAATGTAATGTATTTAGAGGAATATTTTTAATTTTATATAAAGACAAGATATAATAACTCATTAATATTAATTAACAAAGCAATTCTCAGAACTTAACTAATATGCAAGGAAGTGAAAATCTAATATAGGCTTTATCCTTTTCTTGTTGTAATATCTCTATCATTCCTAATGACGAAGCAAAATGACACCATTTTTTTACTCGTTCCTGGATGGGGGTCGCCCGCTCTAATTAGAAATTGTAAATAAAGGTGTAAATAAGAAAGCACAATGGAAAGTTACTTCTAATATATTAGACGACCAAATGTCTAGATAAATAAACAATACTGTTCAAATATTACTTTTCTTAAAGAGAAAATTGAAAACTTATTTTATTTAGGTTACATTTATCAAATCAGCGACTACTTTTTATCAACAAAGAGGATACCGAGCCTTAAATTAGTTCGCGAAGTATTTTTATATTTGAAATGAGATGAATCTCCCTAAATTTCTTTCCATTCTGTCACATGTGATAGTAATTGGACTCATACTAAAATCAATAAATAAATCCATCATATTTGTAATATGCTTGACTGGAATAGGATTGACATACTCGGTAATCTTTGAAAGAAAAACAGTAAGCCAAAGACCTGAACCAAGATTTTTAAATATAATTCCAGGTAGCCCTCACAAAATCAATGTTACATCACTTAAAAAACCTCTTTTCCCACAATCAAAGAGAATTTCAGAAGAGCTTGATCAAATTGTGGAACTGATATCGAGAGATTTTATTCTGTCGTGGTTTCAGCGGATAGATAATAATTTAGAGTCAGAATTCCCAGATAATATCAGAATTGTTTTACGAAGCATTATTCTTAAATTGCAAAATAACCTTGAGCATAATGATATGACCTCATTAGTTGCATTCAAATTAATCCCGTTAATAACAAAACACATAAACACATATTGTACGGCAAGAACCACCGTTTTGTCTTCTACAAGAAATCGTTCCTCTGATAACGCTAACTTTCATCTACGGATAGCAATTGAATTTAATAACATATATAGATTGCACAAAGCAATTTCATTAAAACCTGATCATTTAGATGCCGATATCGAATCGTATATGGATAGTAAAGCTGAGAAGCTTACAAAGGTACTATTGGACAATCAAGAATTACGGTCCAATGTAGTTATCATCCTGTGCAGGGAAATCTTATCCAAAAGTATATTGTCACCTGCGTTTATCAAATTTTATGACGCTGATAAATGGAATTGCTTACTAATCTCGATATCCAAGAAAATTATAAGTGAAAGAAATCAAATCCAAGAGGTTAAATCGATCTTAACTAGAGAATTACAAGATAAAAATATTAATAATCAACATCTAGCCAGAATGAAACAATCATCAGGGTTCAATTTTACGTTAAAAGATGACATTACAACTAAAGAATTTGAATCATACCTTCGAGGGTTAAGTGGTATAGTTTCTATTTCAGATCTAAAAACTGGAAAATTTTTATTAACAACAACATTATTAAAAATCGATGAAAACAGTAATCTAAGTAATAAAAGGAAAAATGCACATAAAAGTAAGATCTCTCTATCTCTAGGTCTGATAGACAACAGGTTGAAAACTCTGAATCAGAACTCCAATGACGTTAGCCGTATAAAAAATCCCTCCAAATTCGACATGGGCCTAAGTAATGATGTTTTGAACGAAGATAATGTCATCCAGGGATTTGAAAGCATTATCCAACAGATAACGTTTGAAGCCATAATAAAGGATGAATTGTGCCAGCCATATTTTGATGAATTCATCGGTACAGCCTACAACAAACGTGGATTTGTATTACTTGATTATTGGAAAACAGTGGAGACATATAAAAATCCACTAGAGGATGGTGGACGAGAAGATGTCCTTGTTGAGGTATCTCAAATTGATATAGAAAATATTAAGCTTATTACTGAGGAGTTTCTTGAAGGGGAACAATCGAAATACCTCGAGTCATTGGATGTTGGTTTAGTCACAAACATTAAACTATTTGCGGCTAACAACTTAGATGTACTGGGCAAAGATGGATTTCTACTTGCCAGAAAAAGTATGCTACTACTTCAGTCTGCTGCCGAGAATGTGTTGGAAAATGAATATTTGAAGAATTTCAAGAAGTCATCTATCTTTTTGAAAATGATATCATCCCCCGAGTTTATCAATACGGACACATACTCCAAATATTTTGTACCCAAGGTTGAGAATAAAGTAACACCATCAATGGCGCCTGTAAATCGAAAAATATCCGCCAGCTCCGTGGAAGTTTTATCCAATCCAGGATTAAATGATGCTATCGAAAATATTATCCAAAATGAAAACATCACATTCTCTGAATACAATGAATCATATAAGCGCAACAATAGCAAGCCAAAACCTTTATATAATGCCTGTGACGAATTAGATTCTGAGATAAATTCTCAAGATGTTATATTCGAAGATGACCTCTTCTCTTCTAATACAAGTCCCATAAAAGGATCACAAAGAATTCCCAAACCCGAAGAACCGACTAATAGAATTTTTATAAAGGACAGTACAACATATGAAAAAGATTTAAATGATAGAAGTACCGTCGTCTATCCTGAATTATCTGATCTAAAAACAAAAATAGGAGATTTAACATTGGAAACCAATCAACTACAACAGGAACTTGACTTATTAAATCACCTAATCCTGAAAGCAAAGTTAACAAATAATAAAAACCAATTGAGTATTTTGACATCTTCACAGAAGGCACTAATCAAGGAAAAAAAGATAAAAGAGTTACTCAAACAACAATATATGGTCGAAGAAAACGCTACAAGTTTATACAACAAAACACAAGTTACTATTAGATCATATATACTAGATTATGAAATGTCAAATTTGAAAGAAGTCGCTTACTATATCATCAATGTTGTCCACACCAACGGGGTTACATCATCATCTTGGGAAATACCAAGAAGATACACTGAATTTTCCAAATTGAATTCTTATTTAAAAAAAGCATACAAATCAGCAATGAAAAATATTACAAGAAAAGAAATATTTCCTGCAAAAATGGCAATTTCTTTGAAATATCAAATGTCGCAATCTTTGTTATTCGAGAAAAGACGTAAGAAATTCCAATTATACTTAAGGGAATTGTTAGAAATCCAGGAAATATGTCGAGACACCATTTTTCGTAGGTTCCTAACGAACAAGGAACCTTTTTCATTAATTAATGATCAAAATAAACCAAATACCCAACCTCGAAAAATGGTCAATACAAATAATCTTGAGGTTGATATAAAATCCAATAATAGTAATGATAACGAAGAAATGGATAACTGTGTTGACCGCGTGTCCGAACTTTCATTCTCTTCAAATTCTTTATCACCGACACCTAAAATTGAATCTGCCCTAATTTCAAATGGTAAGGATTTAGATAATTCATCACAGGATAAAGCGACAACAAGCAACTTAACGGATAAAGATATATCCCATGACTACATCTTGCAAGAAACATCAACTTTTAATAATAAATCTTTTATCAAACCTATTTGTGATTTATTTATCGCAATATTTTCATCGCATCCGTCAGAAAATGCCAACTCGAGAACCAGTAGTGATTATTGGCTAAGGGGTGGTGCTATTATCATGCTTCTACAACAGTTGTTTGGTAGTACCATCGAAAAATATATTAGAGATACTATATCAAAAATTTCTTCTGAACCCAAACTTTATGACGCCCTATTTCAATCTAGAATTAAGCTTTGGGGAGTAGGCGGTTATTTTGAGACAAGACAGAAAGATAAATTGAACCCACCTCCTGCTAGAAGCGATTTAGAAAAAAAAAGAGCCTATAATGATTCAAAACTGTTGTTCCAGGCCTTATTGGTAGAACTTTCAGGTAAAGTTGTTGGTTTACATCATGCACGAGAGGCTGCGGCAAAGATACATGACTTACTACAAAATCCATATATGAACGCATCGATTCTTCTTGAAATTTTCGATTTATTGCTGGACAATATCGTATTTGAAGAGGATCCTCTAAAAGTATAGAAAAAACTAAATAATTATATAATAATCTACTAGAATTAACATATATGCGAGCGATGTAAGTTGAGGGATCGTTTCTATACGACCCATAGTTAGTTGTATAACCTGTTCTTTCTTTATCGCCTGGCATTATATTTTTGTTAGCGACCAACAAAGAAATTCAAAGAAAAAAAATGAAAAATAAAGACAACTCAGCTAAGTCGAAGTAAAAAATGAAGCACGACTAAAAGAAACAGGTTCAACGTTCAAATAAAATATGTATTAAACTGTAAGGGGAAAATACTATAGACATATAACACGTTGGATATCACTGATATAAAATGCCTAAACTAGAAGAGATTGAGGATTATGAAGATATTGATAACCTGGATATGGATCTAGCGGAAGTAGATCCTTCATTAAGCACACCGATTGCTCCAAAGATCACTCCTACAGTAGTTAGAAGTCAAGATATCGAAGAGAAAGCTCTCCAAGACCAATGGAAATCAATGGCTGGCAACACTCAGAATAATGCTTCCAATAACAAAAATCAGATCAATTTTATTAATCCAAAAACTGGTCAGGTCGAACGTTCTGCTGGAATGAGCAAACAAGATTTACAAGAGATTAAAAAATTCCAAATTTTATACCCTTGCTATTTTGATAAAAATAGATCTCACAAGGAAGGTAGACGAGTTCCAAAAGAATTAGCTGTCGAAAATCCTTTAGCTAAGACAATGGCTGATGCAGCTCGTTCATTAGGCTTAATATGTATTTTTGAAGGTGAAAAATGTCATCCACAAGACTACGGTAATCCAGGTAGAATTCGTGTTTTGATTAAGGAAGATGGGGAACTTGCATCCAGCGCTAATAATTATAAAGGTGGTAAAAGACAAGTGATGAGAGACATGGCACAATATTTACAAAAACATCCAACAACCATAGCAGGTTTAAGGGAAATTCCATATGGTCCTGATTTTGATGGTGTTGAATTTAAGGAGATTCCAAAGGTAAGAGGTTTCCAAATGAATAGCATTGTACCATTACACAGTCCATTCTTGATGGGTCATCCAATGACGAAGAGCATATATGATGCACCACCACCAAGTGCAGCCATAACTAATCCTGAAAAACCTATGAAAATGCCAAAGAATAAATATAAGGTTATTAGAAGATAGTTTTTCCATTATTTTATATGGAAATGCTATACTATATACGTATTTTAATCGAATGAATGTAATATATAAAAGGTTATCAATGAATCAATGGATTTTAATATCAAATTTTTTACGCTACATGATACCTTTCTAGTCAACTATAATTATTTTAGCATAAAAATTTGAGTTATTGATTATTCAAAAAAATCCTAAACTTTTATATGACGTATACACATGACTTTCCTTTCAGGACATACTAATAAACACCTCCCGCCCAAATTAGCCGGCTTAAGTATATAATAATCATAACAAGAATGTAAAATTTAGTAAATGATATACTGAAATCTTTCTCTTTTTGTTCTTCTTCTCCAACAAAGAGGAAACAGTGCTAACAGTATGCACGTATAATTATATATTTTTATTTTTTTCTTTTTAAAGTTCTATGTATGCATCTGGAATACTATTTTTTATTTTATTATTATTAGTATCATATGAAATTATTAAGGAATAGAATAAGATCTGAGGAGGTAGAGAGAGATAAAGAAAGGTTCTAATTCTAATAGCTGAATCTGTGGCTGTAAAATATATACATATATATGTAGAACAATTCTCTAAGCACCATAAACTTGTAAGTATTCTTCAATCTTATTCTTTTCATCTGCACCCATCCTACTTTCTAGATAGCTAATAACATGAGATAGGGAAACAATATTAAGAACTGGAATGTTGTATTTCTTACTAACTGCAGCTGTAGCACTCAATTTATCTTTATCATCTAAATTAACGACTTCTTGTCTATCTAAAGCAATAATGGTACCAACAACTTGGCCACCTGCATTACCGATAATTTCAAAAGCTTCATTAATGGCAGTACCAGCTGTCATAACATCGTCAATGATCAAAATTCTTTTATCTTCTAAACTAGCACCGACAATGTTACCACCTTCACCATGGTCTTTAGCTTCCTTTCTGTTGAAAGCATATTGAACGTCTTGAAACTTAGAACCACCAATTTCAGCTAATTTTACGCAAACTATAGAAGCTAATGGGATACCTTTGTAAGCAGGACCAAAAATGACATCAAATTTAAGATCGGATTGAATGATGGCAATAGCGTATGCAGTGGCTAGGTTCGATAGTAATTTACCTGTATTAAACAAACCTAAGTTGAAAAAATATGGAGATTGTCTACCAGATTTTAATGTAAAATTACCAAATCTTAAAGCCTGAGACTCAATGGCCAATTCTAAAAAGTTTTTTTGATAATCTTCTAGTACAGCTGGCATTGTTTTTTTTTATTAGGGATATATTATATTAAATTTTGAAATTATAGCAAAAACACACACCAAGAGATTCTATGGTTGTAATAAAATCACGATATAGTTTTTCTTTTATTGCTTGTTGAAATTAAATAAGCAAATATATCGGATAACAAATGATATCAACTTCTATAACAGGACTTAAGTATAACGAAACAGAAAATTCTATCTAAAGATCGAGGTTACGATAAAAAAAATAATAGTCAGTTTAAAAGGAAAAAGATCGAAAAAAAAAAGACTAAGGATCAAATTTTAATTGAATCAAATTATCCCTTATTCGAAAAATCCAAACAAAAAACAAATAAACAAATCTTTGAAAATTTATATATGTGTTATATAATTCTTAAACTGAAAGAAAAATTGTTCAAAGAAAATGGGATATATGTCAAAAAATGTTAACAAAATTCTGATTCTGTGATGTTGAAGTGACGAAAGTATCGAAACTGTATAATATTATATTATTCTTCCTTACTATATCCACCTTCCATCACATCAGATTAGTCTCTCCCAGAGTCTATTTAAATTTGCTGCTCTCTCTTCATTGCAAAAAGCCAAAAGGATTTCGGTATTGACCGACTGAGAGAATATTTCTCTCTTCCGGGGGGAGAGAAACACATTTGCAGCGAAACTCTCAAAAAAAACAGAAAACGAAAAATTTTCATTTCAGAAATTTGTGCAATGCAATGACTGTAAAATGAGATCATTCAGTTTTTTCATGTTCACGTCATCTCTTACTTGGAATCAGGAGAAGGAGAGACTCTGCACAGCTTTCAACATAGTTCATGGGAAGGTACAACAAGGATACTCACGCTTGAGTAACTCTCCTTCGATTGATGTACTCGAATAATAGATGTATAATAAAGAGAGTGAGTGTGTGTGAATTAATTTTTTAGTATCTAATTAATGCATTGAATTGAATAGAATCAATTTCGTACACTCCTTTGATTGAGCGTGTTTTAGTGGTACAAAGATATATGTATCTCTATAGATGATATTAATTTATTTAACTAGTAGACCTCTTCTTACAACACTTCAAAGAGTGATCTTTGTAAATCTTTGATGCTAGAATTGATATGCGAGACAAGTCCAGATCTTTTTGTTTCGTCGTCTAACATATGTTGTTCTTCTTGTGTGGATGCAATGATTCTGGAGTTTAAGTATTTTGGATGAGTCAATAATTTGTTTAAAGTCATATTCAATGCTTTTTTCTCTTCCATTGAATCTAAACCTATCATTAAATGAGCTATTTGACCATTTTCATTTTCATTAAAATCATTAAATTTCTTGTCATCAATATTTGGAACATTTGAATTTAATAAATACCCTTGATAATTCAATTTCTCTAACATTCTTTGTAATAGAATTAATTGTGTAGTCTCTCTAATTAATGCAGTTGAAACAACTAAATCGTTATCAGACCATGAATAAATAGTAGATTGAATTTGTTTATGGAAATATGATGCAAATAAACATGTCTCTGGTAAGATGCTACCACCAAATTCACTTAATAATAATAACATGATGCATAGTAATCCATTACTCCAAATATTATGTAATCTAGGTTGTGTACTTGGTTTAATGTTACCCTCTTGTAAGATTACCGATAATGAACTCTCTAATAGGACAGCAAACAGACCATTGGTGATGAATTTACTAGATATTTCTTTCACTGAACATAATTCGGATACCAATGTTAGAATTAAATTACCTAATAACGGTTCAACGTTTAATCTAATTGATGGGAAACTGGAGTATAAATTCAAAATAACTTTAATTGTACCAACATCATCTAATGATGAAGCCAATACAATATTGAACGAGCTTGGTGGGTTCAATTGTTTAATTTTATTAAATATGGATAATAATAAAAATATATCCTGAATTCTTTCATCCATATCACAAATAACAGCTGATTCAGAAAGAGTTGTTGTATTAGTCATATCCGCCAATATATTAGATAGGATCAAATACACACCTTTTGAGAAACTCCATTCAAAGAATTCTAAAATACTATCGGAAGCAAGGTCCACAAATTGTTCATTATTTTTAACTAAATCAAAAATAATTAGAACTGAACGTAATATCGGTCTGTATAATTCCCTATTTGTCGATGAAGAAACATTTTTCAAGTAACTGATAGAAGAAGACTTGAAAATAATAATTAATTCATTAAAAATCTTAATTAATTTCTTTTCTGGAATCGATTTTTTATACTTTCTGAAGGAATATAATATATAGAAGCATAATTCCATTCTTTCCTGAAATACATCCGCCAGTAATCCACGAGTTCTCTCTTCATCGATATTGGTTTGTAAGAAATAACAAATAATATCAATGTAAGTGTCCTTTAATTGACCAGCAGAACCCTTAATGTATGAGGTCAACAAAGCTCCCCATGCTTTAGCTGCCGCTATTTGATGATTGGCATACTGTAATCTTAAAGAAACATTCTTAATATCCTCAATCAGGGATACCTTTTCATTTAGTTCAATAGCATTTGTCTTGCCAATAAATAAAGTAGAAATTAGGTCTAAGTTGAACATATCGCAGTTGTGATGACTTTGTGGTTTAATTAGAGGCTCTAATCTAAACCTACTCAATGATAAATTTGGAAATTTTTTATTGAATTCTTTGTCAATATTTTCGAGGAAATCAATATATTCATTTTGAATTTCAAAATATGGTTTAATAACTGAAAATAAATCGTCTGAGCCTAAAAGTTGATGTATTGATGATGACAACGTATTATCGGAACTGTAAACATATAACGCAAAAATTTCCGCAATACGAGATGCAAGTCTAAATTTATTCGAGATCTCCAAAATTTTATCATTTGTCATATCATCAAAGAGATCATTTGAAGGTTTGAACTGCTTGAAAATTTTCATCAATGTGTCAATAAATGCGACATCATTTTTAATACTCTTCTTGTGAACCCATGAATTAAATGCAAATGCGATAGCATCTAGCAAAGCACAAGAAACATAATCTGGAAGTAAATCTAATTTTAAAGCGTTATTTTGCAAAACTGTCAATATAGACTTGTTACCTCCATTACCCTTGTTGGTTGGTTCATCCCCATCAATATTATTACTTGTTGCAATATCACCGGTTAAAAATAAAATCGAGAGACCATGTTGCCTACTTTCAAGTAGGGCACCCAAAAATTCATATATATCATTTGATAATTTAAAGTCATCCAGTGGGTTTTCAAGATCTGCTTCAATAACATGAACAAATATCTTGGCATGTGTTTCCCCTAAATATGACAAAATGAGTGGATTTTCGCCTATCCAAGATATTGAGACAACGGTATTTAGAAGATTAATAATTGGCCTCTTCAAAGATCTAGAAAGACAAAATATATCAACCAGTTGCGAGGAGTTTGTAAATATCAATTGTTCTAATGAACTCATTTTCATGTGTAACGAATTTCTCAATGAAACCAACAAGATTGAAAGATCAAATGAAGCGATTACTAAATCATTGTAAACAGGTCCAAAAACAAGGTTCCCTAAAGCATATACTTGTTTATCAGTGTAAGAAGTTAATATTTTGATCAAACTACTAGCACAATTGGATTCAGAAGACTGAACACCCAAGAATCCATTCAGTAACAATTTTCCAGATTTGGCGAGCATATGTGTAACTTTCTTTTCTGGAGGAGATTGGGGATCGATGCTGTAAATATTGTATAAAACATTCATAAATAACTTTGTTAACTGCGACCCCAATTCAAATCTCTCATAGATATCTTCAAATTTCCAAAAATGATAACTTTCATAGATGTTCAAAAAATATGTGATCAATTTATTTAAAATATCTTCCTTTGTCTTTGATGGCATATTGGTACCCAATAATAATGATTCCTCCACCAATAAATTAGTCAATTTACTTAAGGCAATGGTAAACCTATATGTACCGTTTGATAATTCTAGTATACCCAAAATAGTACTAGCAAGTCCAGTTTTTCCGTATCTGTCCAAAAGATCAGAACGAGCTAAATATTGCCAGACATACTGAGGATAATTTGGAACTAATGCGTTTGCAAAATCACAGCATATACAAGCCATGTTGTTGTCTCTATTCCTAATGGCGGCTTCAAATATTTTAAATACAAGTAGAATGACACTTTCATGATCTATAGCACAAGACATATCGGCCAAAATGCTGGATGACATGTTGATAGGAACTTCAGTAGATACAACATTTGAAAGTAATTCGATAATGGAGACAATCATGCCATGGTACTTATCATTCATTTGTTCATTTCTCTGAGTATATATTTCACACAATTTTTGGAAAGCATATCCAATTGTTGACCAACCATTATAATCATAAAGAAATACCAGAATATTATCATCAGTAGACGATCCAGTTTGCAATATTTTGGCTCTTGTATCCTTTGGAATTGGCATCAATGTGTTCTTATCTGTTTCTAACGGTGGTTGTACCATAACGTCTTTATTTAGTCTAATCATTTCAGTCATATTTGGAACATTATTTGGAGTGGATAATTTGTTATTTTCTTCTTCAGTTAGTTCTTCATCTACAATATCATATTCAACTTTGCTCAAATCAAGAGAGGTAGCATATGTATTCAATTCATGTAGATGGAAGTTAGCAAATTCAATATTTGATGAACAAATATTTATTAATGGTATCAATGCTTCATCAACCAGCGGTAATTTAGCTAAAATGACCGAAAGTCTCCTATCAAATATCTCACTAGTTAGAAACTTTTCCACAAACTCTCGTGGAGTGTTTAGTAATATTCTCTTAATAACATTTGATACTTCCACAGTAATCGGGATGAAATTCAATTGAAAAGTTAGAAATGATGACATAATTGTTGGATACAAATAATCTGTCCCTAGGGAGTCTGTTAACTTTATCATTGCTTCTAAAACATTATGCGATTCTGCTCGTTGCGCGTACAGTACTGATAGATCTTCCAAGGATATATTAATTTGACTTAATTTTAAGAACTGATCTAAGAAAGCAGCATGTTTGGTTGTATCTTCTTCGATTAAGAAAGCTTTAGTATAAAGTACAAAGGACCACATATATGACAAAATAGGATCAGTTGGCAAATCATCGATTATTCCTTGTACTTCAGTGAAACATACAGGATCATTAAAGTATGGGGCATCAATATTAATAGAAGAAATAGTAGTGTCTAAACCCAATATAAGTAAAGAATTGATACTTACTAAAGATTCTATTTTGGTTATTATATTCATTGGGATGTTAATAATGATTGATGCTAAATTATTCTTTAAAAATGATACCATATCAATGGATACTGTAAACCAACTTTTTACTATTTCCACAGGAACTAATGTATTTAATATTAGATTTGATAATAATTTTAAAATATTAGTTAAATATATTAAGTCATAAGAATTTTTCATTTTTAATAAGTCATTAAATTCAGCGTTGGATAATTTGAATTCAGAGACTTTAGTAGAAACATTATCATTTACATTAAACGTAGTTAATACAAATTCAATAGATTTAATTAAATTTTTCACAATAGATAATTTTGTTTTGCTGTCTGTTAATTTATCAAAATATTTATTTTCAAGTACAGGTAAATTATTATCATTGAAAAGTAAAGAAACAACATTAATAGTAGAATTTCTTTCTTTTAATACACATTCTGTCAATGTTTCCAAAGAAGCACTATTATTATAATCCCAAGAATCTGTCATTTGAGATAATACTCTTATTGATTCAGGATAATTCAAATTGAAAAGTTTTGAAATATGGAATGCGGTTTCATTATTTTCCTTGCAAGTCTTATAATTTGTACCTCTTAAAGTTAATTTATCATTTGTATTTGGATTTGTTAATCCTGAATCAATTGTATTAAATTTTTGAGAATCCAATAATAATTCAAAATTCCTATCAATAAATTGATCAATTGTAGTAAAACCATATGTTGAAGTACCATCAGTACCTTCTTTCGCATATGTTCTTATAAAATTTTCGACGTTAACGAATGACGTCAAAACATCATCATTGTTTTTATTTGCTATGGGCATCATTTGATAAATATATGTCTTTTTCTCTGAAGAATGGGTGAGATATAATCACAATTTCAGAAGAGAAAGAAACACTAGGATGATCCTTACAACAAAAAATGTAGTTTCTTTTTAACTAAAGTTCAGGAATTCAAAAAAAAAACAATGTTCCAACAAAATAAATTGTTAAATTATTGATCAAGTTTTTATTTCAAGGTTAGCCTAAGCTTTAATGTATATTTTTTTCTTTCTTTCTTGTTCTTTCCAAGTAGGCATCGTGAAGAGATACTCGAGCGAAGGAAAACAAAATAAATAAAAATAATTTATAAAAAGAGGGTAACAAATAAATTTTCGAAATTACAAGATGCTAACTTTTTGTACTACATAAAAGAATGATTTAAGTATATACTATAAATCAAGATATTTTGATAACAAAGAAAATGGAAAAGAACAGAACCAAATCAAAAAATAAAACTCAAATTATTTATTTAATTAGTTCAGAAATGATTTACACAGATAACACAAAAGTTCGTTATCCATACGATTTAAAAGAAAATCGGAGAAAATCTGCTCTTCAATAGTTTTTATTAGCACAAATACGGCTCCAATGAGTATCTGAATGAGTTCATTGGGAATTTGACTAGTGTGCTGGCTATTACTATAACAATTTAAAATTGAACAGTAATCATAATTGTGACCTAAATATCTAGGTTTCTTCTCATCACCTGATAGAGAAAAATAGAGACTTTACATATAGTAGGAAACAAAAACATAGGTACTGCGTGTCCCCCATGTAGAACAATGACTGGTGTCTACAATATTCAACGTTAACATAAAATTGTCTCAAAAGAACGAAATCATTTTCACCTAACAACAGTGTAAAGACTATATATCCCATGATTATTAGGATAACTCTCTCTCTCTCTTATTTATATACGATTTGTATCTTCACGGCATCGTCAACGCGAATTTTCAATTTTTCAATTTTTTTTCAAATTTTCAGCGAGAAAAAATTGAAAAATTTCAACCGCCGCTGCTGCTGATAATGTTATGTCATAATTATACTTTATCGATTAATTAAAGAGGTTAGGGCATACATATTTACTTGAATTTGTATCTTATGATATCAGATACTTTACAATAAAGATGAAGTTGAGAAGCATATGATTTTTAATATTTGCTAAAAATACATATCAAAGCATCGTCGCTCTTTTTTGTTTTTGAAGACACTTCTTGAAACTATGGTAAATCTTGTATAAAATATATCCTTATACGTGAGAACACGAAAGGTAATAAAAGTAGATATTGACTTGTACCATTCTTAATATATCTGTTTGTAACGAGGGACAGTTTCAATTGTTTTTCTATTATGTATTGATTTCAGCTGTGTAATTTTGTATGAAGACTAAAATTTCAGAGATCACGAACGCGACATATTAAAACACGAAAAGGGAATCGTTAAGAAAATGGAAAAAAAAAGATGTATACCAACGACGATGAGATCAATTTATTAATTTAAAGAATAAATTATTACATATATGGATTAAATAATCAGTCTATTATAATCATACACTTATTGAATTTATCACTAATATATATATATATCTTTTGACCCTAAAAGTATTTAAGTGACTACAGTTAGACATTCAATAGAGAAATGGAATCATCAAATTTACAAATATACTGGCACGAATCGCAACCGGTATATAGTTTATGTTTCCAAGAGACAGATAATAAATTTAAATTATTTACTGCTGGTGGTGATAATAAAATTAGAGCTTGGCATTTAAACACTAAAGAAAGTGATACCAATTCGAAATGTGTTAAAATTGATACCATTGATTTTTTATCATCATTACAACAACATGAACAGGCTGTTAATGTAGTGAGGTTTAACAATTGTAAGCCTATCAATATTTTAGCATCTGCTGGGGACGATGGTCAAGTTCTCCTTTGGAAACAAAATGATACCATCGTGAAAGAATTCGGAATGGATGAGACTGAAGCAAATGAATTAAAGGAATCATGGTATGTTTATAAGAGGCTCAGATATTCATCAAATTCTGAGATTTATGATATATGTTGGTCTCCAGATGATAAATATATTGTTGTTGGATGTATGGATAATTGTATTCGTATATTTGATGTAAATACTGAGAAATGTATTATTAATTTGAAAGAACATAATCATTACGTCCAAGGTGTATCATGGGATCCGATGAATCAATATATTTTTTCTCAATCAGCAGATAGATCAGTTCATATATATAAAATTATCTTCGGTCAAGAAAAGAAAACTATCGAAAGTTTAAAATTAAAAAATAGAATTGTTAAGAGTGATCTACCATTAAGAGGAATTAATGATAAAAATATTAATTTTGATTCTATTAAGAACTCATATTTGTTTTATAACGAAACTTTACCTTCTTTCTTTAGAAGATTAACTACATCTCCTTGTGGTAGTTTATTATGTGTTCCTGCTGGGATATATAAGACAGAAGATAAGACAACTAATGAGACAAATGAAAGTACAATTAACTCTGAATATTGTAATGCAGTTTATATATATACGCGAGGTGCATTCAATCAGGATAAAATGATTAATAGACCGATAATATCTATACCATTGTTAAAGAAACCAGCTATTGTAATTTCATTCAATCCAAATTTTTACAAAAGAAGCTCATCTAAGTCACAATTTATTGATCTGCCGTATAAACTTATCTTTGCCATTGCTACATCAAATGAATTATTGATTTTTGATACAGAAAATAATGTACCAATATCTGTAGTTGGTAACATGCATTACACTCCATTGACAGATCTGAATTGGAGTGATGATGGTACTTTATTGATGGTATCATCTACTGATGGGTTCTGTTCTTATGTGTCTGTTGATTCGTCTTTGTTTGGAGAAAAAATCGATAATGACACTAAATTGAAATTAATAGAACAAGTGAATAAATCAACTTTAGGATCTTCTGACATTGATACACCTACAACAATAGATCCAATTAAAGAAACTGATTCAAAAACTAATATTCCAGAACAACCTTTAAAAAAAGCATTCGATATAGTGAATATTTTACCTGTTAAAAGAAAACTTCCTACTCAGAAACAGGAAAATGTAGATCTAACTCAACAGAACAAAAGGATTAATGTTGAAAACAATGCACCCACCAAAATTTTATCATCAACAACATCACCTGAAAAAGTGAAAAAGAGAATTCAACCAATTTTACTGTCCCCTGTAAAGAATGAAAAAAACGAAGCACAATAATGATAATAATGCATTAGATATATATATATATTATGTAATACTGATATATACGGTCATGGATAAATGTATGGCTATGAACAATTGACTTAAAATTTTGCAAGTTTTTTTTTCTCTCTTGAAGATTGATTTGAATGGATATAAGCGTGCTAAAGATATATAAATGATGTTGTGTGCTTAATCTATTCCTTCAATTCTTCTTCTTCATCATCCGAAGTTGCATAATGCTCATTTTGTTCAGTTTCCTTTTCATTGCTATTACCAGATTTCGTAGCACGCTTTCTTGGTGGGAAAGGAAATTCTTGTCCAGATAAGTATGCCTCGACGGTACCTTCAATGGTACCTGTATTTTCTAAACTATATCTAATTTGATCTACATTCAAAGTCGGAGCCATCGTTTGTACTATTTCTATCATATCGGTGGTAACATTTCTTTTTGCAGTTCTCACAGCGTTCAATATTGGATCCTCTTCACCAGCATCATCTATTGTTTCATCTGCAGTTTCATCAGAAACTTCAAGAGCTGATTCTTTATGAGAGACTAATTTTGAAGGTTGTTGATGAATCTCTCTGTTTATTGAATTCTGTCTTTTAACATAAACAAACCCAATAAAGATAAGTACGAAAAAACAGATAGTTGATGAATCCATTATTATATGTTGTGTAAAAAAAAAAATATAGGTTCTCTGCTTGAAAGGACAAAAGGCTAAAGCAAAAGTTAGGTAATACCGACAAATTCAGTCAAGTTCAGATGGAATTAATAGAAATTATTTGTACTCATTACGGTTTAATATAAAGTTGGAGAGCAAATACTCTCTGTAGGTGTGTATCATTTATCATTTATCATTTGAAATTGTTGCCTAAAGATTCAAACTTCTAACAATATTACGCGCGATATGTCTCAACGCGCATAGTTAATTAATTAATTATGGTGTGTAAGTATATGATGCGTTGAGCTATTATTAAGATAGCTCAACATGTAAATATATACAAGATTTTTATCATTAATTTAGAACAATTCTATATTTACTTAAATAAGTTTTGCGACGTATTATTCTTTTGTCCAGAAAAAGCTGTAACGTATTGCTAACGTTGACACATTTTCATAATATTTCAAAAAATAAAAAGTCACATTTGGTGATAATATAGTATGTAAATATGGGCCTTCGGTGTCACAATCTACAGTGATAAACGGAACCAAATATAAATATCTCTAATTAAACCTAAATTCTTCTGATCAGTAGAATCAAACACTACAGGCTCTACTATAAGTATGGTCTACGTAGCAGAGTAAGTGATACTTGACTGTAAAATATACATATAAACAAACTTAAAAGTAATTTCCTCTTTTTTTTTTGCTCAGTTACTACTGACAACATTCCTCGAATGGGTAAGTAACTAGAGAAACTGTTACGTGATCACAGTAACCAGTTTCATTTCAATAATTTCATCTGGGAAACGTTACGCTGTTTTTTTTTTCTTCAATTTTCGGAAAAAAAGGAAAAACTTCGTTGAAATAGGGTTTTCCTTCTTCCTTTTTTTAATTTTTCAGAGATTTGATTATTTAAGGAGTTAGAACAGTAATTCAAAAATTTTAAAACGTAAGAAAGTTTTATTCAAAAGACCAAAATATAGCCCCCTTTAATCTTTTCTAGTCAAGGTTTCCTCAAGATATTATTATTACTGTTTTAATTTAAAATTTGGTGTTTTTTTGAAATTTAATTGACAATTGATAACGTTTAAGGACCGATAATTACGCTGAGATACAATGACCCTAATCGTTGCGTCATTATTTTTACCATATGCTCCTCAATTTGAAGTAAACGCTACTAAGGATGAAGCTGCAGATTTGGTAGAAAGTAAATTGGTGAAAGTCTTACCAGAATCCGAGGCGAAGTTGAGAAAGAAACGTACTAGTTCAGTGCATTCAAATACCCCTTTTAGTCCAACACAATCTATATCAAGTTTAAAAGAATCAGATAATAATGAAAGAAGAACTTCATTACCTCAAAGTTCCGAAGCTTCTACGGCGGTTACAACAGCTACCTCACCAGTAATTGATACACCTACGATGACGTCTGATCAATTTTTAGAAAATTTAACAGCAAATGCTACAGCTGTACTTCCAGTTGCAAATGGTATTAATCCAGGCATTGGTAATGATACTACTGTCAATCCATTGGGAGCTCCAACTCGTGCTTCTGATGAAGAATTTTTTGCAACTCATGCGGATAGTATTGATGGCAATGATGATGAATCCTCTATGGATGGTATGTCGCCATTCCCAACCAATAACTTAGATGACCCACTTTCAAAATTAACTAATAAACCTGTAGTATATTCTTCTGTGGGTACTGGCCATAGTGCTGGCTCAAGTTCTTCTGGTACCATTATTACCCCTAAATCTAGATCTGTTCCAGATTATGATAGTGCTGTTGTCGATGTATCAAAGATTAAAGAAAAACATCAAGGTATGTTTAGTAATTTACCTTCAATGAAACGGACTTCTTTTTCTAGTAGTCAATCGACTAAAAAACAAGAAATGGGAGATTTATCTCAACATTTCCCAAATGGTTTACCGAAGGCTATCGAAGAATCTAATAGAAGTGATTCTGATGAAGATTCAGATTTAGAGATGGATGCGAATGAATTATATGTTGTACCTAAATTTGGTGGGTATTCATCATTATCGAAGGCTAAGATTAATTTAAGACATTCTCATGAAATTTTTTCGCAAATTCCTTGGAAAATTGTTCCCTCTCACAAGGGCAATGGAGCCATGAAAAATGCAATTAGTATTGCATCCACGGAGAAGACTATTCACGATCCAGTAATGTGGGTAGGTACTGTAGGTATACCAACTGATGAAATTCCAATTGATATCTCAAAGAAAATAACCGATGAATTAAGAACAAAATATAACTCAACTGCTGTTATCACAGATGATATTACATTTAAAGGTGCTTACAAAAATTTCTGTAAGCAAATTTTGTGGCCTACTTTACATTATATTATTCCAGATAATCCAAATTCTAAGGCCTTTGAAGATCATTCTTGGAATTATTACCAACACTTAAATCAACAGTTTGCTGATAAAATTATTGAGACCTATAAAGAAGGCGATACTATTTGGGTCCAAGATTACCATTTGATGTTAGTACCAGCAATGATAAGAAAAGTATTACCAAAAGCCAAAATTGGGTTTTTCTTGCATGTATCATTCCCAAGTAGTGAAGTCTTTAGAGTTTTCGCTCATAGAGAAGAAATCTTAGAAGGTATCATTGGAGCTAACTCAGTGGGTTTCCAGAATAAGGAATATGCCAGACATTTCTTACAAACAGCAAATAGATTGATTATGGCTGATGTTTCCCCTGAAGAACTTAAATACAATGGAAATATTGTCTCTGTTACACACACACCAGTAGGTGTCGATTTTTTCACAATGAATAACGAATTAATGAATGATAATGTCAAGAAATGGAGACAGATGATCAGAAGAAGATGGAATGGTAAGAAATTGATTGTCTGTAGGGATCAATTTGATGCGATTAGAGGTATAGATAGAAAGATGCTTGCTTATGAACGTTTTCTAAATGAGAACCCTGAATATATTGATAAGATTGTATTGATTCAAATATGTCTAAGTAAATATGAAAGTGTTGAGTTGGAAAGACAGGTGATGGTTATTGTCGATAGAATTAACTCATTATCTTCTAATATTAGTTCTTCTCAACCTGTTGTCATCTTACACCAGGAAATCGATTTCCCTCAATATCTTGCGCTAAGTGCAGAAGCAGATTTATTTTTGATTTCATCACTAAGAGAAGGTATGAATTTAACCTGTCATGAATTTGTTGTTTGTTCAGAAGATAAGAATGCGCCTTTATTATTATCAGAATTTACTGGGAGTGCTTCAGTACTTAAGGAAGGTTCTATACTGGTAAACCCTTGGGACACAGAACTAATGGCCACCTCTATAAAAAGAGCACTAGATATGAAGTATGACGAAAAGAGACGTAATTGGAAGAAATTAATGAAGAGCGTTATCAATAATGACTCGGATAATTGGATTGCATCGTCTCTGAATAGTATCAACGCTGCTTGGGACTTCAATGAAGAAAGGTCAACCGTTTTTAATCTTTCTGAATCTGCTTTATCTGCAGATTATAAGAGGACAAGAAACCATCTGTTTATATTTAAGATATCTGACCCTCCAAATTCTAGAACTTTGGCTATGTTGACGGAATTAGGTTCTAAAAATACCGTGTTTGTATTAAGTCATCTTTCAAAGGCTACCGTGGAGAGTCTCTATAGTCGTGTCTTAAATATTGGTTTAATTGTTGAAAATGGTGCTTATGTTAGAATTGACGGTACATGGCATAATATTGTTCAACATATTGACTGGATTAAGGAGGTGGTCAAGATTTTAGATGATAAAATTGAGAGATTGCCAGGTTCTTATTATAAGATTGCGGATTCTATGGTCAGATTCCACACTGAAAATGTTGAAGATAAAGATCGTATTGCTGGTGTAGTTGGTGAAGCAATCACACACATCAACACATTATATGATAAGAAGGGTATACATGCACATGTATACAAAAATATTGTCTTTGTGCAAGAAATAGGTCTATCAGTTGAGGCTTTACGTTTTATCTTCAAGTACTACAACAATTCATCTAACGTTAATAAGAGCCCAATGAAAACAGTCGGAGGTAGTGGTGAAAATCCTGGTGACATTGAGTTTGCTTGTATTACAGGATCTTCTTCTCCAATAATAGAACCACTTTTCAAAAAAATCAATGACAAGGTTAATTCAGGAACTCTTAGAGTTGGATACAGTATAGTGTACGGTGAACCAACGTCAACATACGCTAAAGAGCACGTTAACGGTTTGAATGAATTATTCACACTAATTAAAGCTACCTCCAAATGATCACTATCTTATTTAATTTATAATAATTAGACTTTTTATAATATATTTCATATTAATACCTTATTTAGAATTTATCCTTTTTTTTCGTTGGGGACAAGTTTTCTCATTTACTGTGTAGTTACATAAGTACATTTTGGACCGTGTATTTATTCAAATGTCATATACAATGGATTATATGAGTGACTACTAAGCTTCGCTATTTTTTAATTATTCTAATAAACAGGTATAGTTGTCATCCATAAATGGAACCCTTGCACCAAGTACGTATCATTTATAGTTGTGACTCTGTTCACGACCGCAAAGCAGTAGTTCCATTTTTGTAATTTTGTGAAATTTTTTGGTGTAGTAGTTGTTTTTATACATTCAGGATCTTCGATATTTCATATGTGAGTTGAATGGATGGTTCCATTTACCGAAGTTGAGTGGTATAGGTACGTCTCAAAGATGCAGCATCTAACCTAGCTTATTACATAAACATCATTAAACAAATTTATGATTTTTTCAAAAAAAAGATTTTAACAGAAGGGTAATAGGTACATATTGTATTTGACGATATAACTTCGCGATATAAACCCTTAATAATCTAAGTAATTCTTTCTATGGAATCGAAATTCTTCTTTTTGTAACCATTGCTACACGTTTAAGATAATGTGTGTGATAATATGGGGCCTCAAACAAGCTATATTTATTCATATACAAGTTCTACACGTCATCAATTCAGAGAACATTTCTACTGGCAACATTCCATTTTATATCAATATTAATCTATATCTTCCAGTTGTAAAAAACCATACAATATATACGTTAACCCTTCTTATTCGGTTTAATTACATTTGAGAAGATATCTTTCATACTCCTTTAACATTTATAATTGATTATAGGGACTAAAATGGGAACCTAGATGATATTAGAGCCATATATGATTAGACCTCCATTCAAAATCTAATTTTTAAGCACTTTATATTTTACATTTATGCCGCTTTTTTTATATTAAATGACTTCGTGGCCAAGCTGGTTAAGGCGTGCGACTGTTAATCGCAAGATCGTGAGTTCAATCCTCACCGAGGTCGTTTTTTTAGCACAAGTGGTAATGTTATAACTGCTATTATATTTTTTTTTTATTTTTCGATTTAAACAATGATGTTGAAAGAAGTACAACTTAAGATCTACTAAACAAGATAGTGTGCACTTCCTACTTTTTTGGGTAAATTTTACCAAGAACTTAATTTTAGAGTCAATTCTATAAGCATAAAGACAGGATGAGTTGTCGTGGGATAACTAGTAAAATATTAACTCAAAAGAAGAAAATCCATAAATTGATCGTCTTTAATTTATTAGAGTCGTGTCAATGTGGTATCTGTCATGAATTCCTCAGTGAACCAATGATGATCTCATGTGGTCATAATTATTGTTACAAATGTTTAAAGAACTGGTTTACAAGTAATGCTACTAGAGAACTAAATTGTCCAAGTTGTAGAGAACCTGTTGTCAATGAACCATGCTTGAACCTCATGATCGAACAGACATTGACATCGTTGTTCGACATTCTGAAAGCAAGAAAGAAGAAGATTTTCAAAGAAGAGAAGGAAAGAAAAGAATTTGAAGAACTGCTAAGAGAAAGGTTCGACGATACCTATTATTATAAGAATGATAAAGAACAGGGCACATTATATGACAATGTATTTAAGAACAGTGCATTGGCTATTGCTGATGTTGATGATGATGGTATACCGCGATGTAGTAACTGTCATTGGGAATTAGAACCAGAAGATATGGAAGATGAAAATGTATGTCCTCATTGCCACTCAAGAATAAGGAATAATGCAAGTGCCGTAGGAACAAATAGGTCGATTAGTTTGAATAGCAGACCTACAATGAATGCTGCTAGAGATGATTATAGTGAAAATGAATATGAGGAAATAGTGAATGATATTCGTAATTTTAATCCGTCTGATGTAGAAAGTAGTGGGGAAGAAGATTTTTCTGATTCTGTAGGTTATGATCATGAGGATGGTGGAGCTCGTAATAATGATAGTAACGAAGAACATGATTCTGAATTGGACTCCTTCATTGCAGATGACGATGACGATGAAGAAGACAGAAATATTAGCCAATTGAGTGATGGTGAAAGAAGCCGAAATATAGCTGTTCTGCCGTCTGATGAAGACCGGGATAGTGATTATTATGAAAATAATGATTCTGATGGTTTTGTTAGTGGTGATAGTCTTGCAGATTCAAGTAATTCTGGTATTTATGATGGTTCTAAGAGAACTGCTATTGACGTGAGTGACGAAGAAGACGAAGACGAAGAAGAGTTAGGCAACAGTGCAAAGAGACAAAGAAAAGTTCATATGGTTCTAAGTGATGACGACTAATAATTTATACAAATATATATATATGTGTGTGTGTAAGTTTGTTAATGATACGATATTATTTAATAACATATATCTTCTAATGTGTTAGTAATGCATTGTTATTCTTATCAAATTGTTGTCACTTATATGATAGCCTTAATTACTATAAGCCGTACAAAGGTAAATTGGATAATTGTGATCTATGATTTCGGTCTAAAAAAAAAATATTGCACTAATAAAAGGAGGAGACATTTAAAGTGTCTGTCATTGAACATAAAAGAAGATGAACTGGAGTAGATGTACTTGATAAAAGGCTAAAAAGACTCTCACATTAAGATTTGGAACTATTGTATAATTGAGTATCAGGAAGTTGGTGTATTTGCTTTCGATTGTTCATAATTAATCCCTTAACAGATTTGAAATTATAAGAATAAGCAATGTTCAGAAGACTTATATCAAGGCCGAGAACCTTCCAACCGTCTATATTGAGAACTAAAATGCAACCCGCAATTCTTAGTCGAAGTTTTAACCTTGATACAACTGGTCTATGGAAGAAAAAGCAGGATACCAAACATTTTTTTTGTAAACCTGAAGAGGATGTTAATGATAATATGAATAATGAAATAATGCAATCCTATAGACGGATGCAAAATACAAAAAGATTACAAACAGGAATAATTATTGTCAGTAGTTTAGTGATAATAATCATTGGGTATCAGGTTTGTTATAAAGTAATATATTTAAAACGAGACGCATTTATTGCATTATACCCTAGTCCGTACAAGATCCATCGATTAAGTGAGTCGGAAAAGCAATATTTGGATATTCCATATATGAAAATGATAATTAAGAAACGAGCTATAGAGAAAGTGGTAAGAAATGAATTCATAAGGGAAGAATATGGAGTACCATTAAAATTAGATATATATGATGACAGTGATGACAAACGAGATCAATTTAAAGTATGGAGTGAAGATGAAGATCTAGTCATATATGGAATTAAATTCAGACCACAAAGAACAAGTGGGAATAAACAATTGAATGATAAATGGTATGGATTTCTTGGACTATTTCAATGGAAGTTTAGTGTAAGAAGTGTTAATTTAATTCAAATATTAGAAGATTTTTCAACAGCACTTGGCATTAGACTTGATAAGATAACAATACCTGAAAGACGATATGGTTCATTTAAAAATGAGTATCCAATTCATGATAACGATTATGATGATTTTGAAAATGGGACGTCACATGATAGACGAAGACATATTTGTTTTATTGGTGAATTTAGATTGAATGATAATTCAACTGTTGTTTATAAAGGTAAATATCATGTTGATACAAAATTTGATGAAATATATTTAATGCGAGAAGAAGATGGTAAAAAAGTTAAATATTTAATATATGATGAACGATTTGGAACCGCAAAGAAATAACAATCTTTAATATATTATTATAGAAATTATATAAATATATAGAAGATCTATTGAATATTATTCGAAAAAGAGTAAATTAACTTAGAGACGAACGATAATATATTAATAATACAGAAATATGTATAAAAAATATACAGATTACAAAAAAAAAGATATATGACTATGGTATTAGTATAACCAGCAAAAAAAAAGAAGAAGAAGAAGGCAAACGAAAATCTCAATTAATCGAGGATGAGAATAACCAAAAGAAATAACTTAAGGTTTAATTAATAATCCAGGATCTTAAAAGAATTTAATTAGGTTCCCCTTGGTATAATTATGAATATTATTGTTATGTTATTGTTATTTTTTTGTTTGTTTTTTTATAATATTTATTTAATTTTTTTTTTTATTTTCTCATAATTGTAGCAATTTTATGATGATTATAATAATAAAGTATGGCTGGTTTAATGTTCCCAGACGAAAAAATAATAATTATTTCAAATTTTATTTTTATTATATTAAACTCTTAAACAATAATAATGGAGTACACTTATCCTAGTAACCCAGATAAAATGAGTTAGAAAAACATTCAATTAAAAAAAATGTATATTGAATAAGAAGACAAAATTAATAATATTTTGAAAGGAATCTTAATAAATTTTCGTTACCATACCAGGATGGGAGGTATTTGATGTAAAAAGAATAAAATAATAAAGGGTATCGACCAAAATAAGAGTCAAAAAAAGTAAAAAATATAAGTGAATAAATTAATTGGTATCCTTAGAAATATCTATATGCATTTTAAAAGTAGAAAAATAAAACAAAATAGAGTGAGATTAGTAATCTACTTTAAAATAAGTAAGCGATTGCACCTGCAGCTAAAGCACCAAATGCAGCCCGATTACCAATGTTTAATTGATCAAATTGGCCTACTGCAGCATTTTGCTGAGCAGATGTTACATTAGAAGCGTTTTGTGCTTCAACAAATGCAACTAAACTTGCAATTGAAATTAAAATATTCTTGACTTGCATTATAAAATAGATATAACTTGTTGAAATTATATGTTTTTTTCTCTTTGGACGATGTAATAAGGAAAATAATTGACCTTTAAAATTCTTTACAAACAAATAAAAAAGGATAAGTTATTGTTATTATTAGTATAATTATAAATAAAAAAACAGCTTAAAATTGATTAGCAGAATTGATTTATTATTATAATTAAGATCTATGTTATAGAGTAGGGAGGGGAGAGAGTTGTAACAAAAAAGAGAACAAAAAATTAAATAATTGAATATGTAATGAAAAGAAGAAATATTTCTTAAATAATGTATTCAAGATATTTATATATTTATATATTTATATCATTAAGATCAAACGAAAAATTAATAATTTTATTGTGTCATCGTCGTTTTTTTTCTTTTGTCTTCTTTAATTTGCCTTTTACGTCCCTTTTAAGGAAATACAGAAACGGCCAGGCAAAGACAAAAGAAAGAGATAGAGATAGTAGCCAGCTATGATAAAGAGACTAAAATATTTGGTATGCAAAGTGAGCCACACACCCACAACTATTCTAAAATATATTTTTAGAATTTAATAAGAAGAAATCCCTTAAAAAGTTGTTACGGAGTATGTAGTGATTGATAACAAGGTATTGCAATTGTAGTGATATAAGGATAATTCAGTAAATTAACCTAGCCGTATTGACAATGAAAGATTTACGTCAGTTTTTTTTATAACTAGAATAGGTCTATTTAATTCATAAATGTGATGTGGGGGGGATAGTTCTTTGCAACTAAATACTATATCAAGATAAAACAGTGGGGGTGAGCATGACGGAAGTCATGGGGTTTCCTGAACATTCTATTCCATACGTTTTAATATTAAGTATTATTAGATGTTATTGTAAGGGAAATTGTTATAAAATTTCAGTAGATTTCATATATTTTATATTATTTATTCCTGCATCCGATTATCGGAGTTTTGCATTTACCCTTTTATATCCCCTTTTTTGAGGGGTTCATCAAAGATTAAGATATCAGTACTATTAGTAGTAGTGCAACTTTCAATTATTGTAGAAATGACTAAGTTGTCGTTCTAATTAGATGTTATTTCATGATTCCTTATTTATCTATTTAATTAATTCTAGACATTTGGGGAATGACCCTCTTTCTCTCTTCACCCTGTTCACACGCGATGAGGTTACTCCGCGCAGGAGGCTTAACTGCAAATAGATGCAGATTGTAGATATATTTTATGAATAGAACGTATATAGTTATGTATCAGCTGATGTCTTTAGTAATCATTTAATGATTTCGTTATATAAAAATTCATTGAATATAGCTTACTAGTAGTACTCTCCTTCTCCTCCTCTTAAAAAAGTCTTTTTATTGCTATTTTAGGGGAAAGGGATAATAAATTGTGCAGTCTATCTATTCACACTTCTGTCGTGACTCCTTTCTTGATAATATATTGAATACGCTATTAGATTTCATACTTGGAGAAGAATTGATACTTATCTATAATAGACCATGTTTTTCGGCTTCACTATTCATTATTCGATCTATCTTACTACCATAAATACCTTTTTGTCCTAATGGCCTTTTTGCATATTTTACAGTTACATGAGCATTCCCTACATGACTATCATTTAATTTTTGAATAACCTTATCTGCATCTCTATAATAATTAAAATAAATATAACAACTCCTAATATTGGTATCCTCTTGATTTTCTGATGAATTTGAAAATATTTCAATAGGTTGATATATTTTACCAAATTTTGTAATTATTCTCGTTAATGTTTTGCTATCAATAATGTCATCTAATCCTTCAATTATTATTTTAGCAAGCGGTATGTTATCAATATTTTCTGTTGATTGTAATTTTTTGTCCTTATTTGAATTCGTATTAGTAGTATTATCTCCTGTACGTCTAATTCGTAACCATCGATCATATAATTTTACTATATTACCATTATTAGTCTTAGAGACTAAATTTATTACATATTCTAAATCTTTCTCTGTAGAAAATTCAATAAATGCAAAACCTTGATAGGTTTGTAATACTTTATCCTTCGGATATCGTATCTTATTGACAGGGCCTAATTGAATAAATAATTCATATAATTCTTCTTTAGTTACTCGTGGATCAATATTACCAACATAAACTGATCTTGAACTATCAGTAGAGTTGTTCATCTTTATAATGTTATTATTTCAAACAAGGTGTTGATCGTATTTGATGACTGTGCTGATCTATCTATATATCTATTACAGTTTACCTAAATAATAATATATTACAAAAATATGATAAAGAAAGCGAAGAAAAGTTATTAAGTGGAGGTATTTCTGTACGTATGGTTTCTTCGTATCGAATAAATAATATTTTTTTGTTATATTATATCTCGATTAACCTGATCAAATTGTTCGTTTATACTTATTATCCTTTTTTTTGTTTTTGCTTAAAAATCCTAGGAACTTCAGATATCTTACTTGTACTTTAGTTAATTCTAGATATTATTATTATAGTAAAATAGAGAAATTGAATAAATCGGGTCAATCTATAAATTCATAGCATCTCCTTCTTATTCTTGGTACCCCACGTAACGACAATAACAACAACCGTTTAGATGTAATTTGTATAATTTTTTACCTTTTTTGAAAAAAATTTGATTCTTTTTTTTTTGTTGGGTAAAATATGTTACCACTTTTCAATATTTTATTTGCCATTTTCGTTTGTTTTTTTGGTGTGAGCGGTTTCCGCAACGGTTAGCAGCGAACTTATTGCAATTATTTGCACTACGCAAAGGTAATGAAAGGCATTTGCGATGATGACAGTTTGGGATACGTACATAAATGTCAAGAGAGAAACGAAAATTGCCAACCTGTGATGGCGTTTGTTATGGTTATGTCCGCTGTCAGTGAAGTCATTGAAATTTTTAGCAAAGTTGTTATGACTGTCATTGATAATGATGATAATTGTAACAATTGTCGTTTTTCTTTTGGTTCGTATATGTTCTTAACTACAATTAGAGAATTCTCTTCGTAGAACTCTTAAGCCTTCTTTTTCCATTCTCTATCAAAAAATTTTTTTTGTTGAGTTTATAGATTTGAAACTTTCTAACGATTGTTAATCAGTATTGTAATAATTCTTCAAATAATTCGTGAACGAATTATTTTGTGTCTTCATCAATTATATATATATATATATGAAGTGAATCAATTATTAGATAGCTATTTCAATATATGTGGATATATGAGTATGTAAGTGAATTAAATATGTGATAGTTTTTTTTTTTTAGACTTTTTTTTTCTCTTTGTTTGAGTTTGGTTTGATGAGAGAGAAAGATAATTAAGATTGGTTAAATTAGAATTAATGGTAATGACAATGAATAATGATACAAATAATAAAAGAATTTGTGAAATGTGGGGTTAGTAAATGGATATATTACCATCTAACACAAAAGGATAAATGGTAACAATAGTGATAATAATAATATATTTCCGCTTCATTTATATTGAAGGTATGACGGATGAATAACTTTTTTTTTTAATGATAGCAACAAAGAGCAATTTTCACATGATAAACAAAAACAAAAGATAACTTTTAATTTTTATTATTTTGAAGATGATGCATAGATGGCGTCAACTTCCTTTTGAACAGATTCTAAAATCTTTTTTCTTTTCAATTTTTGAGCAGATGTAACAAATCCATTTTGTGGAGTCCATTCATCAGCAACAAACACAATCCCTTGTAACATTTCAATACCTGCTAATCCTTGAGCGCTACCACTCTTTAACAAATCAGTATATACTGCTTTAACTAATTTTCTATCTTTCAAATGATCATCAACGGCACTATCATCGGATTTACTATCCATAATACCTAATTTTTTAGCTAAGACAGCTAATGGTTTAATATTTGGATAAATAATAGCAACAGGTTTGACTTTAGTTTGATCAGCATAAACACAAATATTGGATACATATTGATTAGATCTATAGATCGATTCTAATTTTTCTAATGCAATATATTCACCATTTAAGGTTTTAACCAAATTTTTCTTTCTATCGATCAATTTTAAAAACCCTCTATCTGTCCATTCACCAATATCACCAGTCTTAAACCAATGATCAGGTGTTAAAGCAGCAGCTGTTTCTTCAGGGTTCTTATAATATTCTTCAAGGATACAATCACCTTTAATCCATACTTCACCTTGATTGTTTTTAGCCAAATAGCCTAATTCTTCGACATCAACCAATTTAACAGTAACACCACCAGTTAAATCACCAGCAACACCTAAAGTGAAATGAGCTGGATCTAAGATACATGTATTAGCAACAGTTTCAGTTAAACCATAACCAATTAACATTGGACATAATAAATTAGTAATAAATTCTTGAGCATTATAACTAATTGGAGAACCACCATTTAATAAATATCTTAATTGACCACCTGTAGCGGCTTTAACTTTCTTGAAAACAAGATTACCTAATGCATCACCACCTGGAATATGATAATTTTTCATTGTTAATTTAGCTTTATAAGCAGCCCAGAAAATCTTTTGAGTAATAAAGGGTAAATTACTAACTTGTTGAAGGATACCTTTTCTAACGGTTTCCCAAACTGCAGCAACACCAACCATAACAGTTGGCTTAAATTCAACTAAATCACCTTGACAATTTCTCATTGATGCATTAGTTAATGTCTTAACAGTAGCATAACCAATACATGAACCCCATACAAAGGATAATAATTCAAATGCTAATTCAAAGATATGAGCTAATGGTAAGAAACAAATAATTCTATCTGTTCTACCGACAGCTTTTCTAACAGTTAAATGGGCACCACCAACACCTGCAACAACATTATATTGTTTTAAGACAACACCCTTTGGATCACCGGTAGAACCAGATGTATACATAATACAAGAAAGATCCTTTGGAGAAGGTGGATGAATATCAATAGTATCTTTATTTTCTTCACCCATCTTATAAATATCATCATATGAAAAAAATTGAATATCTGGTCTAATTTTTTTAATTTCTTCAATTGCGTCATTAGCTTCTTTAAACATTTTACCATTTTGTCTTTTATCATTTGGATTAACAACATTAGTATGAATAACAAATTTAATATTATCACATTTTTCTAAAGGAGTAATTAAAGTTTTTAATAAAGAATTATCTGTAAAAATTGCAGTTGAATTGGTTTGTTTAATTGAATGAATTAAACCTGATTCACCTAAAGTATCATAAGCAGTTACAATTGGAATCGATTGAGATTGTGAACCTAAATACATTTGCATCCATTTTTGAGATGTTGGAGCATAAATATGTAATCTATCATCAGTATTTGGTCTTAAACCCATTTTAACTAACCCTTTACCTAAAATATGCATAATATCACGTAGTTCATTAAAAGTAATATATTTATATTTACTCATTTCATAATATAACCAAGTCTTTTCAACAGGGATTTCTTTACCATCAACAAATTTTTTAACAATTTTTTTCTCTTCATGAATATCAATAACATCTCTCCATGCCATTGCTTTTGATTCGCCACCTAATTCAAAACATTCTAATGCCATTTCATAAACTGTTGTACATGACATTCCAAGAGGTCTCTTTAAAGATTCTTTTGTTACTTGTGCATTTCTTCTTGGAGCAGTTTCATGTTCATTCGCAGCAGGACCTACTGGTACATTAACTAAATTAGACATATTTTTTTTCTGATTAATATATCTCTCTGTTGTTGATTTTTTCAGATCAATAATATATATAATAATATATGTCTATAGTATTATTATTATTACTACTACTATTGTCTATTTATGTGTAATTTTTATAAATGACAGTTAATATAGTTATTATTGTGTACCTAGTTACATTTATATATATATGTGTGTATATATATATATATATATATATTAAGAACAGGGGAAAAATTGGAGATAATATTAAAATAAACAATAAATGTATAAATCACTCTGTCCCTCTCTCTCTCCTCTATGTCCTCCTCATGTTCTTCTCCCTCTTCCTCCTCTTCCTTCACTTAGACAGGGTGTATAGTAATAATAATTTTATGCTGCAAGAAGAAAATTTCAGAAGAGAAAAAATGAAAAAAAATGAAAAACATGAAAACAAATTAGAAAGTGTCAAAGCAACAAAGAATGAGATTTGCCCACTGTAAAGAGCGAAACAAAACACAGTAAATTTGAACAATTCAACTCATCTAACTAAATTAGTAAATAGAAATAAATCATCTGTGGAAAATATTATGAGGAGTGAAATTCTAGCATGTGAAATTTTTTTTTCCGTTTTTCTTTCTCTCGCTGTCTCTTGCCTTTGTTGTTTGTTGTTTGTTGTTTTTTGGTAATTCGCGTTTTTTTGTTTGTTTTTTTATTATTTTGCAACTTTATAACACCGTTCGACATTGTATATGGCAATTATATTACGTAGAAAGTGGCGGTGATGGAGATAATGGAGACTACAAATTTTGAATATTTTATGCAAAAATCAATTTTTATCTTTTCTTCTTCACGCTGATGATGAATTTGAGTGTGTTGGTTTTGTTTATGATTTCAATTAGCATTTAGAGAGATATACGCAAAGGATTATTTCTTGTATATATATTTATACTGTGTCAGTAAAGATACTGCTATTTGATTGGCTGCAAAGACTATTTGCCGCCCACCATAGTAAAGGGTATTTATTATTTTTAATAATGTCATAGTCGAATTATATTATGTATATAATATAATAGTAACATGGGAGGATTTATAGAAATAATGATAACAGTAATAATGTAGAGATAGCAATAACTACACTAGATAAATTATGACTTGATTTCCTAGCTAAATTATGATTAATTATAACGGAATCAATGTTTTTTTGTTGTGAATTTATCCTATCCTCTATAGAATTATCTATAGTAGTTGGAAGAATTATATCTTTATCAGATGTAACAATGTTACTACTAGTTGAATTTTGTTTTTGTTTCTTGCTCTTTTTCTTTTTCTTATCTTTAGTAGTACTGCTATCATAATCTTTGGATGATGATGATGATGATGATGAAGATGGAATGGTTGTCATTGTAGGTCTAACTGTAGTTGTACGACTTTCTATCACTGTCAGTGTAGATGTAACACTATTAATAGATTTTCTATTTGTTTTTGAAGTACTAATTTTATTTTTCTTTGTCGTAGTGGTATCGATAGTTAATGTAAAAATATTACCACCGGTAGTATATGATTCTGATATTGACCAAGTATTGTTATATCCCGGTGCTCTTTTAGCATTTGGTATAGTTCCATTATTACTATTAATAACTTCAATATTAGATTCTTCTTTTGTTATATTAAATTTTGCAGGTGCTAAAGAAATTTCATAATTATCCAAATCGTATACTATATAAGCATTTGATAAAAATAAATCTCCTAATATAGTACTTGTTGTAGAATTATCTGCTGATGGTATTATGCCTAACATACATGTATCAGAACTAATTTGTAAAAGAAAATTATTTATATCTGTATGAAATAATACTCCATTAAAATTAAATACTAAATCAGTATCATTAAATGGTGTTGGATTTAATATATTACATGGGACAATATATCCATATTTGGAATCTTGTGTTGCATTAATCGTCTTGGCAATGTTTGAAACTATTTGTCTTGGTAAATATATTAACGATGTACCTGAATCTAATAACGCAGGCATCTTGGTCTCAGTTATTGTGGTTTCATTGTTATTTATTGTTATACCAACACCATTCATTGTAATATCAAATTGAATTGGTTTATCATACCCAAAGTTTTCCACTGTATTGATTATAGGGACTGTAAATAATTGGCCACTGTAACGAGAATGATCTACTGCACCAAATAATATATTCCCCATAGATGATTGACTTGAGTCTCCTAAATATAAAGAATATACATTACTCTTAATATTTCCCTGTTGTTTTAATTGCAATGGGAAATTATTATACATATATTGTGATTTTTGGGAATTACCATTACCACCACTATATGTGACTTCTAATTGTGGATATCCAATACCTAAGACTCCAACAGATGAATTCGATAAATTTGCAACACCAAACGATAAATTTGGTAGAATGACGTCTGTTCCAGGTAAAGTGACATTATCATACCCCCATATCCCACTTGATCTTGTCTTGTCACCATAAAGGATTGAAAAATATGTGGCATTAGATTTAAATGATTTTGAACTCGTAGAATCAAAAGTACCATATTCTGTACAATTAATCTTATTACTATCGTCGATGTTGTGAGAATTATACCATTTATTGTTTTGTTGAACAGTAGTATTGTCACAGTAAGGATTATTATCACCCATGATCCATAAATCGGAAGATCCAGTGTCAACTAATACGGTAACATTTTGAGAATTTGAACCGATTCCTAACGTTAATGAATAAAAACTATTTTGATTAACCATGGTTAAATTTTCAAAACCATTACTGTCACGTTTATATATTCGACGAATATCTGTACGATATCTAGAAGAATTTTCATATGAATCACCATATGTCTTCTTAAAAGTCATATGGACATAGTCTTTATTTGTTTTTTCTTCTATATGTTTTAAAGTGGAACAGTTCTGAGTAGCGAGTGTTAATGGTGTCATTGAGACACACATTATGAGATCCCTTAGTTTCATAGTAAAAAAGGTATTCTGTTTTGTTTTTGAAGGTTTCTTTAAGAGTATTTTTAGATATTGTAATAAACAAGAGGATTAAAAAGTGTGTCATAATACGAATATTATGTGTAACAGTTATATTACTACTTTTTTTAATTAGATCTATATATATAATTCGATGAATTTTGAGCCTTTTTGAACGCTCCATTCTTCTACTTTCTTTTTTTCTTATACCTGGGGTAAATCCATTTTTTAATTCATTATGATTAAAAATAGGAGGACCCTCCTCCCTCCCTTTTCTCGACTACGCAAAGTTTCATTATTAGTATTCGTTTGTATGTATTCTTTCTTTAAAAAAAAACTACTCAGATCTGAAACTCCTTTCTTTTCTTAGTACGTACGATGTTTTATTTAAATTTCACACATACAACAAATTCTCATATGATACATTTTATTGACTTCATCGGAAAAACTTAGATATTCTAATTACGACATCTCTAAAATGTAGCGTTTCTATGCTTCTATGTATAATGGTAATAATTTTGTGTGTTTTTATTCCCCATGGATATTATATATGCCAGTGTTATTCCATTTAAAGTAAAATATTTCATTGTATGTATGCAATATGCACACCCTGGTACTTTCCTTAGCAAAACATAGTAAAAACGACAATAACTCAAAGAAGAAAATACCGCGATGTCCATTCAATTTACCATATTTGGATTCTCGTTTTTCACTATTACTGTTTTTGGTTCTATTTTGACGCCTCGTTAAAATAAAATAAAATAGGAGGAGAACGTATAGGGTAATAAAAAGGGATTAATTATGATGGGTTGAAATGAAGAAATATAACATCAAAATTGCAACGTTATTTGATTCAATAACATTTTTAACGTGAATTTAAATGATTTTATTCATGATTTTTCAAGTTTTCTGTATGAATGTTCAGAATAAGATAGAGTTTGCGAGTCAACGATTTATTATTAGAATATTGAGATAAAAATGTATTTTTTGTAGTTCATATAATGGTTCTTTTATTTCAAAATAAGATAATAAGAGAGTTTGATTTTGAAGTCTTATAATATATTATAAAATAGTATATATAAGTGATACATGTTATATAGTTACCAAAAATGGAAGAGCGTAGTAAATCAAATGAGTGAATATGTTATGGCTTGTTAATAGAATATTCTGTTTATTCGGATATTGGACTTATTGCGCTGGTTCATAAAATTTAATGTTTTTTTAAACAGTATACTCTATGCCAGTACATACAGTGTCCACTGTCATGGTTTTGGGTTTCAATCTTGGTCGTTTGACGAATGATAAATAACTTTAACGGAAGAAAATTTATATTTTGTTTTGGTTGAAATGATTTACGTACTACTGCCTAAAATAAAGATTTCAACAGTTTTTTTACTCTTGCATAATTTCATTTTGTTTGTTTTATTTAGTTTTCTATTCATTTTATATGTGTCTATACAAAGGTCTATCTAATTATATCTGTTTAAAATGGGTGGAAATAATAATATAATGTAGCAAAAAAATTTACAGTGAAGTTACAACACAATTTTACCTCTTTTGAGTGATTCATAAGCGATATGTTAAACGAATTGTTCAAAAAAGAAAATTGGTATTAGCGAAAAAAAAATAGTAATAATATAAATATGTCATGGTTATCAATAATTGTCGTTTCTAAAGTGTTTTTGTTTGTAAGTGTTTTTAATGTCCCTCATATACATCTTAGGGGATTGGGTATTTGTAATGTTCTTTTGTATTTCTTGAGAAAACATCACTCCCCAATAATATATATTTTAATAAGATTAGTGCTCTAAGACAGTAGCCCACCTGATGGTCTTCTCGGCCGCGTTAGCTACTTTGTAAGAGGCAGTACTGGAGTCGAATTCAAATCCTCTGATCAATGCAGCGTCATTGATATTATCCTCATTTTTCGATCCATAAAATTCGTCTGAATCCTCGAATTTAAATTGCTCATCATCAGCAGAATCGTCATAATTGTCATTGCCGTACCATTCTAATTTTATCTTCTTATATTTTTGTTTAATCTCTGAATTTACAGGAATAGTAATACGTTCCCATATGTTTGTTATTAATGGAAGTTTACTATCTTCTTTATTCACAGTAGCATTAATTTCAGTGGCAAAAATTGTTGCGTCCTGAAGGGATCCTTTTGATGAACTAACTAAAAGGTTAAGTGAACCCTTTTGTAATTTTAAAATAGATCTCTGTGGTTTATCATAATGGTGACATGGAATATGTTTAAGTTTTTTTGAAATTCTTATTTTACGCTTCTTAATTGGTCTTGTCTCGGACAGTATCTTATTCTTGTAATCTGTTAAAGTAGAATGTAACATTTTATTTAATTCAAAGGCCTCTTTCTTTGCAAATGGTTTTGGATTCCATATTAGGTTATCCACATTAAATGGGTCAATATATTCATTCTTTGATGATACAGGAGAATATGATGGTAAAGGTGGAACGTCACAGAAGGGACTAACTGATCCAAAATCAGATACTGGTGATATACTTTCGTTATCATTATTTAGCTTTCTACCTAGTGCATCTTCATATATAACAGGTGACATATTATCTTCACTCTCACTAAGACTGTTTGATTCTATTGCCAATCTTTGAGGGATGACATTAGTCGAATTGGATCTTATAGATGGACGGGAAAATCTATATGGCTTGGATGGTGTAAAATTCCGTAATGTAAATTGTTCAGTATTGGGTAATACAGGTTTTTTGGATGGGGTTGAAGGTAATTCAAGCCTCGATGTTGTCTTTGAATTTGGGGTAGAGAGGGTCACAACTTCTGTCATTTTTCTTTAATTTTTCGATTTTAATTGGTGTTGTTTTTGTTGATTATTGGTTCAAAACAATTTTGAAATTCTTGTGGATATTATCTTCTTTGTTTGTGTTATGTTACAATCAAATTGTGATTTTTTAATTAAATGTTTCTACTTATTTAATAATATCAAAGATATTGAACCAAAGCCCTCTATTGTTATATTTAATGATTGGAAATTTGAAAGTTCTTAAATAATGAAAAGAAAATAAACGAGAGTATAGGCGGTTTACGAATGAACGAACCAAGATTTATTAATTACATATTTAAATACATATATGGGCTTGTATATATATGTGTGCGTTTATATGTACCTGTATGTAGTACTTCATGTACTTGAACATTTATTTGTCCAAAAAGAGTTATGCGACAGAATAAATCTTGTCATGATCAAGTTCGGAAAGTACAAATGATGAACTGTTCATCAATTATTATTGTAATTGTTGTTAAACGGTGTCACAAACTAACTTAGAAAACCTTAATAAGAAATCGATAAGTATATCACTATTTCCCCTGTAGAGTTTGTCATTATTAAAATTTAATGACAGTCTTTCGATTGCTCCGTTTCGTTCTTCGAAAATGTTATTTTGTTTGTTGTTTTGCAACTTAGCATCGATGCGGCCTATTTTCAAAGAAACCCAACGGAAATGGAAATTTTGTAAACAAACAAAACGGACTTCATATGTCGAGAATGTTGAGTTTAAGAAGGCTGCAGCTTTTATCCAACAAGTTCTAGCAGCTCACTTCCTGTTTGTTTTTCTTTCTAATTTCATTAAAAAAAAGTATAGAGATTGACTAATTCTAAACAACTTTAATTTGTAGAGGTTTCTAACTGTTATTTTATAGACATGATTGCTATCTCAGATTGGTAAGCGTAACTTTTAATCAGTAATTGAAATAGTTTATTAGCTACTCTTGATGTCTTTAATTACAGTTTGTTTACAATTTAAGATGGGAAGTTCTATTAACAAAAGAACGGATATTTACTGACGTCAAACGTTTTGTTTGCTAAGAATTCTTATTCTTGTTCCCTGAAGTATCTTAGATTTCAACCGAGCCTACATCGAATGTCGATTCGACAGTAACAAAAAAACACTCCAAAAGGATTGGGTCCTTGTACTATTGTAATCACTTTCTATTTTAATATTTGAGCCTGAATAGAAAGGTGTAATTAGAATTATATTTGACTTCATACTTGCCACTTGAATAATAAAAAACATAAACTAGCTCCATGTGTTTCTCAGCGAAATTGCACCGTGCACAATTGTACACTGCCACTATATTTGCCCTACGGTATTAAAGTTTTTACCAATGGGTACCTTAGTCTATTACTTCTATTGCTTTTTATTTTTGTTATACTCTTTTCGGACCGGTTGTTTTATTTTTTTGGATCATCTATTTGTTTATATTTTACCCTTCCGGGAATATGGTTTTCTGAAAAAATTTAGTTTCGTTGAATTTTTAATTCAATTTCGCATAAAAGAATAAAATACAGGCACAATTTCTTATCCATTAATAGAAACCTGCGGTCCATGTGATTCTTAATCTTGTCCATTGTTGACCTCTTTAATAATATTGGGCCAGGCTCTTAAGTCCTCATTTCGGGTTACGTGGTTTAAAGCCTTTATCAAGTAAAATATTCAGTAGATGAACATACGCTACTTACAAGATGAAGAAACTGAAAAACTAAAAATCACTTGTCCTTATCCAGTTAAATTTCTAAAGTGTTTATTTACTTTTCATATATTTTTCTATTTCTTATTCCTCCGCTACTAATGTCTAACCTAACAATTACTTTTCCGAATATGTCGTTTATGCACATATTACCTCATTCGATTGATTTTATTAAATTAATACTTTTCGATTCAATTGATGTTCTTGTTTACATGAAACACATTTGTGTGGTTTTCTAAGAACCTTATTACAACTGAAATTTGCTATGGTAACGAATATTTAGCATATGATTATATTTACGTTACGATCAAATTAAGTAAATCAAATGTATATGAATTGGGTAATCCATGACGTGTTTCTTTATTTCTTTGAGAGGGGAAGATTTGGGAGTTCAAAATATTGATTTCTGCTTTCATTTTAGGCATAATATTTTTTTTATTTTGTTCTGGACTTGAAAGTACATACACCTGAATTTCGTTCATAAAACAAAGTCTGGTCTTTCTTTTTAAGTTATACTAAAAGATCTGGTAAACGTTAAGTAAGTCGAAGAATTATATAAGAAATGTGCACAATTCTAAATTAAAGGAATCAAATAAATACTGTTTACTAAATTTTATTCATCAGTTGAAAGATGAAAGAAACAGTTATACTTGTAATAACCTATATAATTAGTCTTGAAAAACGGAGATGAACTAGATTGAATTAATAAATTCTGAAAGAGTCGTGAATACTTGTCGCTTCTTTGACCTTGTAAGGTCTTCCACTTTATAGATTATTTGATATTCGATTTTTGATGTTTTGGTGTTCTACTTTTTAACGATTACTCTGTAAACTAGTATGCACCACATAAAAACATGAATACGTTATCGTAATATAAGAGGAGGTATTTTTTAATAAGTGCTTAATTTATGTGAACGTGTAACGTTGAGTGTGCTTATCTCTATTCTTTTCTTCTTTTAATTACTATGTTTAAATTTCTTTTGAAGTATCTAATTCTTTCTTTTTTTTAAACTAGATGGAATTTGATACCGAATTAGGGGCGTCGCGAAAGTAGGTTTGTGTCACATAATATATATATTTTGTGAGAAATTCAAATAATATATAAATAATTCAAGAAATCTTTATCCATATTTCTTAGATGATAATATTTTATCTAAATGCTAAATTTTTAATATCTTTTTTTTTATCTTCTCTTGGTAGATTTGTTAATTGTTGTAGAATAGTCTTTGATTGCCTATCATAACAAATTAATAAACTAGTATTATAAAAAAAATATTAATAATTACAAATGAGTCAAGATCAAGCTTTAAGTACAGATAACAATATTCAACAATCTCAGGTCGATTTACCAGAATCCATTGCAGATGTTTCAGTAGTTGAGCCAGAAATTTCTGAAACAACTGTAAATGCTGCAACCAACGATACAAACAGTAGACGAATTCGTCTTGCCAAGCATTCAATGAATTCAACTGAAGCAAAATATAAGGAATTTAAAACAATTGAACATTTTAAAGAGTATAAACTGTATTCTGAAGCTAGAGAAAAAGCTACTAACATGGCCGTTGTAAGGGTTGTAGACGCTAACATTAGACCTATTATTACCACTATTCGTAGTTCACCCATTTTACTCTCAACAAGATTTTTAACAGACTTCTTAGATAAAACTGTTTTAGCAACTGTTATTTTTACAGAAAATTTTATGCCTTGCATGAAAAAGACAGGTTCGCAAGAAATTGTGAAGACTATCACATATCCAGTTGTTTTACCTTTACGGTTGACAAAAGATGTCAAGGACGCTACCATCGAGGTTACTACCTATTTCATCTACAGGCCATATCATAATCAATTAGTTAGATTTAGACATTTTTACAACAGGAGGTTCCTTGATACTAAGAATAAACCATTAATTAGAGGAAACCTTGACCCAATAATTGGTCCCTTGAATAATAATATTGAAAAGATGGTAAAAGCACGCTTCCCAGATATGATGGTTCATCACAAAGAGTCATTCTGTTGCGAGACTTCTAGAAGCGCCTCATTGGTTTATGTTGCAACAAAGGGTACAAAAGCATCTACCTTAAAACACATGACGAATAAAATGATGATGCCTTGTATGGCTGTTCATAGGGTTAATGAAATATTCAATAAGCATCTAGACAAACAAGAAGACTTACGGTTAAGAAGTGTCTTGAGAGCTTCTGATGGTGCATTCAAGGAGATAGAGAATGAAGCTATGAACTACTTAAGAAATAATTTCTTACCGAGGAGGTTTAAAAAGGAACCAACCGAAATTTTAGTTGAGATTCAATCAATAGATGAAGAATCTGAATATCATATCCTTCCTATCGGCGACCCCATTGAAACTCACAGCCATGGGTCCTCCACTGTTGAAGATACCGTAAATCCGGATGCCATACCCGAGGCAGAGCCTTCCTCTGAGCAGAATGTTTCTACTGAAAATAATCCATCTCTCCAAGTAGACCAACCCTTACCAGTTTGAAAACAAATATACAAGGAGTGTATTTACCAAAGTATCAAGAATTTAAAGGGTCAGACCGATAATACCAATAAATGGAAACAATCATAAAATAAGCAAAGTGTTACATATAGTTATTGGCTCTGTCTATTTTATTTTTGAAGTTTGAAAAAATAATATTGCCACATGCTAGATACTATTTACCTGTGTGTCTTTCTCAAACGTAGCCTCGAAATCAATTAAGTTTTAAGTACACTTAATGAACTCACATCTCAAAATTTTTTCTCCAACTTCTCATTTAAGTTATTAATATAAAAAATCTGTATACGTTTTACTATATAACATAAATATCATTTAATAAATTCGACTATTATAAAGTGTATCGCTTATTAAGCCGTGGCAATAAACATTTCTACGACTGCACATCCGTACATTTTATATCTAACATCCGTACACCTATTTTGATTAGAAAATATACGGGTTTTCAGATTTTTCTTAAACATAATTATATTTCTCGGCTGAAAATAATAAACATAATTTAACGCAAAAATTCAGACTTTCCCGGTAGACATGGTTCGCTAACACAATTCAAAGAAATACTAAGCACCTCATGCCAGTGGGCTGGCTCTCACCTAGAACACTTGTGTTAAACTCAATTCTTAGCCGACCTCAGCCTATCTATCTGAAAACTTAAACTTAGGATTCAATGTTGCAGACAGAGACTCTCTCAATAATGGAAAATTATCACCATCATCACCATTGTATACCACTTTACCATTCCTTACTATGGTCTTCATTCAGTGACAGAGCTGTGGACTCTTGGTAATTCTTCACATTACTCCCTGTAAGATGGGGTTTCCAGGAATTAGTACTGATGTACAGTTATCTCCTAAGTAGAAGTAATAAGTAGTTAAAAGTTAAGTGACCTTTAAAAAGAACACTTGTATTATATCTGATTGCAAGAATAAGTCAAGTACAGTAAGAAAAAAGTGAGTAAATACATACATATAGGAGGATTAAAACTGTTTAAAATCAATAACATCTGGTGGATATTGAGGTGACTTCAGGAAAATGAAATAAATAACGGTTGATTATTAGTGTTGATATGAATATTAAGATATTTTGAGTCTCGTAAAGACGAATTTAAGTACCTACTTTTGCATGGCACAATTTACCTGGAGTTTGTGAGATATGAATGAAAAATAGTGGAAGTATGGATACATTGGGATAGTTTTTGAAGAATTATTTTGGTGATACATAATGTGCGTTGATATACTATTGGTTACAATTGTGATATACAGCCCCAAAAATAACGATGAAAACTATTTAACTATTGAATGAAGAGTTGATGTTAATAAATGATACTTGTAACAGTTAGAATCGAATATTCCTAAAACCTTATGCGAAATTTCATAATGAATAATAATTACTAACAAACTCGTAATTTTATTTGATATAATATTATTACTTCTATTTTTCTATAGTGGCTCATTTCAAGGAATACCAAGTTATTGGTCGTCGTCTACCAACCGAATCCGTTCCAGAACCAAAGTTGTTCAGAATGAGAATCTTTGCTTCTAACGAAGTTATTGCTAAGTCTCGTTACTGGTACTTCTTGCAAAAGCTACATAAGGTTAAGAAGGCTTCTGGTGAAATTGTTTCCGTTAACCAAATTAACGAAGCTCACCCAACTACTGTCAAGAACTTCGGTCTATGGGTCAGATACGACTCCAGATCCGGTACCCACAACATGTACAAGGAAGTCAGAGATGTCTCCAGAGTCAACGCTGTCGAAACTTTGTACCAAGACATGGCTGCCAGACACAGAACTAGATTCAGATCTATTCACATCCTAAAGGTTGCTGAAATTGAAAAGACTGCTGATGTCAAGAGACCATACGTCAAGCAATTCTTGACCAAGGACCTAAAGTTCCCATTGCCACACAGAGTCCAAAAGTCTACCAAGACATTCTCTTACAAGAGACCAACCACCTTCTACTAAGCTGGTTATCTTATTTAACTTTTATCTAGTGAATTTGTATAATTTTGGTATGTAGATTTTTCATTAAAAACAACAAATATTGTTATCATAAAGAGAGGTTTACAAATGGGGAGGCTTACTAGGTAGTTGTGTCATGTTATAAAACAAATTTTAATTATATATGTTTGTTAATAATTAGTATCCATTTCTAAGAGATGATGTTATTAAAAGAGCATGATGTATATATTATTTTCTTTAAGAGAATTCCTTGTATAGAGATGGCGTAAAAGCCACTAAAAAGATGGCGTTCGGGAAACAGATCGTCTTCGGGCAATTTAATTCCTGTATCCGCCAACAGTAGTGTATGCGTTTTTTCTTTGTTTTTCTTTGTTTGTTTTTCCGCTTTTCATTATGTATTTCTGAGAAATTTGTATGTAAGCAATTAAAAAGATTATTCAGTACGTGGGAAAGATAGAGAGAATAACAACCTATATAAGCTACTTAAAATAGTACAAACATTACCCAAAGAACTTTAAAGCTTTGAACAAATTACTCTAATACTTACGAATCGTTTACTTTTTTGCATAATTAAGTAGGATAATTCAACAATCGATAATTGATAGTCTTAGCAATAATGTCAACAAACCAATCGATAAAAGTAAATAATGAAATCAATAATATAGCCTCCAGGAAGAAAGGAAGTAACAATACTAGCTCGACGAAAGGTATCACTGAAAATACTAGTGATGATGTTCATCTACCGGTAACGGAGATTCATTTGAAATCACATGAATGGTTTGGCGATTTTATCACGAAACATGAAATACCACGTAAAGTGTTTCATTCATCTATTGGGTTCATTACATTATATTTGTATACACAGGGGATAGATTATAAACACGTGACAAAACCGCTAACGTTAGCCTTCGTGATTATTTTTATATTAGATCTAATTAGATTACGTTGGCCATTTTTTAACAAACTTTATTGTCGTTGTGTTGGTGCATTGATGAGGAAAAAAGAAATACATACATACAATGGTGTATTATGGTATTTGTTAGGTCTGATTTTCTCTTTCTCCTTCTTTTCTAAGGATGTTACTTTGATTTCTTTGTTTCTACTAAGTTGGTCAGACACAGCAGCTTCGACATTTGGTAGAAAATATGGACATTTAACTCCAAAGATTGCAAGAAACAAGTCTCTTGCAGGTTCTTTAGCTGCTTTTACAGTAGGTGTTTTGACCTGTTTGACCTTTTATGGTTATTTCGTTCCTCATTACAATTATTTAAATAAAGAAGGAGAAATTTTTTGGACTCCAGAAACTAGTAGATTAGGACTAATGAATTTATCATGGTTAGGAGGTTTAGTAGCAGCATTAAGTGAAGGGATTGATATGTTCAATTGGGATGATAATTTTACAATTCCAGTATTATCTTCAATATTTTTACATACTGTAATCTACCTATTTAGAAAATAATAAGGTCACATTTAATTACTTTTTGAGAGGTTATTGATTTTCCAAAAAAAAACCTAAACACTTGCTGTTTCTCTTAATTATTGGGTATATGTCGTACTATGATAGAAGGTATATAGAGTATATGATGGTGTAGTTTTAAGTATCGGTTATTTCCCATGAAGCATGGTTTGGTACGCATCGTGATTTTTTAAGTTTGGGTTTCCAGATACAGATCTAATCAAGAAGTGACAAGATTAGGAAATTCACGGTATCTCATTAAATGAAGTTTTTGATAAAATAGATACATCTTATTTTTACATTATTTATAGATAAATAAAGGAATCGAAAGATACTTTATTTTAATAGTTAATATTCATTCTGTCACACATCTAAATGTCACTAAACTATATATCTATTGCATAGGAAATGGTTTGCAAAAACGTGACAATAATTAAATTTCCAATAGAAAGAAAGCACGTCTGACGACGAGAGAAGACACCGTACAAAAAAAATGGTAATTTTGAAAAGTGAAAAAAAAAATTTTAGTTGATTTTGCTTTTTTTTTGCTGTTTTTGCACGATGCTCTGCGAAACAGCGAAAATTTTCTTAGCTCATCGAGGATCCATCCATTTCAATTTCTTCATAGGTGTATGGCAAATAAGAAAGATTTGAAAAGATTATTAAAGGAAGGTATTGGTTAAGAGTTGGGTGTTTATAATTAATAACAAGGAACAGCCCCCCGAAGACCACCAATATGTCATACGTTTTAACCGAAACATCTGCAGGTTACGCTCTTTTGAAGGCCTCTGACAAGAAGATCTACAAGTCAACCTCTTTACTGGATGACTTAAACTCCTCCGACAAGGTCCTAAAGGAGTTCAAGATTGCTGCATTCTCTAAGTTCAACTCTGCCGCAAATGCTTTGGAAGAAGCTAATTCTATTATTGAAGGTAAAGTTTCCCCCCAATTAGAGAAACTTTTGGAAGAAATCAAGAAGGACAAGAAGAGCACACTAGTGGTTAGCGAAACTAAACTAGCTAACTCCATTAACAAACTTGGTTTAAACTTTAACGTTGTCTCCGATGCCGTCACTTTAGACATCTACAGAGCTGTCAAGGAATATCTACCAGAACTGCTACCTGGATTAAACGACTCTGATTTGAACAAAATGTCCCTTGGTCTAGCTCACTCTATTGGTCGTCATAAATTGAAGTTCTCTGCTGATAAGGTTGATGTTATGATTATTCAAGCCATCGCTCTTTTGGATGACTTAGACAAAGAATTGAACACCTACGCTATGAGATGTAAAGAATGGTACGGATGGCATTTCCCTGAACTAGCTAAGATTGTCACTGACTCTGTTGCTTACGCTAGATTAATTTTAACAATGGGTGTTAGATCTAAGGCTGCCGACACAGACATGAGCGAAATCTTGCCAGAAGAAATTGAAGAACGTGTTAAGACTGCTGCTGAAGTTTCTATGGGTACTGAAATTACTGAAGATGATTTGGACAACATTAAGAACTTAGCTGACCAAATTGTCGACTTTGCTGCATACAGAGAACAACTTTCCAACTATTTGGCTGCTAGAATGAAGGCAATTGCTCCAAATTTGACACAATTAGTTGGTGAGCTAGTTGGTGCTAGATTAATTGCTCATTCTGGTTCTCTAATATCTTTGGCTAAGGCTCCAGCCTCCACTATTCAAATTCTTGGTGCCGAAAAGGCTTTATTCAGAGCTTTGAAGACTAAGCATGATACTCCAAAGTACGGTCTTTTGTACCACGCCTCTCTGGTTGGTCAAGCTACCGGTAAGAACAAGGGTAAGATTGCTAGAGTTCTAGCCGCTAAAGCTGCTGTGTCTATACGTTATGATGCTTTGGCTGAAGACAGAGATGACTCTGGTGATGTAGGTCTAGAAGCTAGAGCCAAGGTCGAAAACAGATTATCACAAGTGGAAGGTAGAGATCTAAGAACCACTCCAAAGGTTGTTCGTGAAGCTAAGAAGGTCGAGATGACTGAAGCTAGAGCTTACAACGCTGATGCTGATGCTGTTACTGAACCAGCTGCTGAAACTGCTGATTCCGATGATGAATCTGAAGATGAAAAGGAAGAAGAAGAAAAGAAGGAAAAGAAGAAGGAAAAGAAGGACAAGAAGAGAAAGAGAGATGAAGATGATGACTCTAAGAAGTCCAAGAAATCTAAGAAGGAAAAGAAGGAAAAGAAGGAAAAGAAAGATAAAAAAGACAAAAAGTCCAAGAAAGAAAAGAAATGATTTAGTACTTGCATAACTAATCTAGTATCCGATTTCTCTTCATTCATTCATCATTTAATCTTAAAATAATATAAAAAATCTGTAAATTAGTATATGAATAATAAACACATACACACGTAATGTTTATAAGACTCAAAGAAAAAAAATTACCAATTAAGTAAGTACTATCAATGCTGAAGGTTATGTTGCCTTTGCGTTTGTTTAGTTGTAATTTTTGTTTGTCTGTTTACCTTTAATTGAGAAATTTTTAGCTCATCGGGCATACATCAATATTTAAGATTTTAGCATTGTAATATGTATACATATATTTTTTTTTCACTCTGTATATAAAGTCTATACACAGATACAAGACAAATGTTTCAAGATTGACAAATTCAAAGGATATTCATAGTTTATCAAAGAGTCAAGGTTAGTTCTTATTTATTAATACAATGGCCGAGGAGATTTCACTGTCGTTGGAGGAGACTAACAAGCTACGAATTCAGTTAGGTTTAAAACCAATTGTGCAATCTGGATCCGGGGCTACAAATGGTAACAAACAGAAATTACCTGAGTCACAAATTGAACAGGAGAATAAAAATATAAAATTCATAGATAAAAATAAAATTAATAATATCAGAAAACGTTTAAACAAAGTATCACAACGAATAATACTCGACTCAAACGAGGAACCTCATACAAATGGAGGGTGGTTAAACAAAGTCGGAACTCAAAACAGAAAACATGCTGTTAATATATCATTCGATGAGGAAGTGGAAGATGATGAAGATGCAACTATGCCTATATTGAAATTGTCACACAAACTTGGTGAACTGCAAAAGGGGAAGGATATTATTCTAACATTGAAAGATAAAAATATAAATGATGATAAATCTGACGATGATGTTTTGGAGGATGAAACTTTATCTACATTTAAAGAAAACAGCAAAAATTTGAAATTAAAGGATATGAACAAAGAAAGGAGGCGAAAGAAATATAGTTTGAATGTGTCAAGCAAAGATCTGGAGGATCATCACTCAGATATGGAAGAACCAGGTTCCATTTTAAGGATAAACGCTATTACTACTGCTTCTGCAGAAATCGAAGACGAAAAACGCATATCAGATAATGATGAACACACCAATAAAATAAAAGTCCGATTTTCAGATAATGAGAGTGATGATGAGCCTGATAGTGGTGACTTCAAGGTTGCAAAGATAAAAAAGAGAAAAATTAAGGATGGTAGATCCATAAAGAAAAGGAGGAAGGTTGAGCTTCCTTTGTCTATAAAGGGAGTTATACTTGAAGATGAGGACGGTGATGAAGATGATATCTTAAACATAAAAGTAAATAACACAACTGGCAACCGTAAGGAGGAACAGTTTAAGCCAACAGATGATATTACTTATAATATTAAAAAGGAGGCCTTAGAAAATAGGAGGAGAGAGATGGAGGTTAGAAAACTTCGTGATAATAATAAATCTTCATCAAAAAGTGATGCTTTAGTTATTGATGAGTCGGCTAGTTTTTTGTCCAATTTGAATTCAAAATTAATTGTATATGATGAAGATAAAGAATCAACAAATGCAGGAAGCATATTTGAAGAAGATAAGCTGCAGAAAACCACACCAGACGATTATTTAGGCCCCACCTCGTCCTCTATTACTGATGATAAGAACCAAAATGATACTAATAATAATCAAGGACTTACTTTTTCAAGTGGTTTGGCGACAACTTTACATTTTCTTCAAGATAGAAAAATTTTACCTAAGAAAGATGATATTAACAATGATGTTAACAATTCTTCCAATGATGAACCACTAAAGTTAAAGAAAAAGATCGAACAAAGAAAGTTAGATGAAGAAAGAGAAAACAAAGACGATGCTGACGCGTCGATCCAGAAGGGTAAACGTGTGGTTTCCAGCATACAAAGTCAGTTATTAAAGGATTATAATCCAGAGATTAATCTTGTATATAAAGATGATAATGGAAATGAATTGACGACAAAGGAGGCATATAAAAAATTATCACAACGATTCCATGGGACTAAAAGCAACAAGCGGAAACAGGCAAAGTTTAATGAGCGTGTTCAACAAAGAAATAAGCAGAAAGGATCTGCAATGCAGTCCAACTTTTTTGAGTCCTTGCTTAATAAGAAAGAAGGAGCTTGAGTTAGTATATATGTAATATAATTATGTTTATTATATAAAATCGTAAGTGTCAAAATGTTGAAAGATAAATTTATTACATGCACGTTTTTTATTATCACTTTATTCTTTTGTTTACTTAGTTTAATGTTTAGTATCTATTTAGAGACTCTAGCAAAGTCAATAAATTTAAGCCGTAGCAAGAAATCTCACTGAAACGCGAATTTTCAATTGTATGTTTTTTTTTCTTAGCCGATCTAGGTTTCCATTGAATGGCAGGTTTTTTTTTCACTTCATTATGACAACAACAAAAAAGGAAATGAAAAATAAATTCGTGAATAAGAAATGTTACTAAAAATAATAATCTTAAGATAAAGATATAAATATAATTAACTTACTTATATTAACAATTTGGGAAACGAAATCAGAATCCTCTCATAGGCTTATTTTTTGGTTAGACTGATAATTATGACCCAAAAAGGAACAAATCATCGAATATAAACTCATTGCCATTTCTTAATACATTATTCGAGTTATCGAAGTACATAACTGCAGTTGCGTATATTTAATCTCATCTCTTTTTTTTTGACATTGATGCCCAGGAACCCAATATTTGTTCTTTCAGAAATTTAAATAGATTTATTTAGATGAGTAGCATAGAGACTAACGGTGTCACATCAGTGACGAAGAAACGTCGTGGTTCAACCCATAAGAACCTATTTGATTCAGATCTCTACAGCATCCCTAACGAACCAAACAGTTTATATCAACAAAGGAAAGCTGAAAAGTTACGGAACACACATTATCAAAGCCATGGGTCTGTCTCAAGTCAGTTAGCTGACTTGTGGAAGTCATTAATTTCTTTTGTTCCAAAAGAATACACTAACCAATACGATAAAGATTTTTGGCCAGAAATTAATACAAAAGTGGTCATATTATGTTTCCTATGGTATGTTACATCTTCAATATCCAGCAATTTGGCTAAAGCTATCCTGAAAAGGTTTACACATCCAGTAGCTCTTACCGAATTACAATTTTTAGTGAGTGCTATTCTTTGCCTATCTTTTGCATGTCTTGTAAATTTATTCCAAAGACCCGAACTGAACCGTGGTGGTTTTGCTAAAACACTTCAGAGCTTCCCCAAGGGGATTCTTCCAACCTATATGAACGGTAACTTCAATGAATGTATTAAAGAGAGGTTTTTAAAACCAGACAAACTAATTCTAATGACCACATTTCCACTCGGTGCATTCCAATTCGTTGGTCATATAACCTCACACAAGGCAACATCATTGGTGTCCATCTCATTAGTTCATTCTATCAAATCATTGTCTCCAATCATCACTGTTGCTTATTATGCTACATTTGAGAAAAGAAAATACAAACCTTTAACTTATTATACTTTGGGTCTTTTGATAATTGGTGTAATGATCACCTGTTGGTCAAGTCATAATCATCAAAATAAAACAGAAAATAAAAATAATGGTAGTGTCATATTGTTAGGTATAATTTATTCCTTCATCTCTACGATAATATTCGTGACTCAGAATATCTTTGCTAAGGGTGTCCTAAGTGTAAAATTACAAAAAGAAGGTGTACTATCAGCACCTTCAAGAGATAATACAATGAGAAAACATGAAAAATATACATCAACCACCCAGATAGATAAGATTACTATATTATTCTATTGCTCATGCATGGGATTCTTACTTACATTGGGTCCATTTCTAACAAACGAATTGTGGCACGGTTCTAGTTTACGAGCAGACATGAACATGACTGTTTTCTTATTGACATTATTCCATGGGATAACTCATTTCATTCAAGCAATGTTGGCGTTCCAATTAATTGGTCTTCTATCTACAGTGAATTACAGTGTTGCTAACATCATGAAACGTATTGTAATCATCTCAGTAGCATTAGTTTGGGAATCACACCTAAGTTTTATGCAATTCTTTGGTTTACTATTGACAGTCATGGGTTTATATGGATATGACAGATGGGGTTTATCTCACAAGGAATCTCGCCAATTATAAATACATAGAAAGAATAAATATAATAATTTTTTTTTCACAATAATCAATAAGTAAACGTTAGTAAATCAGCATTGTTATTCTATGATAATTAGTTGAAACTGCTGTTAGTTGAAACAGAGCAGCATAAGTCTACTCGTGTATGTGCATCTACTCATCGCTGTTATTTGAAATTTATGACTTCGGGAGGCGAATCCCGAACTCGTAACAGTGCCGCTACAAATGTATAAGAATTTCACAGAGATCACGAAGAGACACATTGTAGTATTGATAGCTTCGCATAACGGAAAATCTTTTAAGTATGAAATAGAGTATAACTAAGATTCTTTTATAAGATTTCTCACTATCTAGGCTACGTTTTATCAAGCTTATGAAAGAAATTAACTTGAGTAAAGTAAATAAATTGAAAATAAGGAGTAAGCAAGTTTTAAAAACAACATAAAAAATCAAAATTAGGGATCATCAAGGTACTATAATTTCCTCCACATTCTGGTTAAATCAATATCTTAGGAAGGTGATTCAAAATACTTTAATTGTGAGAGGATGTACTCTTCTTAGTTTCAGTTTTGTTCTTATTGAAAGGATACACCAGGCAAAAAAACCCAAATTTCGCAAAGACCGTTAGCGGCTCTGCCACTTCAGCTTACTTACAAATTCTTGAAACACAAGAACGCGACGCTGTTCAAACATTCAAAAGAAAACATATCTAATTTACTCTCTGCAAAGGGGTGTGTCACAAAAATATTTGTATATGTGTCTATAAGAAAAAATAAGTACAAAACTATTTTATCCCTTGATTAAACATCTTTTTTTATTAATAATGTTAAGAATACTATAATCTATTTTCCTTGAATTCTTGTTACCGGTACATCCAAATAAGTAAGGGTGACCGCAATAGGTTTAGTTTCCATATCAACATAGCATGAATCCTACCACTATTACATCCAGTCTATTTATAACCAAAATTCTTATTGTCTTCCCTTAACTCATCTCAAATTATACTGTTAATTTGGGATTTTCCTGTATACCTGTACAACACCCCAATAATTATTGTATCGCTTGGTATAAGCATCAAGAAAGAACACCAACTGAGAACATATTACTTGGTAAAAAATACAAATCTAGACTCACGGAGTCCGTAGAAATATGATGTTGAACTGATAAACTGTAATAAACACAATGAAGACATAGCAAATTTTTCATGTATTGAATTCGGGAATCGGTTACCGAGTTACTCACCCTCTAATAAAATGTGCATATTTGTCCTCTTACAAAACATAGAAAAAATCGATAACAGAAAAGAATTTCAAAATGAGAATAAAAAAACACGGCGGAAATTAAATAATCAACTTTTCTTCTTCTTTCTTTTTTTGCGGTTTCCCCTTCTATCAGGTCCTGTTCTATTGACACTTCTGAGGAATCTCGCGCTGTTGACTCATTTATTGCTTTTCTTTTTTTTTTTTTTTTTTTTTT